TCGCCGCGTTGTAGCCACGGAAACAGTAAAGAACTTGTAATAGGGCGGTTGCGTAGTTGTAGGGCTTGGAGCTAGTGCCTGCCCAAATCGAAGAGAAATTCTGCTCTGCGATAGAACTCTGCCTTGAAGTTGTCGCAACTCGACCGATGCTCGCAAAGCCACTCAGGATGACACCAGCAAGGATCAACATCTTGCCCACGGCGAGAACATTGATTATGCGGAGCCCAGTTGATGGCATTTGTGCGTGGATGAGACACGATAGTGAGATAACAACGACCGCGATGCCCCGGACATTCCACACCCCAGCTTGAGCACCTAATGCTGCCACTGCATAGTTGCCTAGTATGATACAGTTTGGCGTGCTGAATCCCAGAAGAACGACATATGCCATAAACATGCTTGTGGCCAGCATCCTGGGCCGGCGGAAGATGCGTTCAAGGTAGACCCTCTCTCCGCCTGACCGAGGCAGTGCTGTACCCAAGTCGAGATAGACGGAGAGCCCACAAAAAGAGATTACTGCGCCGACAATCCAGATGAGTATAGTCATTCCCACCGAGCCGACTTCAGCGAATATCGCTGATGGGACCGAGTAAACGCCGACACCAATGGTCTTGCCTAGGATGAGGTTAATGGCGGAGAAAGTTGTGAGTTCATTTTCGTGTAGGGTTGGTCTCGGCTGTTTTATCAGGCTTGGTGTCACCGACTGCGCACTTCGAGGGAGAAAATGATCCTCAATGCCGGAACGGCAGAGAGGCGATAGATGCAAAGACTCTGGCTTGAGCTTCGCATGTCTCGCAATCCTCCCCGTCTTGGTATGCCCATAACTTGTAGAGGGGATCGACTCAGTCGCAAGTGCAAACGTAACGCTGGAGGCAACGTTGGGGCATATGCTCTCCTCGAGGGGGAAGTCGGAGGTGTTTGCTTCTTCAGAATCTGACTGTGAAAATGATACCCTCGGTGTTCGTATTGCACTTGGCGTGACAGGCGAACGACAGTCGAATAAAGGTGATGACAAGAAGGATGTTGTGAATCCGGTGGCCAAGCCCTCACCCAAGGACCTTGGCCTTTCCGAGTCCATGCTGAGATGAATCTGTACTTGGCGGGGCTGTTATCTTGCTCAATTAACCTGCTCAATTCCTAATTCTTGCTCAGACGGCCCATGCCAAGTCGGCTCACGAGACAGATGGCTGAGTACACGCGTAATATCAGAAGAAACATATATAGATCAAAAAAAGACCACAGATGAGAAAGCTTCCAGCAGAGAGAACAAGAAGAACACAGAGTGACAGAAGCTGCCATGCACGAAAATGCAGAGAGACGAACTGACCCGTGAGTGGCAAGGCTGCAAGAGCCTCCCACTTGGAATGCACTTACCGCAGTAAGCAGAGACTTTGCGACGAGGCATTATTATCCGACTGCCACCGTCTGCTTCCCCAATGACTTTTTGCCAGTATGGGTGTTGAATGTGGTAGCGATGGGACCGGTTGCTGGTTCGAAACTGTGTCAGGGCAATTTGAGAATGCCATTTCGTTTCGATGAGTGGCGGTCAATGTCCTGGACGCGCGGATGAAACGATCCGCGAGACGATCAGGGGTGCTAGGGGTGTCCCTGGGCTTGCCTGGGCTGTCACCACCTGGTTTTAGCAAACTTGGCAGTTCTAGTTCTGCCCCTAGTTTCTTCCCTGACGCGTTTGTCACGTTGCTCCACCGAATAAATATCCGGCGAGGCCGGCACCATCAAAAGTTCTCCACGGCCTGCGTCCTGTACCTGAAAGGCATTATTATAACTAACAGAAAGAGCTGTCCAAGGGGCACAACATTATCAGCCCAGAAAACCCGGATTGGAGGATCTGTGGTTCGAAGACGAAGATTGAAGTTGAATTTACCATGGGTCTATCTACAAATCTGGCGGTCAGTGCCGCCGCCTTTAAGGCTAGTCTGTGGGGACTCCAATCCAGGAGGTCGCAGCCTCATCTGACCAACATTGTTCTAGCCGAAGTATTGTCTAATACCTACCTCGCTACCTACAAGCAGGGAGTTAGAGGGAAAATTGTTAGTGAAATTCGATCCTTCTTGTTTTTGAAAGGATTTGATTACTCTATCCCACCTCGCTACCAGTGTTATCAACCAGCAGTATCTTGCAACGTGCGGAGTTTCGTCTTAATGAGCATATGTCATTTTACGAGTCTATGACCAAAATCACACCCAGCCACATTACCACCCAAACCCTGAAGCATCAAATCCTCGAAAAGATTTCAAGTCTTGATCACTCTTAACCTATCTTCAACACTTACCTTGTTGTTCACGGTTCACATGGTGAACTCGCGACCGAAGGCCTTCTTCAGTCTGTAGTTGTCAATTGCGAATCTCACTCTCGCTCTGAGTCGCGACATCCAGGACTTGACATCGTCCTTGACTTCCTCAATCCACATCGAACGTGGCAGGCCATACCCCTCCTTCGAGATCAAATAGGTCTCTGAAGTGGCAGATGGAGGGACGGAGATGAAGTTGGAGAATTCCATGAACGCATGGAGGTCATCAGCAAGCAAACCTTTCTCGAATTCGGGAGCAGCGAACTCGGGGATGTTAGTAAATGGTTTCCTGAGATTGCAACCCATCTTGTGCTGCAGTGATTGATGATGCTGCTACAGAGAGGAAACCAATGGAGGAGACTTCGCTGCGGAGGAACTTGTGACTTTAGTTTTGTGTCAACCTTTTTCCACAAAGAAGTTTCTTGAGTGTTAGTGATGGCGGTAGTTGATGCTGCGCAGAGGTGCGAGTATGAAAAGATATTTATACCCTTCGATCTTCTGCAGACCAGGGATCCATTCAATAACAGATCGAGCCTCAAGGCAGATTTAATAAAGGCAGTTGTATAATGTATTGTGGAAGCTGTTGTACACAGAATGAGAGTGGATTCATCTGATTGATTGTGTTGCGTCCTCTGGCTTTTCAGAGAGACTCTGCCTGTCTATATACTATTTGCCCTGTGGCAAGAAGCGATCCACTGAATAGATCTAGACCTGGCCAGATCTGTCCAGACCTCGTTGTCGATCAACGGTGGCACCGAGGCTATTATAGAGAGGCCTCGGTTGAAGCATTGGTGGATGGTTTGCCACAGTGGCGCTCTCTGTCAACAGAAGCTCTGAGATACCGGTACCGCTGCCTTAGCAGGACTTCTTGGGTTTCTTTGAGACGGAAGAAATAAAGCACGTGGGCTTCGAGATTTGCTTTCCTGCCACAACTTTGTTGTTGTCTTTGTGAAGGTGGCCTAACCGACAAAAAGGCAGTAGATAGGCAATGTTGGCGAGACATTGGACCCATCACGGTGCACTGCATATGAGAGACCACAAAGAATGTGGCTTTGGTGTTCAAGCAGATGTCGCGAGAGAGTCTCAATCCCTTCGAGGGTCGCCCAAAATGATTGAGAACCTTGCCACTTCGCGGCAGCCGTTTAGGCTCTTTGATAGATACACTTGACTTAATCTGTCTATCCTGATGCTGGGAGTGCTGATATTTAGAGACGCTTTACATGAAAAACCTAGCTCAGCCATCAGTATTAGCCACTGCTTTTCTATAGAAAAAAGTGAGAATTTAGAAAAAGGGTGAAATTTGAGACATATTTGATTCTCCCCCGGACTATGTCTATGCTACGTCTATCTCAAGTTCTCTTGCCACCATCTGGCCATCACACGTGCCAAACTCCGCCCTCGGCGCCAGAGCTCACGAAGGCGGCGGCGGCGGCGGCGGCGGCGGCGGCCACGAAGACCATCCCGGACTGGTTGTTCAGCGTTGCCATCCTCGGCTTCAAGGGATGTTCTAACCTCAGGCTCTGTCATAGATGGCTCGACTGCAGCTTCACCCTCTCTTTGAAGACTAGCTGTAGTGTTAGTGTCAGACACCGCGGCAGGTTGCAAGTTCACAGTATTAGCGTCAGCCTCATCTTCAGGATGGACCCGAGTGTGAGTCTGTGGACGAGTGTCAGGTTGTGGCATCCCCTGGTTTGGCTGGGACGGACTACGATTAGAGGTCGCCATGAGAGCAACCATTGTCTGAACCGCTACCTGAGGGTCACGAAGATATCTGCCCCAGGGATCAATCGGCAACATCTGGACAAAATCAATGATGATGGCAGGTTCCCGTAGCAGCCAGTGATGGTAGCGGACGTACCTGTTCCACCAGAAGTCAGACTGCCGGCGACGCGCGAAGTCCGGAAAGCGATGCACGAGGCTAGGCCGGGAGTAAGCCTGGATGTCAGACCAGGAACTTGACTCAGAAGATGACTCGGAAGAAGACTCAGAATCAGGCCCGAAGTCAGGCATGACGACACGCAAGGAGCCAGACTCCGCGCCAGGCACGGAATCAGGCATTTCTATTGGTAGTTGATGAATCTGTATGAGAGAAAGTGTTGTTGATATTGGAGGTCAATCTGCGCTTGGAAAAGTTCGCTGTGAGCAATCTCAGTGTGGACCTGTTTCTCAGAGAAGTTCTTGTTGTGGTGATGCGAAGAAGACCAACTCCATGAAGGGGCTGGCGATTTATTAACAAGAGACACCGTCTGCCATGCTGGCTAGATCAGTGAAATGTACGACACCCATTAAATAGCGACAAAGGTCACTTCGCTGCCTTGCATTTTCGGACACAGCTCCATGCGCTGCCTGAAGTGCACCCAGTAGACTTTCCATCTGCGGATTGTTTGAGCTTCACGGCAATGAGCGCGGGCAACTGCTCTCCGTGGATCATGAAGAACACAGGGAATCCATCGGGTGGAGGAAGATGACAGATGTTACGGGATAGGCATTTGTTTCTGTTGGAGCCAAACTGTCCCCGAGGAGCATTGTAAAGGAGCGTTATTGAGTAAGAGACGTGTGGCTGTAGTTGCAGGGGATTGTATACAGACTTCCACTCCAACTCATCTTCTCCTTACTCACCATTTACTCTCTACAGGCCTCGCTACAACCCTGACAATTCAATTAAACACACCTCCTCGACTATCTTTCTCTAGTTCTTCACCAGCTTCACTTCGACCCGGGCAGGACTTCGCAGGCAGCTTGCGCAGAAGCAGTCCGGCTCAATCAACTCATTTCCAGGCTCTCCGTTGAAATTCTCTACTTGCTCTTGCCACCATTCGTCCTCAGAGTCGTAGTTATCCTCGTCGTCATCCTCGGTGTCATAGATCCCGTCCTCTGGAGGATAAAACTCGTCGTCTTCATAGAACTCGTCTTCTTCAAAGAACTCGTCATCAGCATCGTAGTTGTCCTCGTCGCCACAGTCCTCGCACATTTTGAACGAAGATTCAACCGTCTATTATCGAGGCGCTAGGGAAACAGAAACTTACGATTCCCGTAGAACGTTCTGATTGATTATGACTTGGCTCCTTTCTTGGTGCTGATGGTGGAAGTCGGAAAAGGTGGCGAGTCAATTCCGGCTTCTTGGTGCCATATGTGTATATTTATGCTCTTACCCCATATGAAGACCAGGTACGCCTTCAACCTTTGAGCCGAACCCCGTCAAAGAACTTGGACATTGAAAGCCAAGGTTTAGCAGCATTGTCTGTTGTGTCGTTGTCTCTCCTTGAACAAAACGATAGACAAAAACAAACTGCTGACAAAAGAGGCTTAGGAGGTCAAAGGAGCTCTTTTGAAGCATAACAGGCCAAAAAAAAGCCTTTCATTGTGAAATTCTTAATCTGGAAAGTTGTCTCTCGTAAAAGCCCGAGAAAGTAGATTGATATGATTTTTCGGATAATAAGAAAGTCCGAGGTGGGTACGTCACATGATGTCGTCAAAGGTTGCCCGTGATTGGGCGCCCGGGCTGGCAAGGCTGACTAACTATCCAAGCCTCGAAGACGTCGGCCTTGAGATTCTTCGTAAATGTACATCAATCATGTCTTCCGCACCGCCGACGCCGAATGGCTGCACGCCAGCTATGTCCCAAGCTCCGACTTGGACCTCATCCCAAGCCTCACAGCCACAACGTGTGCTCGCATGTGTACTCTGTCAGCAACGCAAGGTGAAGTGCGATCGTGTCTTCCCTTGTGCAAACTGCGTTAGGTCTCGGGCACAATGTGTGCCTGGGTCCCTGGCCAAGCGCCAACGGAGACGACGGCTTCCCGAGCGAGAGCTTTTGGAACGCTTGCGCAAGTACGAAGACTTGCTCCGTCAGAACAATGTCGCCTTTGAACCTCTGCACGGCGACTCGACTAGGGGAAAAGACCCTTCCATTGCGCACAGGGGCTTTGGCTCGGACAATGAGCGTCCGGAGACCGTGGGCCAAGACATCTCAACGCCCGCGACCACCGTCCGGCCTGGGAGAGGTTACGGAGCCAAGTATGCGTTGTTCAAGGAGTTGCTCCAAGCCGACTAACTCTCCTAGGAATGTGTGGCACGCCATGAGCCAGGGGGTACGACTCCACCGCATCAGGTTTAAGCTATACTGACTTCTGCAACAGTACCGGGATTCTGATGATGACAGCAATTCGTGTCGTGACGACGAGCTCGAAACTGCTGTCAATACAGCATGGGACCAATCCGTTGTGAATGATAACAACCTTTTGTTTGGCTCCCCTAGAACGAAACAAGGCCTTTCCACTTTACATCCGGATCCAGTTCAGATCTTCAAACTCTGGCAGATATACTTGGAAAATGTAGACCCGCTACTCAAGGTCATGCACACTCCCAGCTTGCAGGGGCGCATTATCGAAGCAGCAGGTGATGTCTCAAAAATTGCTCCCACTCTGGAAGCACTCTTATTCAGTATATACTGCATGTCCATCTTGAGTCTTACTGCAGAGGACTGCCAGAAGATATTCGATTCTCCAAAGGAAGACCTTTTGATACGATATCAACAGTGCTGCCAACAGGCACTGTTGAATTGTTCGTTCTTACGGTCCAGCGATCGTGAATGCTTGACTGCGTTATATCTCTACCTGGTGGGCCTTGTCGGTAGCTAATTTCAGTCTTATGTTCTAACTATATCAGATCTCCGTCAGACCCAGTACAGTGCCTCAGTCTCTGTCCTCCTTGCTTGGTGTCGCAATTCGTATTGCGCAACGCATGGGCATTCACAGCGAGTCTGCATTGGCAAGCTGCACCGCTGTGGAAGCCGAAATGCGTCGAAGGCTGTGGTGGTCTCTCGTTCTTTTCGACACCCGCATCGGCGAGACCGCCAATTCCAAGACCACCACGCTAGATCCCACTTGGGATTGCAGGATTCCTCTCAACGTGAACGACTCAGATCTACGGTCAGAGATGAAGAAGCTACCGGCGACGCAAGCAAACACCACCACCGAGGCACTATTCGCCGTTGTGCGTTGCGAGTTGGGTGAAGTGATCCGTCATGCCCGCTTCCATCTTGATTTCACCACTCCGACCTTGAAGACCAGTGGCTATGATCTCCACGGGGGACGTGACGGGGAAGGCATTGAGCTAGTCAAGCTAGAGGAGATGATTGAGGACCGGTATCTCAAGCACTGTGACCATGAGCACCCGCTCCACTTCATGACGATGTGGACAACTCGGGCCCACCTCGCCAAATATCGCCTCCTAGAACACCTGTCAAGATCCTCCAGTCCATCCATCCGACAGACAGACGCGCAGCGTGACATCGCCACTGCATATGCGCTCAGGATGCTAGAGTGCGATACCAAGGCCATGACTTCGCCGCTGACCAAAGGATTTCGCTGGCTAAATAACTGGCACTTCCCGTTCCCAGCATACATCCAGGTGGCCCAGGACCTGCGAAGCCGGCCTATGAGCTCACACACTCGACAAGCCTGGGACATCATCAGCGACAGCTACGAGGCGTGGTTTGGTTCGCACGTTCTGGAAGGCGGTCCGTTTTTCCGGCTTTTCGCAAAGATCGTCCTTGGGGCGTGGGAGGCGTGTGAATCGGCCTGGAAACACACTGAGAAGGGGACTCTCTTGGCGACACCGAGGATCGTTTCATCCATTAAGCACGCATTGTCACATGCGGCGCGACCTGCACAGGACACCGGCACCGATGTGCCGAGCACCGTTGGGGCCAATGGACTTGACGGATGCCCAGTGCCAGTGTCGACACCAATACAGATGCCGATGCCGATTCCGGTGTCGTCGACGCCGATGGGATTTTCTGCCCAGAGCCTGCCGCATAGTTCAGGGACGCAGGGTGACTGCGCAGTGATCAGCCCAGGGATATACACTGGCATGCTAGGGCCAGACGCTCAAGGGGACCAGTGGGACTGGGCTGGGAGGGCTTCTGAGTAGTCAACACCTGCGGGCGAGGGTAAGAAAGGCCTGCATATGATCTATTGGTATTGGCCTTTGCAGCAAAATGAATACGTGGGCGAGACAAGTCTGCGAACGTCCACGTTGATGTTCGTCGTTTCAAGAATTGCAGTTATTAAGTACCTAACCTACCACTCAGCGACGAGTCTCGAGTACGCCTCCACAGCTGACCTGTCCTGACCACAACAAGCTCCTCATGTGCTAGCTAGGCCAGCCTATTGCTCTCTGCGCAGCTTCCTGAGATATGTTTCTCAATGTCCTGGACTCCCAAACCACTTCGATCACAGTAGAAATCCAACCCTGCTCGTCGATGTTGAACCTTGTCTGGCTCTTCATGTACTGCTGCCACCACCGACCTAGCAGGTTTCCTGCCGCCCCCACTGTCCGCCTCAGCGATTTCCGTGCTGTACGAGACACATATCTCTCATTCATCGGACTCGAAACTTTCTGAGCACTTCGATTGTCAAGTTGTTCAATATGTGGACGCTAGACTGGGTGCTGATCGCTTGATCCTTCTATACCCTCGCCACTCGAGCGGAATTTCGACCTATTCGTCCGTTTCCTGTGCTAGAGGCTTCGCCCACTTGCGGAAGACGATTTGGATCCCATCGACTTGCTTGCGGGGTCTCCTTTGGCCCTTGACTTTGTCGTAATGTATACTGTCGGTGAAATGCATTTTTCAGACAGTCAATCATTCGCGGCATGCGACTATTCCAAGGAAGACTTGACATCCGCGCGGGGCGGTCACGGCTGGTTATTTGTCTTCCTATAACTTTCTCTCATATCTTCGACGAAACGTTTTATTTGGTCCGTCACCTCTAAGAATCACCTCTTCGAGAGAATCGTAGGAAGTTCATGTACCACGATAGTGGTGGTCGAGGAAAAGAGAGGGGACCATTCCTGGTTGATTTGGCGACAGACAAACTGAAGAGAACACCTCGTCCTGATGACCTCTCGACCTTGTCTTCTTCGTTGGCTGCCACTGGCGGGAAAGAGACGAAGTTTGCATAGACCCGAAAGCGGATCTCAGCAGGCAGATCTAGGAATGGAAATGGTCGATCCCGGGCGGTGGGCGAGATTTAATCAGTCGGTTCCTCCTGCACCTCTAGCGGTGTCTCCAGCTCTTGTGAGGAGTCTGACGCCGATGTCGGGTTAGGTGTTGGAGGCACCCGTGAATAAAGCCATCCTCTCACACAGTTTGTGGAGGCAGTGGATTTCTCGATTTCTCGATTTTGAGGACGGTGGCGTCGGTGAATACGATGGGGTGGTGATAAAGGATGGGGTGGTTGTGGCCAGGACTGAAAAGAGAGACTCGCCAAGCTGTAAGATCACAGCTTGACGCGATGTGAGATTGAGGGCACAGCGCGAGTGTGAGAAAAGGTTCGAAGAAAAAGAGATAGAAACGAATGAGGAGGTGGAAGAGGGAGGGGAGTTAAATAGTGTCGAAAGAAGGATCTCCCAAAGATTTTTGAGTTAACCTCGGAATCTTGCTCACTCTTCAATGAGATCCGTTGGAGGAAAACATCTAGACTAGGTATTTCGCCTCATAATTTCTATGGGCACTCAATCCTGGACTGATAACCGGAAAATACTTCGTGCCATGCCAACCATTTTGTATCGTGGCGGGCTCCGTTTATGACCCCTTGTTGTTCGAATGCACATTCCCAGGTTGCTTGCATCATGTGAGCGAGTCTCATTCCCTCTTCCCACAGCCATTTTCGCATCCGAAGACAGACTCAGGGCAACAGTTGTTTCACTGGTAGCTCTAGCCACTCAGAACGTTCTGCTGATGACGATCGTTGCGACTTGCGAAAGATCAATTGGAGCTCATAGATTAAGTCTCTCGCGAATAAATGCAGTGGATCAGTCGGATTCAAGATCGTGCTGTCGCATCGCATTCGTCGTACGATCGTCCAAGATTCGAAACGTCCAAGTCGATCTCCTGGCCGGAAGAAGTTCTGCACGGCGTCCCATTTCCTGGATCCTCCACTACACTTCTCCCAAACCTCTTCCAATGTGTGTAGACCGGATATGAGGCCCAGCGTGTTGTAGGACACAGTAACCTCTTCCAGCATCTCAAGAGCTTCTCCTTTGGTGTCCTGAATTACTCTTGCAAAACTTTTCAAGTCGTCCAGGTCCATACAGTCCACGCATGATCCTCTGATAACATAATGCAGCTTTCGGATTCTGTTCAGCTTGTATTGAGGCAGTCTGTCAAGGAAAACTGTTTCGAATAGAACGGATCCGGGGAGTTGGATTTGAGAAAAATCGTGAACCATCTCAGTGCCTCTTTGCTGGATTTCCCCAGAGCTCATCATTGGGAATCTTTGTTGAATCCTGGACACCGAGACCCAATCCAGGTCTCGAATCAGCTTTCGCACGGTGATGGTGCTGGTCGAGAAAAAGAGCGGATCCCACTCTCTACTGACTTGATGACATAGACGCCTGAGGTCCTTTCTTGCCAACAGGATTTTCAATATTTCCTCTTCCTCTCCCAGTTTACGCAGATAGTGTATTTTCTTTGGGGGGATCCAGAGGAAACAGCCATAGATTTGAAGTCGGATTTCGGTTGGGAACTGAAGGAATGGCAGCGCCGATGGGACTGCATTTGCTGGCTTTCGGGCGAGTCGCTTCGCTGTAAGAAGCTTTCGTGGCTGAGAGACCGGTGTAGAAGTGAGTGTGACGGGAGAAACTGGCACAACTTCCTTTGGGGGGAGTGCCGGGACCAAAGACAGTCGCTTAAATGTCTCCTCTATCTGGGCTAGCATTTCTGCGTTTTCTGTCATTGACCTTTCTGACCCAATGGGACTGGAACGACGACAACTTGCGGCATTTGAGACCCTTGGCACAGCGTTTTGACGATTTCCGCGTCTTGCATGAGGTGCTTTGCTAGGAAGTCTACCCAGAGTGGTAGTCTTTTCAACGGCAGGAAGGGGAACGGCATTGTCGGCGGACAAGTTGCGGCTAGATTTCGAACAGAATTTAAACATTTTGCGTCGGTGACTAGGTGAAAGACGATCTCGGGAGGATTGCTGCTGTCGAGGTGGGAATGGCGTCAATTAAGTCCTGGTTCGTGTCGCGATAAGGGCCTTGACAGACGGTAGATTCTTTGCGCAGGCAGCGAGCTGCCCATATTCACTGAAACTTGACTTCCCTGCCTTTGTCTCTGGCTTGCAACTGCCTACACCCGAATTCCTGCGCAATTACCTTGACATATCGAAGAGAAGGGGTAGTAGATTCTGCGCCAAAGCAGGTAGATAGATAGCATTCGGCACATCAAACTGGGCCGTGCCATGGACGCGCTGGAGATGGGTCTGGCACTAACCAGGTACAAATGCCTTTGCCACTGCCACACACTTCACTTAATAAAAGAGAAGTCACGTCCACGCACAAAAAAAGGTAGAAAAGAAGACACAAAAAAATCCCCCTCCAGCCTTGAACAAAAAGCAAAAACTTACTTCGAGGTTGGCCTCGACCTAAGAAACCCTCCGCTGTGCAATGGTGGGTTTTTTGAAAGCCGGCTGTGAAACACAGTCAGCACATGGATGCAACTAGGGCCCCCTCTCCAGCGCTATCTCCAGCGAGAAAGTTGGCTGGATACTGGAAGGGGGACACCTCCATGAACCGTCTTTCCGACGCTATCTCAGTGAGAAAGTTGGTACGGATACTGGAAGGGGCTCAAGTGGTCACTCCAATAATCGCCTGCCTCAGTTCCGCTCTTCAGTCCCTTCGGCAAAGGAAATTTTGCGACAATGAAGTATATACTGCAAGCACTGCTGAGTGGGTCTCGGGTCACATGTGTGATTGAGGGTGGTGTCGCCAGAATTTCATCAGCCTTGTCCTCGTTGCGGCCTTGCGAGAAGAGTCTATCCGCACCCCGCAGTTTATGTCCTGGAATCCAAGTTTGGCTTAGGCAGATCGCAGCACGGAACTGAAAGCTTGATGTGGGCCCCGAAATGCTCAACTCTCCACAGTTGACATCGACGCAGGTGGGACGCAGAGGAAGACGTACAACGAATATCAAGGCCTATGGAGGGTATCTTGACGAATGCCTAAATACGTATGCCAACACTCTGCTCCCCACCACAAGATCCATTCCTGATCCATTCCCACCCAGAACCAAACATGACCAAATGTCGAAGCAGCGTCAAAGGCTCTTCGCCCTACAACATCAGGAACTGCCCAAGCAGTTTGGTTAATAAAAAAGGATTGCAGAGACAGCCGCTGGGATTCACCTCTCCCTTGACGAAAGCCAGTGTTAGGGTCGAACAACGAGTGTATACTGCTGCTTTCATGACATTGCAGCAGATTAGCCGCAGTCAACCACGGACTTCCCTTATTCTTGCCCAGCCTTGTCACTCTTCATTGATCCATAAGAGCCCAATACCAAATTCGCGTCACAACAATCAGCTCTCCACCATGGCGGAGACCGAACTGAGAAAAAAACAGCAATCACAATAGAAGACTGTATCCTCCATATCACCTACACTGGCACCGGCTCTAACCTCCTAACCCCCATCCCTAGCGGCCATAGAACAGGGGCCTCAGTATGAGCGAGGGGTAGAGAGCTTTATTGCGCTTCATTCGAAAGTGATGATCCGTTAATAGGCACGCCTACAAGAGATCTAGATATGGAAATTGACACGACCATGTCTACTGGTTCGAGAACGAGGACCTCGTCTTCACCATCTACTTGCTCAATCTGCTCGAGTTGAAGGCCTACTTGACAGGACATTTCTCAAGTACAATGCCACGCGCCTGTGTGGCTGGCGAGGCGAGCGCAAGCGCCCCGTATGCAATGACAACCTTCGTCCAGAAGGGTATACTGGGTTGTTGGCATCATGTATGGGCCCGGTGGACACCTGATCTCTGTGCCGGACCCGAAAGCGCTCATTCAGGCCATGTTGGAGACTCTGGGAAAGCTTGAACCATAGAACCTTATTTCCAATACGATAATTGGGCAGGGTCCTTGAGGTTTGCGCGGCTACACACGAATCATAATGGTAGTATAATAATGGACGTGAGGGCTCGAGACCATGGAACATTCATCAAAGCTATTTTAATAAACAAACAGCACTATTAATATCTTCTCCTCAGAGTGAGTGCAATCTGAATGCTTTGCACCAGTCCCTTCAAAGGCATCTTATTTAACATCTGCCATCATCTTAGCCGCTCGTTTGTCCTGCCAGCAGTGCGTGTGAGCTGGGCGTCACCCATCAAAGATGAGCACGTCCTGAAGTCTTGATGATTCTTTCCAAGGATGGGCTGCCAGACAAGGGTTTCCCGTTTCGGTCATTGGTTGGAATTCGCTGTGAGGCGAAGGCCAGAAACACCGCTTCCCAATGGCCGTCTGGAAATCGCAGGAAGAAGGCTCCATCCTGTCCGACGCCATTGGGAAAGCCAACACTGCCTTGGTTCATATGAACGTCATGAATTCCAGAGCCAAAGGACGAGCCATAGAGATAGATTTTTGCTTGTTTTTCGATAGCGCCGTCGAGTATGGGTATGAGTTGATCGAGGATGTCGTTGTCCGGTCCGCTCTCGGTAAATGGCAAGATCCTGCCATCGGGCAAATGGAGCAGGTTGTCAGTCCGATCATAGTCGAGGGCAAGGTCAATCGTGCTGAGGTCATTGGCTGTAAGGTGGCGGAAGCCAAGCGCTAGACGTTCGAGGTCTCGAGTAAGGGGGTGAGAGAAATCACGGTCGAACCAGTAGACGAGTTCGTTTGGTGTGGCCTGAGATTTGACATTGATCGCTGCCTTCCGCTCGGTGGTTCCGTTCTTGTCGTCTGTGAAGACAAGGTTGATATGAGGACTTGGGTCGTTCGGGGGGTCAACTTGGTATGAAACTGGTGTACCCTTCCATACGCCATAGTGGGGGATAGTCATTGTGGCTTGTCTGATAGACGATGACGTGTATGAGAATGGTCAGCCTAAAATCGAAGATGAGAAGGAAGATTGCTTTGCGTCATGGAAGGGCCTGAAGGGCAGCCTTTATAGAATTTCAGCTGCGGGGGCACTGGCAGAATCGAAGGGACAAAGTCTCAGGTTGTCGGTGATTCAAGTAGCAATTTTCATTCACAGCCCTCGTCCTCGTATTCGAGGGCCATTGAGAGGCGGAGTTGGGAGAGAGGCCAAGCAGGGCTTATTCTGTAAAGACAACCAAGCCTTGGATGCCTGGGTTTGGGTTGACACAAGTTGTAGAAGGCTGTTGTCGCGCTAGAGACAGTAGCAACATCGGGCGTGACTTCCTCCTGGCTCACCGCGCCGAAGTATGAAATGGCATCACATTCTGATCGACTCATGGACAGTTTTATGAACACCATAGGTAATGGCACGACTTCTTGCTCAAGAAGTCACACATGAATGCATCATCCGTTTGCCTGTCCTAGGGGCTGTATCGGCGTCGGTCGGAGCGCAGGCGAGTACGGCAGGCCAAGGCATTCTGTACCACCTGAGCGATCAACCACCATGGCACCACGCTTGGAAGAGGTGTGATGCCTGGCACCCTGTCTCAACTCCCTGCTCGTAGAAAGAGGCGTACCTGCCAAGACGACGTCCGGAAAATGAGGGTTTCGTCCTAGAGTGGAACTGTCAAAAACTTCTCGTGATTTCTGGGGCTCGCTGTCTGTGCCTCTATGCCAACCCGTGACATTGCTGACCATCGAGCGGAGGCATGGGCAGTGAGACCAGGCAGGCCGATATCATCCAATAGAGATTCATTTGTAGCCCTCAATCGGACGAGAAGGGCGACTTGTCACGCATGATTTCTCGCGACCAGTCAGTGGTGCCTGGCTGCGGTTGTTACACAGGAGCTTCTGGACACGCCTCTCGTCACCTCAGCCGCAAAAGCGTTTGAAATGAAAGTATATGGGAGAAGACTTTCGCACAGCAGCGATTCTTGGTTGGAGCTCTAGGTCGTTCGTTGATGGTCGAGAACCTGCGGAAGGCGCAATCACTTGACTGTCGACATGTGAATAGCACTTGCCCAGAAAGTCTAATGGGAAAGTGACAGGCGTTGTCACACCCGACTTTGCCAACTTGATTCAGCTCAGCAGACGGGAATCACGACAGTTACTCCCCGTGGTAAGGCGACGCAATTTTGTGGAGCTGAACCAGAGGTGAGAAGTTCGTGTAGAGTTCGTGTCCAGGCCTGAGCAGCGTCTCCGCAGGTCTCGGCTGAATGTGGGTGTGAAAATGAGCGAATCGCAGGTGCAGCCTCAGCTGCGGCTGGACTCGTCCACCTCTCATGCCTCTCGTGCCTCTCATGCCTCGCCTCCAGCCTCTTGGACGTCGCTCAACTCTCACGGCTCTCAGAACTCTCAGAACTCTCAGGTCGGCCTCAGCACCTCTGCTCCCGCTCCTCGAACGTTGCGGTCCTGTCTTCCGGTCTCCAGGTCTGGAACAGAACGCCACCAACGGAACAGACCTCCGTTCACCTGCACTCAAGATGCATTTAAAGATCTCGTCCACAGAGGCCTCCAGGGAGTCCAAAATTTCTTTCATTCTCTATCCTGCATTTGTAAGAGAATGTCTTCAGAATCATCATCATCGCCTATCATGGGGAGCATACAGACACCGGTGAATACTGTCACCTCAATCCCATTGAAGACTGGTTGGGACGAGGGGGCTTTTACTTCGGAGCTGCTGAAACAGTCAATCGTCCCAAGAGATATCTCTGCTGCCGACACCAACAAGAAGATTACCCCTCCAAAAGATGTTGGGAAGCCTCCTCCACTCCAGGCTGGGACGTATCGAGGTACCAAGTTGGCTCTGACCCAAATGATGAAGCGAATTGAGACAAGGTATTTCGGGATATCCCATCTCTGCTCAAGGACATGAAATACTGAAAGTGCACAGATTCGAATCCTTTTTTGACGTAGCTGGGTTTGAAACTAGCGTCCCACTGGGCCTCGCTGTCAAGCCAACGGAGCTCTACACGTTTCAGAAGCCAGGGAGTGACAATTACCCGCCGCATCTCGACATCATCCCCAAGGTGGACCAAGTCAACTTGCTCAACATCTTCGACTTCATGAGGCTCCTCGATACCGGCACCCTCGTCGGTACTCTTATTCCGGACACCATCCTTGACTTTATCCACGACCATCCAGAGGGTCCAACGGTTGATGCCATCGAAGCACGCAATAATGAGCTCCACAAGAACAAGGAGGACATTTTTGATGAGGAGAACATTGGCAATCGCTCCGACTGGTGGACCGATGCCGTCTTTGCCCAACAGCAATTTGTTGGCACAAACCCAACCACCATCCAAAAGGCCTCGCCTGAATGGCTCAAGGGTTTTACCGATCTCGCCCAGTCAAACACTGAAATGCATAGTCTTTTGTCTGATGGGAACCCTGACTCCTTCTACATCCAGGACTGCAGTTATTTCCGAGACGCTGTCGGGGCAGGTCAACACGCAGACTTGATTTCAAATGATGGGATGAGACGTCTGTGCGCTTCGGTGACTCTCTTTCAACTCACAGACGCAGGGATCCTCCACCCACTGGCAATAGCTGTTGATTACAAGGGTAGCCTTGCGGACTCGGTGGTCATCTTCAACAAGAGGTCCAGCCCATCCAGCCCAGAATCGAAAGACGATTGGCCGTGGCGGTACGCAAAGACATGCGCTCAGGTCTCTGACTGGCTCAGACATGAAGTCACAGTGCACTTGGTCGATACTCACCTGGTGGAGGAAGTTACCATCGTGGCAGCTCATCGAGCCTTCTCGATAGATCATCCGGTGTATCGTCTCCTTCAGCCTCATTGGCTCAAGACCTTGTCAGTCAACGCGGCGGCTCGGGCTACCCTCGTTCCGAACATTATCACCAAGATAGTGGGAGTCACGGACCCTCAACTCTATTCATTTGTCAAAGATGCGTACCGGCGCTTCGATTGGACCGGACGATATGTGCCGAATGACCTGACGACAAGAGGCTTCCCTCCCAGTGAACTGGCTAGCAACCCGAAGTTCCATAACTATGCATATGCGCGAAACATGAATCTCATGTGGCAGATCCTCCGCAAATTTGTTTCAGCTGTTCTCGCCATCGACTTCCATTCCGACGAGCAGGTTGAGCAGGATGAGGAGATTGGCAACTGGACCAAGGAGATGCAGGCCGACGATGGAGGACAGATGAAGTCGTTCCCACAGATCAAAACTATCGACAGCCTGGTTGATGCTGTCACAATGTGCATCCATATCGCCTCGCCGCAGCATACCGCCATCAACTATCTCCAAAGTTATTACCAGACGTTCGTTATCAGCAAGCCTTCGGCTCTATTCTCACCGCTGCCGACCACCCTCGATGCACTCAAGACATACAAGGAGGAAGACTTACTTGCTGCGTATCCGATCAAGCACGCACGTGAATGGCTTCTGGCATCTCACATCCCCTATCTCCTCAGCTACAGAGTGGCGGAAGAACAGAACATGCTCAATTTTGCCCTTTCCACAGCCAAGCTTGCTTCGTTGAACAAGCAGACTCAACTTGCTGCCGCAGCGGCGCAGCTATATGCTGATTTGATGGATCTGGCTGGAGTCTTCCAGCAGAACAGCAAAGATATGGATGATCAGACGAAGCCCTATGATGTGATGGACCCCGAAGCTACGGCAGTCTCGATCTTGTTGTGAACGGGAGTGCCATACAGAGTGGTGAGCAAATTGGCAGGCGGACAAGAGGTGGATGAGCCAGGAGAACCATGATTATTATGAGAACACCCACTTAATAGGCATGATAATACGTACATGCGTTCAACAAGACAAGTATAAAAATTCCTCTCTTTGGGTTTGCTCTCTGCAGGGCTCTCCGTGTTGATTTCGTCGTTCTCGCCGATACCACACTAGGCTGGAGGGGACCAGAGGGACGTCAGGGGCAAGCGAATCCCTGCCCCTCATGTCGGCAATTGATCTACCGAAGTTTCATTTGCCGAGTCAATGTCACACATGCAAAAAGCCAGTCTCATCGCCGTGAATTACTGGTTTTGTCGTCTGAAGCCTGAGGCTGCCGGGAGGTGAAAATTGCAAATGAAAGTATTGCACTTCATCCTTCAAAAGCGAAGCATATCCCTTTGACTCAGGTTCCTGCTGAGAAAGTATTGTGGGAAGAAACATTGCGAGAAAAAAGCAAACAAGAAACGGGGCCTTTTGAATTCTGTTCTGTAAACAACCCCTAAGAGAGAGAGATGGAGGCATTGGCGAAGATGTTCTCGCTTTCCGGCAAGACAGCCGTCATAACGGGCGCGAGTCGAGGTATAGGCGCAGCCATGGCGATTGCTTTGGCCGAGGCTGGTGCAGATATCATTCTCATTCAGGTGAGAGAGTGAGACAGAAAGCTAGCGACGGTGGATTAGGTCGAGGGCGTCCTTGAAAATGCTGGCCCAGCCTGTGCAATGCGCTGACTATCAGATGCTCGAATAGCGCGATGAAAGCAACAAGAAAACATATAATCAAATCCAACAACTCGGACGAAAGGCCACGATAGCCACAGCAGACCTGTCCGACCAGGAATCTGTGTCGAAGACTATCCCGGACCTGGTGAAGGCTGGCCATGACATGCACATCCTCGTGACATGCGCAGGGATTCAGAAACGACATCCCGCGCACCAATTCCCTCTTGACGACTGGAACACTGTGCTACAAGTCAACCTTACGACGGTGTTCACACTATGCCGCGACTTTGGCGCCTATCTCTTGTCAAAACCCGCACCGCCCTCACCGTCGCAGTCACGAGGAGCTATCATCAACGTGGCCTCTCTCTTGACATTCCAAGGCGGGATCACTGTGCCGGCGTATGCGGCGTCCAAGGGCGGCGTGGCTCAACTCACGAAAGCGCTCAGCAACGAGTGGGCAAAGGAAGGGATTAATGTCAACGCCATTGCGCCAGGGTACATCGACACGGACATGAATGAGGCATTGATTGCGAATGAGACGCGGGCGAGGCAGATTCTCGAAAGGATCCCCGCCGGACGATGGGGGACGCCCGAGGATTTCAAGGGCGCTGTGGTGTTCCTGGCGAGTAATGCGAGCCGTTATGTAAGTGGGGAAGTCTTGACTGTTGATGGAGGATGGATGGGGCGGTGATGTTCTCTGTCTTTCTCTAGACGAACTGAGATAGGTTTGTTGACTGCCCAAGATTTATATTCATTTCAGGCGCAACGACAGGCAAAAGACAAGATGTTGGAATGACATGTCAATGGGAAGAATTTTTGCGTCATTTAAAATATGGAAAGTTTGCGGGCACCTGTTTGGACATTTTCACTTTAACCTTCAGCGTCATCTCTACACGCTTCTGATACCAGTAAGTCCATTTGTTTCCATTTGTGATGCATCCAAGCTCTCTGATAGCTGTTTGTTGTCCACAAGACTTTCTCGACCAGTTTCACCACGCTGCGTATGCTTTGCACAACTCCACACCTAGATATCATGGGTTTCCCGAAAAGAGAGGATTCTACCAGCACGCGTGTCAATCTCTGACATGATTCGAACCGCCAGTCAGTTCGTGGGCTACCAAAGGTACTTTCTCCGCTGCGGCAAAGTGGTTAAATGTCAAGAGATGAAGTCTGCTCTTCTGTTCACGGTGATCTAAGTGCTGCTGTCTTCTAATTGTGCACACTACAAACCATGTTTTTTTGCCACCTTCTCTTGCTGTGACAACAACAGTGAGAAGCAGCATATCTCGGATCACCTGCCTGATACCGCTCAATAACGCTCAATAAACACTCATTTATTGAGCGACATGCCTCGCTTCCATACTGTTGCCAGCCGGCGTTATTCAGAAAGTCATGTGGGCCGGAGTGTTATTGAGGCAGTTATTCAAACGTCAACAGTACCAGTGATTGAGACACCATGGTCACAAGTATACAAAACCAGCTGATTCTCTTACTCTGTCCTTTTGTATTGTTTCTTTCGCTCTTTCATACTTCAAAGCAAGGTAATTGTTGAACTTCAAAGAACTGCTTTGTTATCCTGCTTTTTCGGTGGTCGAGACACAACTGCCTAACCTTCTTTCACATAATTTCATTGACCCAAGACAAAAGACACATACTATCTTCTCACTCCCAGGCCCTCTGCAAACATTCCATCTCGAAACTTGGACCCATACACCCGGACCGTATCAAACTGAAAACAAAATGGACAAAATTGGCCGTTTATTTTCAAATGTGCTCGACACGGTGTCTGAAGCATTCCGAAACCATGCAAACAACCATATCTACTCGCATCCGGGTCATCACGCCAGACGGGATCTAGCTGATGGCAATATAAGTCTCCGGGCTGCTCGGAGCTCTTTTAACAGTACCAATCCCACCATTACTATCTCCAGCGTTGCAGAAGCAGGTGGCAACCCTCCCACTGTCTCTCCGTTCTACACCGGTTTGAACGGAGTCAATCTGGAAATGGATGCTCAGCTGGTCAAGATGTTGTGGCTTTCAATCATCGCCGCACTCACGATTGTGTTTGCTCTGCGACTGTCCCAGCTGTTTGTATCTTACATCCGGAACATCTACTGCATGACGACAGAAAAGCCCTCTCAACAAAACTACTACGGCGTCGATCACTTCAGGATCTGGAGCTGGCTGAAGAAGCATATCATCTACGCACCGCTCTGGAAGAAAAGACACAACCGCGAGTTCCAACTATCCGGCGCGGTCAACTATGGCACTCTGCCAAGCCGTATCCACTCATTGCTCCTGTTCATTTATGCGGTCACTAATTTGATCTACTGTCTTCTTCTCGATTGGGGTAACCCGCAGAAGGGGGCGTTGTACGCGGAGCTACGTGGACGAAGCGGCATCCTGGCCACCGTCAACATGATTCCTCTTATCGTGCTCGCTGCTAGGAACAACCTCGCAATACCGATTCTCAGAGTCAGCTTTGACACATTCAATCTTTTCCACCGCTGGATCGGCAGATTGGTCGCCGCATTATCGGCCATCCACTTCTTCGCGTGGCTAGCTGCGTATAAGTTGGCCAAAGGAAACCAGGCAACATTCAGAATTTTCAAAGGCGCTCCTTTTCTCGATTACGGCCTCCTAGGCTTGGTCGCGATAGTCTTGTTGCCGCTGCATTCGTTGTCACCCATTCGACACGCCTTTTACGAGACGTTTCTTCACGTTCACCAATGGCTGGCATTCTTTGCCCTGCTCGGGGTATATGTCCATCTCGACATTATGCATCTACCTGCCTATCCCTCAATTTTGACTGCGGTGTTGCTTTTATTGGCGGAAAGACTTTGGCGCTTGGGCACCATCGCATATCTCAATTACTCCCGGTCAGGCGGCATGACAACCGCGATCGTTGAGGCGTTACCAGGTGATGCATGTCGTGTCACCTTTCAATTACCGCGGCGTATCACAATCCGGCCGGGCAGTCATATGTATGCATATCTCCCCTCGATCTCGCTTTGGATGTCGCATCCATTCTCAGTCGCCTGGACGAATGTCGAGTCAGAACCCCCAATCTGTGGCCACAATTTCGAATTGCAGAGACCACCGACCCCGAACTCTTTGGAGAGACAGTCAGTCTTCAGCTCACTATCAAAAGCACCCACAATAGTCTCGCTGGTTATGGTCGCACGAACTGGAATGACGAGACAACTGTACCAGAAGGCTCGTGCTGCCCCCGATTGCCAGCTTCAACTACGAGGATTTCTGGAAGGTCCCTATGCCGGCCACGACTCGCTTGTCAGTTACGGTACGGTCGTCATGTTCGCGGGCGGCGGTGGCATCACCCACCATCTCATTCAGATCCGACACCTCCTGGCAGGTGCGCGGGCTCAAACCGTAGCGACACGGAAGATTGTCCTCGTGTGGTCGATCCGCGACACCGAGTGTATGGAGTGGGTGAAGCCGTGGATGAACGAGATCTTACACATCGAAGGCCGGCGAGAAGTTCTCATGATCAGAGTGCATGTGAGCAAACCGACGAGAGCGATCAATCATAGCAAGAGCAAGCCTACCATGCAGATTGTTAAAGGGAGGGTTGATCCTGGCGCTGTGCTGGACGAAGTGATTCCTGTGAGGGTCGGGGCTGTTATGGTGAGCGTTTGCGGGCCTGGTGCACTAGCAGACGAGGTGCGAGCAGCAGTGAGGAGCAGGATACATCTAGGCAATTTGGAGTTGAATGAGGAGAGCTTTACCTGGTAGTCAGGGACGGTGGAGGATGAGGAGAGGGGAAACCTATGAAAAGTTGAAGTTGCTTTTTGCTGTTCAATATACTCCGTACTACCCAGTATTGAATGCTTCAGCCTGGACTCAGTAGGGAGAGCTTGGGAGAGCTTTGACACACAGATCGCCATTACGGCGACGTCGCTTGCTGCAATCATCTTATCCCCTAGACCTCCAGGTTCCGTAACTGCGGTCCGTATATGTGAAATTGTTGCGGGTGGCCAAAAGGTGGCAAGAATGACGATACACTGCTTACGTATAGAGGTGCTAGATAGACTTTCTATGCTGCGAGGACCAGATCATGTGGCCTCTTTGACACAGCCTCGTTCCACATCCATCGTGCCACGCAAGGAGCATTGGGTGCCGGGACGGCAGACTGGACTTGGCTCGGAGGATTAAGGATCTTGCGGGTGACGATCAATTCGTCGCATTCCACTGCGGTTCTGGCGAGGCAAATGCTTGTGGAGGAAAAGCACCCGCAGATGCTGTCGCCTCGGAGTCGGGAGAAGATTGCTGACGAAGAGGTTGTGCAGCCCCAAGAAGTCCCAAGAAATCAAAGTGCGCGGCTGACCGGGCGAGATCGTCTTCATCTTAAGGCCGGTGACTGCGTTGTGGAGAGAGACGCGGCCCTGCGTTTTGCCCATCTTACAAGAATCAAAAGCAGACCACCAGACCAGTATAACAACACATCCAAGTACTCAAATTCCCTTTGATCTCTCGCACTCTTTGTTCTTTGTTGTTCCTTTCTCCACACAACCTCTAGGCTCCAAGACTTGTCTCCCGACCTGCTTGAAGACGCGACCCCCGGAACGTGCAGTAGTTGCTTCTGCGAGAGATCTGCCATTTGTCCCCCTGCCTGTGCCCTGCCTGTCCTACCGACCCAGTGACAGCTTCCTCATAATTTAGTCTGCAGATTGGGTCGCAGGAGGACAATACTCCACGCCGCCTGTTGCCGCAGGCTGATCTACGAGTCCTCCATCTGGTCGCAATTCATATTCGCACACCGCAGTCAACATCCGACGATCGCGAAGTTCAAGTGGTGCGAGTCAGAGCTCAGCCACCGCGATGAAGAAGTTTCTGGGCAACATTAAGAAGAAGAGTGGTAGTATGCGATAGCCGTCTTGTTGAGGGTTGCTGAGGCTGATGAGGATGTTGCGCCAGGCCCCGAGCGAAATGGGAGCAGCACCACCTATGTACTGCCACAGGGCGATTCACCTGAAGCTGTCGTGGTTCGCGAAGTCGTGAGTCCATACTACAGCTTTCACGTTGTCACGGGTCGCCAGCTAAAGTCAGCGTTCAGACAGCATTCTGCGAATCAGGCGCCCCTAATTCTGATACCGCCGGCGAAGAATACCTCCACCTGCCAGCCATAGTTGATGCCGCCGAATCGAGTCCTACTGCGGCCAAAGAGGCGGCTGCGACCATTCGCCGATACCTGGGTAAAGAACACTACCGGCGAGGGTTTGCGCAGTACAACGCCGTCATGCTCACTCGCATTCTGACCGACAACCCGGCGCATGCCTTTACCCAGAACTTCGATCACAAATTCGTCGCGACCGTGAAAGAGCTCCTGCGGGAAGGAAAAGATACCAGTGTACAGCAGATCCTCAGGGAGACGTTGGACTACTTGGAGTTCGAGAAAGCGCCCGGAAATGACAGCCTCGGACCTCTGATGGAGATGTGGAAGAAGGAGAAGGGAAAGCGAAATGCCCTCCGCCCTCCGGTAAGCCGCGATGTTTCCAAGGTCAAGAGTCGAGGAAACTGATCATTGTCGACGATAGCAGACCCAAATACCTGGTGCTTTCTCTGGCCACTACCACCACCAACAATCCAGACGCCGGGACACACTTCCACCACCCGATGAGCTGGCCGGACGGATCGAAGAAGCAAAGACTATAGCACGACTTCTCGTCCAGACAGTCCAGTCAACCGGCCAGGCAGAGCTATTGGCGAATGATCTCGTTAAAGAGTTTGCGGACCGCGCGAAAACGATGCAGCGAAGCATTCAGTCATACCTGAATGCCCAAAATCCCGCGCCCGACCCTGACACGATGCTGACCCTGATCGAAACGAATGATCAATTGAACATCGCCATGTCAAAACATCAGAGAGCGGTTCTGCAAGCTCGGAAAGCGACTGGCATGGCGACGCCTAGCCCTCAACCGCAACCAGAGCCTCAACAGAACCCCTTGGTCACGCAGCACGTCCCAGGCCAGAATGTGTACGCGCCACCATCTCAGCCTCAATCAGTGCCGATCGACCACGGACCGTACTCTTCCTCGCCCCCTCGCCGGCAAAATACGATCCCCACACCCGTGAGTCCACTGCGGAAGGAGGAGGAAGAGCTTTATGCGCCGCCTCCAGGCCCTCCTCCGAGCAAAATGGGACCGCCGCAAAATCCACCACCGCCAACGAACCCCAACCTGTATGACTTCTCCAACGCCGCCGTGTTTTCCTCTGCCTATGCCGCTCCCGACCCACCTCCTCCCGTCCCGACCCGGGTTCGTCCCCAGTCACATGCCTACTCATCCAGTGCCGACTACGGTGTGGCTGAGAATCCGTTTGCAGATGATGGATATGGAGCGCCGCAGCCACAACCGAGATCGAATGCGTTGTTTGACAGACAGGAAAGCACACCCTCGCCTCACCCTCCGCAGCAATATTCCGCGAATCCATACCCGCAGGAATTGCCGAGCGACCAACAGCGGCCTGGACCTTACAATGCAGGATATCAACCAACGCCGAGCTACCTGCACCGACAAGAATTGTCGGCAGATCATGGCACGATGCACGGAGGAAGTCCAGCGTCTTCTGCGCCGGCACCGAATGGGAGGTCATCATATCCGCCGAGCAGTGGCTACGGGCGCAACCCTGCGAGCCCGGTTGACGAGACGCAGGGCGTGGGCAGGAGAATGAATGATTTACACATCTGAAAGCGCACGCCGAGTTGACGACATTAATGGGTTTGGACTAGAGAATCAGGATACAGATACCCTTGCGTACCGTCCGCGAATCTTCTATGTAGAATGACTCCCCAAGTATTGCCGAACGCACATGTTTTTTGACGACCGCTTGCGTATCGGAATTAGGCCCTGTAACCAACTCTAGTATTGACTCAGTCGGTGCGAGGTACACCATTTGACTCAGCTCCCCTATCCTCACTATCTATGTACCCAGATTACTCGTGAACGAAAAATCTAATTGCTATGTACGGTTTGGTCCTGGTGGGTGAGCGAAGCCTGCTTTAATCTGAGCTTTAATTGAGCCTTTAGCTGATGATCACTGAGCACTCCCTGAGCAAAACACTGAGGGGCCTAAGCTGGCACCCTAGCAATCGGCTAAGCCTCGGTCTCTGTTCCATAGGTAGGTACTGGCGTCCGGGGACCCTGCCAGGATCCCTGCCATTGCGCTGCTGCATAAATATTTGGGCCAGGCGGTGTGGCCGGGTGCGTGGTTGAATCACGCGCCGCAGAGCAAGGGATCTGGTTAGGCAAACAGGGACCCAGGGAAGAGACATCGACCCAGGTAAGGTCTCCGCCAAACTGCGAGCACTCAGTGGTCGCAGTAAGCGGCCTCCCCCCCCCCGGTGATGGTGCCCGATAGCTCCACACCGCCTGAACTTTTGGTTGGCTTTCATCCCACTTTTGGTCTGTAGGAGTTCCATTTGGCCATCGGACCAATGTAAGATATAATGTCCGTCTTCAATCTCGCTGAGCATGAAGGGTCTGAATAGCCCGGAGACCGTCAACAAGTCATTCTATGTCTCCTACCTGAAACACAACTTCAAGTACAGGCGTGTTTCGCTAACTACGAAAAGAGAGAAGAGAAGATTCGTGAATACAGGAATGAGGCTCCTTGAAGCAACCACGGTTAGAGGCGTGCGACGAGGCGCGCACTCCACCAAGATTGCTCGAGTGTAATATTAATTATGACCATGCACCCATGGATGGGAACGGGAACGGCAGCATTGATGGCGAATCAATAGCTTTCATCTGTCTTCTTTCTATGTTTCGTTCTATATCTCCCTCCCGCCACCACCACCACCACCATCATCGACCACAGCCACAAACATCTGACTTGCTTTTTCCTCCCTCGTCTTCACGGCCACTCTCGCCGTCGGATAGTTCCTCATCTCGGCGTACAAATCCTCCACCTTCGTCGCCGTCTCATTGAACTTCTCATCCTCAAACAATCCTGCCACCAGCGCCCCGATCCCCAACCGCGCTTGCACATCCCTCACACCGTGTCTCACACACAGAACCCACGCCCACGCACCCAGCGACAAACCAACCACAGGCAGCACCAAATTCAGCACAATCAACGCCACGAACTCCGCGACGGGCACCTTCGCGACCTGCTTCGTTTGAACCTGGAACATACTGACCGCCTGCTGATCCGGGAGCAGCCCGGCACTCAACCCCAGAATCGTGCGATCGAACACCCTCGCAAACTGGTACGCCAGATCCTCCGAGCTCGCCGCCGAGGCTGCGGCCAGGTTGACTCCCGTGCCCAGATTCGGATCTCCGAAACTATATGACAAGGCGCCGTAAAAGGGCGAACTTGCGGTGTCGTTCATTGGCGTAGTGACGGCGTCGTAGATGCTCCCGTCGGTCCTCACCGAGTACGTCACATCCGACAGGGTCGTGTTGCATGAGAGGATGCCGTAGATGTTTCCGTACGTGTCCGCAAGGAGATCTTTGTCTGGGTCGTAGTACATGTCGCTGATCATTTGAGTGTCTTCGCCCCTGTACATTCCCTCGTCGCTGCCAGCCGGCAAAGAGAACAGTACTGCGGACCATATTTGGCCGTGTGCGGCGCCGTTGGACGTGTTGAGCACTTTCGAGGACGTGCTGAAAAACTGTAGGACCACTGGAAAGTCGCCGCCCGCGGCAAGGATGCCGGAGAAGTTGCCAGAGATATTCAACCCTGCCGCGTCCGGAGTGCAGTTGTATGCCCAGCTCTGACAGGCGTCACAGTCGCCGTCGCCGTTGTAGTGCGGCTTACATCGTTTGCTCACGGTTTCGCATGTTGTTGAAGAGGCATAGCTACTTGCTGTGAACTGTACACCAGACGGGGATGTGGGCGGCGTGATGACGGCGGTCTTGCCATCGTCAGCAAGGCGGACAATGTTGCGTGTGGACTGATTCCCGAGCGTGAGGTACGCCTCGGTCGAGTTGCTGAATGTTGTCCTCGCACCAGACCCGCCGAGGTTGATGTTACAGGGAGCATACAAAGAGAGAGTGGAATTATCCCAGCACACAGTCGGAAGACGACGACCAGGATTGAAGTCTGCGGCCAGGTAAGGTATGGTGCTGTGGTACTGGACGGTTGATGTCCCGATGTGTAGAAGAGCGTCGACCATCGTGATGCACACGGCGAGACTGAGCATGAGTGCAAGCACCAATGCTGAATGGTGGAGCATTGGCACCGCAGCCAACCGCTTCCGCCTCGGATGGAATATATACTTGAGGTATTGGTATAGGTCCGTGAAGCTGCCGCCGAGCAGTCGGATCGCGAGCTCGAATTGGTATGGCGAAGGAAGGTTGGATGATTTGCCGGTGTTGGACGCTTTCTGCATTGTAAACGCCGCCATGTACCCAAAGAGACTCATGGCGACAGGTACTAGCGCAAGTGCCAAAGTTGAGGAGAGCGACGAGATGAATACGAGCTGGGTTGCTGAGTAGTTCACATAGTACTCTTGATCACTGAGTGATCGATTCGTGCCGTCTACGGTAATGCTATCAGGGAAGCCAGCACCTTGGTTTCGAGGCTGCAGGTTGGCATAAATCAAATACATCAGCACAACCGATAGCGGAAGAGGACCAAGAAGCAGTAGACAAGCCCAGATGATATGCTTGTTGTAGTCTCGCATCATCGACCCCGGCGCATAGGATCGTGGGTTTGTAAGAGTATTTCCTTCAACTGGCGGAGAGGGATCGTTGGTATCGAGTTCTCCGCTAGGTAAGAACGAGGTGTCAAGCGCGGTGGCATCACTGCCGTGGTGGCTAAGTCGCTCGTAGACAGACAAGTTGGTGCTTCCCCCTTTCGCCGCGGCGCTATACCTGGAGACAGGTGCGCGAGTTGGTAGATGTCCAGGGAACAGCGACGGCAACGCGTCGTATCGCGCACTTTGTGTCGGCATCGTGACATGGGCGACTACAGCGCAGGAGGTCTGAGAGCAGTGCCTGGGTGTGGACCTAGCGACTAGGTATATATGACTTCTCAGGAGGGGAGACTATCCCAAAACACTAGCTACTGTTTCAGCCCCAAGTGACCCCATGCGACACCTTAATGGCCCAAGTGGCCCAGCTTGTTGTTAGTGGCAGAAATCAGTTTTGCGATGCTGGACCTGGACTTGTGATGAGGTTTTCATTCGATCGCTCGGACAAACGAACGATACAAAAACAAGTCGGATGTTCAGCACGGGAGGAGCTCTTTCACCACCCCAGGTTATAGCAGCGGCGGGACCGGGATGAACCTTAAAGTGACCTGCAAGCAAACCTGCCACAACTTTCTCCAAGGAGTGCGCCAGCAGTGCGTTGTATGTTAGAAGCTCCTAATATACAGCTGAAGATACCTTACCAGTGCGAGCAACGCCTGAAATCAACCTCCAATCTCGCCAACGCAGTGCTCTAGGACAGGCATCATACAAGGATTCCCAGACCAGCGGACCCTGCCTTCAAGTCGCAGTACCCGCACCGACCCCGGCATGCAACTGTTGTCCCGATACTATCGTCGGCAAGATGCCTAGAAGAATCTGAATGACTCCGATCACAACATTGATGATGGTGGGAAGGGTTTCCAGTGGAGCTGAAGTTGTAAGAGGGACGCTATGGCAGTAGTTGGGGGAAAAGCAATGGAGAAGGTGAACAGCTAAGGTACGGTGGAGCGCTGCATTGCTCTGGGTCAAGTAGGATGAAGATTTGCTGATGTCAAACAGTTAGACTTCTCTTTGCGTATGGCTTGAGGAGTCGATGCCCAAATCACAATGCCCATGCAGACCAACTAGTTCCAGCATCTCACCTTTGAAGGAGCCATCATTGCATGTAACGACGAGTAAGCCCCGACGAAATCGACAGAATATCGCAACAACTCCACGATTATCTTGAAATCATGAAGACCATCGTGAAGATTCGCAGCAGCAGCGAATTACGATGAATCGACCCAAATATCGCATCGAGTTCGGTGTGACGCGGCTGAAGAAGATTGTAGAAGGCTTACGAGACCAGCTTTTTGTAAATCCCGGCTCTCTTTAAGTACATTGCGATCCTAACGATATCTAAGAGCTCCTAGCCGCCTGAAAATCTGTTACGTCAATCAAAGCTGGTGATACTGCAGAATCAGCGACCATGCCCGTCAAATATCCTATTGCTGAAGGCGTCCGTCGATTTTCCGATGGCTTAGTTGTTGGGGAAAACGCTGGAGGCATCGTGGTCGGGCAGCTGTACGATTTTTGGGAGAACACCCTATCGATGGCGCCAATCTATCCCAAGCATACGACGCTCATGCACAGATTCATGTTGATCCGGGCGTTCCTAATGCAGATGACGATTTATTAAGTTTTGAGACGATCGAGGACGTGGGATGCCAGCTTATCGCATCTTATCCACCACCAGAAGGAGTATGGAATGACCACGAAGCAGTACGATCAGATGCAGCACGCAGCCACTTTCTGGCCCACTCATTTGAACGTCCGCATTGATCGAGGAGACACCAGTATAACTGCTATGCCACTACAACCCATGATGAGTCCTGGCCACTTTAGCTCTACTCCGATTGCATTGGATACAAACACCGACCTAGATTTCAAACGCAATGCAATGGGATCCACTAGCTTGAGCACCCTATGCATTTGCTTGTGTACCTCTCTGGAGAAAGGATCAGAGCAGGACATTCAAGCTACACGCAGGCAAAGCAACGATGCTGTCACCCGCGCCAGCCTATTGCGCGTGCATCTCCTTGATCTGCGTTGTCCAGTTCGACCTTAAAAAACAGCCACACCTCCCGGAAATCCAACGACGGCTACAGCCGCTACCCCGGAGCCCATTACTACTACATTTACAAGAACTAATACTACTAGTGCAAAGTCTCCCTCAACGCTCGTCGTCAACGCAAGCAGCTCCAGCAACCAAACCCTTACTTTCAAAAATCCTGATCCGCTGGCGGTCTTGTCCACTGCCGCGAAAGCTGGTGTCGCCAGCGGCAGTATCGCCGCGATGGCACTTCTGCTCGAGATCGAATATCGCGTGGGACGTAGAACCAGGAACAAGCGTCAAGGTATTGTGCCTGTACTGTCGATGAACTCGGTAAGTGGCCAACATAATGCGAGCATGGACGTCAATTCGCATCTGCAGGAGAGATCGGCAGCAAAAACGCAGTCAGAATTCTCCGAACTCGACTTGAGTCGTCGAACATCGGCTCCCGCGTATGAATCTCCGGAATATAAAGCATAACTCTTCAGTCTCGGAAAAGGGTGTCATATTCACGAAGGCCTTCTCGGTACCGGGTAGTCAGGTAGAAGGATCTAGATTAGGCTCCCTGCCCTCGGCTCAGGGAGGCTCAGGGAGTTGGTGAGCCACAAACACCGTAGGCTTGGTTGCTCAGCTCAAACTGACATCGGAGACACAAACATTCCTTCAAGTTATCAACTATGCCTAAGCGAATTAGTCATCTCTCCAAAAAAGTGTCTTGAGAGTTCTGTGTCGGCGACTCTATTTGTACTCGACACTCTCAAGCTGGCTCGCCTCGGGCCTCTCAAGCCTCCAGTCTGTCAGTTGCGCATTTAACTTCACTATTCATACAAAGTGTAGCCGTAGCTGACCTAGCCAATCATCTGCGCTTTAATTAGAGTCTGAGGATGAGGTGCCAGCAAGTCTGCCTGTACCACTATGGGGGGAGTGACTGCACGCGATAGGCGTCGTCACAACAACGATTGTATTGAGGGCTCTGGCCGACCACCAGCCGTGGCCGGCGCAAAAGAGACCATATACTTCTTCGATTGGGCTAAAATGAGTGTACAGAGGATTCCTTCAGGTTTGAATGTCCCTGCGGGTCTGAACAGGCACTTCAGACAATTAAACAGGCAGAATGAGCATATAGGGTGGGGCGAAAGGCCGCACAAGGCTGCACAAGGCTGACTTTGTATAGGTCGACGGCGAGGTCGTGGTGTTGACAGACGAAGCAGAAAAAGAGGATCCTTCAGACCAACAACGTAATCGGTTAGCATTAGTTCAATTATAGCGTCAAAGAAAGATGTTCTTGACCAGGCTCCCCGATGGACTATCGCTTGGCATCGCGCTGTGCGCCAGCTGCAAGATATCAAAAACAGTTGAATGATGGATGTGGAGAACATGGGTGATAGGCCTCGAGGTCGAGAGCCAAGTGTTGAGACGCGCCGTCGAGGGGAAACATCTAACAGAGCTCTTAGGAGCACTATGCTCAGCCAATAATGACCAACCCTAGCACTACTTAGAGGCACATTCCTCGGCCGGCCGACCTACCTCCATCCCTAGGATGGCCGCGCAAAAGATCAGCTCGTAACACCGACATCATACGGAGATGCGGAAGTCAATCTCCGAGCAGCCCAACTTTTATATAGAAAGCTAGCACTTGGACTGCAGAAGATCCATAAGTTGCCCATGAAGGCTCAATATAAACGGCAGCGTCGTTTCATTCCCCAAGCCACCTTCGTTCCGCGTTCCTTCTCCTCAGTTTGAGAATAAGATCCGTCACTATGGCGCCTGGGTGCGTTGTCATTTATTTCAATCCTATTCAATCAGATGGCGAAGATGTCTTACCGAGCTGGAGAAAGAAAGTCCAAGAAAAGATTCCCGGGTTTCAGTTGCGTACAAAGATGGTCGCCACCGACCCCAGTGACATCGAGGCCAATTTTTACCGATATGAGGACTTCATTGAAGTGGAAGATGCGAGCAAGGTCACCAAAGATTTGATCAAGGATATGTGCGAAGAGAGCCCACTGCAACACTCGGATTGGCACGTATACGAACGAATCTCGAAGGACAAACGAGATGACCTGGTGGGGGATGAGAGGCCCGCTGGAAGCCAAATTGTCCAGGTGGGCTCGGCTCCCATCGATTCGCCCGAGCATATGGAAGAATACCACACCTGGTACCGAACGGAGCACCGGCCTCGGCTGTCCAAGGTCCAAGGATGGTGCATTGGCACTCGCTGGCAATTCTTGTTTGAGCATGGCGATGGGAAAGCACCGCGGAGGAGAATCCTGGCACAGCAGCAGTATGAAAAGGAAAACGGGCTGGGTGGCACCCAGTGGAAGAGCTCCATGCAGTCTGAATGGTCCAAAAGAGTCATTTCAAACGTGGAGATGCCGAGCCACCGTCGCACTTGGGAGATAGTGCAGTGACTGAAGCAAGGGAGGAAGAACAGCCTGCGTTCTTTTTCGGACGATCGATCTTGGAAACCTCTGGATAAAGAGAAACGTGTATTCACGCATTGCACTCAATGGCTTTCTATAGCGGCACGAACTTCCAAGTGCGCCGGTGATATGGCCGGGCCAGATTTTCTCTCACTCTCCCTGTCCACGGAGTGTCGATGGAGCGCTGCCAGATAGGACCTCCCAACCCGTTCTCAACGTCGTATTCGCTGGCCGAGAGGAAGAGGGCTGCATGTTCTCTCCCGCTCCCGTGGCTTGAAACCAACCTATACCTCCGAGTGCCACGCCAGCCGGGAACTTCAGCGAGCATGCCTTGGTGTTCCTGGTCAAACCAGTCGAGATAGTCTTGGGTGCTAGCGAGGGTAGGATCCATGCCAACTTGCACGTATTCAGTGCCCGTTGGTGGATATTCGTTGCCGTCTAACCCAGGCCTTGAACGTCGGGCGATTTCGTGATAAATGTTCCAGTCCGACGAAGAAAACAGCGTCGATGACTCGGATCTAAGGTGTTCGATCGTGGCTTGTGTAAGTGCTTCCGGGTTCTCCAGATTGATTAAATACTGGTCTCTATACGGTTTAGAGGAGTCATGCTTGTCGCTGGCGTGCAGTCTGAACACAGAGGTGCAAGTTGGAATAGCCTGCTGAAGATTTTGTCCCCATCGTTGAAGGTGCTTCGAGTCGACGGCAGATTTGACTTCAACACACAGAATGATGCTGTCGCAACCCATTGCAAGAACGCTGAAGAACACTCTGCTCGTTACCCCGCAGACGACTCATCAAGTTTTCACCAAACGAAATTCGTTTTTAAATCGTGGAACAACCACTTACTCGGGGTTCTAGAGGCGAAATACGGGTGTAGAAAGGTTGCAACCTCCGACGGAGATGTCATGTCCGCTCAGGCCCCAGTGGCTCTATTCACCAGCAACCAACAATGGAGCTGGCCGGGGCATGCTCTCTCTTGCAGCGCAGACAACTTTGTCTCTTCAATCGACCCCCAAATCTGTTTCATTCTCCTACGTAGAGGTTGCCCCAATACGACACAAAATGTCGATCCCGAAATCCTTTCCAACCTTTGAGGAAATCGAAAACAATAGTCCGCGGTACTCAGCATGGGGAATTTGGGAGAATCCTCAGTTGGGGGCTCTCAACTACCTTTCGGACAGTGTGGTTCTAAAAACCGCAAAGCAGGAAATTCAGACTGGCACCCGAGTCGGATTGAAGTAAGCCTCACAGACTAGGACGACCTTCGATGAGCATCTACCTGCTTACCGCGCAACCTTGACAGCTTGCCTCTTGATTTTGTCGACCCCCCGCTGCTTGGCCGCCGAGGTTTTGAGCGCCATATTATTAACAAGGCACCGCGGGTGATAAATGATGACGTTGTCTGTGCCAGGCCTTGACGTTCAACCGTATCAGCTGCTGAACCTGGGTGCAGATTACATTCAACACACAAGGGAGTAGCCAGTGGGACAGCTTTCGCCACTTTGCCTACCAAGATGAGGCCAAGTTCTACAACAAGTGAGTGCAATGACGTGGTGGATCTCTGCTCGAGTTCAGAGAGACTGAAGCAATCTACAGTGTAACCCAAAGCGATATACACGATGATCCCAACAGTGGGGTCAATGGCATGGAAGCGTGGTCGGCCTCAGGAATTGCCGGGAGAGGCGTCTTGATCGATTACTACGCTTGGGCTCGGCAAAAGGGTATCCACTATGATCCGTTGAAGACTCATGCGATCAGGTTGAGTGAAATCAAAGAAATCATAAAAGAATCCAACATCGAGCTCCACAGGGGCGATATTTTTATGCTTCGGACCGGTTCGTATGGCAATGGTGCTGGCTCGTCGGAGCAAAAAGACGTCTATTATCGAATTGTGGGCCAATAACTGATTGCTTGATCCAGGATTCGTTGATGCATATTCCACGCTGGACAAGAGTACTAGAGAGAGCTACTGTTCAAGTCACGCTTTTCCCGGGCTGGAGCAATCTCGTGAGGTGGTGAGGTGGTTGTGGGAGCAACAGTTTGCCGCCGTCGCGGCAGATAGTCCTGCATTCGAATGTGTTCGTACGTTGAAGCTGAACCCATTCTGCGTCCTGACGAACAACCGAAGGCAGATGCTAACCAAAGCGGTGTACTAAACAGCCAGCGCGGATCCAGAGTTCGGTATGTTACATCCAATCCTCCTTTCGGGCTGGGGGACGACGATTGGAGAGCTGTTTGATTTGCGAGGTCTGTCAAAGGAGTGTGAAAGGCTGGGTCGATGGTCCTTTTTTCTGGCTTCTTCTCCGCTGGTATATACGGGTGTCGTAGCGTCGCCACCCAACATCATGGCAATCTTGTAGGGTCGCAAATTGAGCCATTCGGATGCTACATGTAAGCGCTCAAATGAAACCGGCATTCCATGGTCCGTCTGAAATAAATCGCCCTCGAGTCATGGGCTCGAAAATAAGATACGCCTGACACAGAACGCCAGATGCAGCCATTGAACCGACCCGTGGATATTTCACAGCTCTCTCCTTTCCATTACTTGACTGAAGAGATATTTGGTATATTAGGGTTTCCGGAAGCATGTGCCCCGAGGATTGAGCCTTTTGGTTTGCGTCTATCTACTGTAGCGCTGATCCCCCGAGATTTTGTGAAAAGGACAACTGGTCAATCTTGCTCCCTGCGCAGTTCTTCAAGTCACTATATCCACCGTATGATGACTTGAACGACAAGACACCAATTCAATGATCCTTGAGCGAGCTAACACATTCAACATGAAAGTTTGAAGTTTCTCCTTTCTCGAGCTCGCTGGGGCAGGTACCATCCGGACTGTCTTGTTTCGGAGTCGAGAGATTTGGCGTGAATTTGTCGAGATGAATGTCAGCACGATGCACCACGACCTCCTTTTTGTCTCCGAAGAGGTCTGCCATCTCTTCCAAAGGCACCCCTTTGGTTTCGGGAAATTGAAAGTACAACCAGATCCAGCCAACTGCCGAGACACAGATGAAGAGCTGGGGATCGTTAGGCCAGGGACCATTGGGGAAAACCATGTTTTCAGTACTTACCAGAAAGAACTTCCACCCAACGGCCGCAAACGCATATGGAGCTACCTGTAGGTAGAGGATATCGCTGGCGGCAACAGTGGCAATTGACAGCGCGACCCCTTTTGCTCGAACGTGGTTGGGGAATATCTCTCCAAGAACCACAAGGAGGGGTGCGTCGTAGCAGCTAGCATAGAAGCACAAGTAAACGAAGAGGGCTGCAATGCCGACTCCCAAACCCGCGGCATTATCGGTTCCGCTGTACTCTGCGACCATTGCCGAGTTGATGGCGACACAGACAACACAACCAGCCAGTCCAATAAGCAACATCAGTCGCCGTCCTAGGCGGTCCAACAGAAACGCACCCACCAGATTGCCTACAAATGCAACTGACAAGGCTGTGAATATTGAGTCTCTCGGACGATTCGAGTTTGAACTTACTAGAATCCCTTCCGGACTGGATGATCATCTGCTGCTTCGAATTGAAGCCCAGCGCCGCATAGAAAATGGGGGCCTACAGATCAATAAACATCCATCAAGTCGTTCTCAACATTGCGTAAGAGACTTACATAGTTCTGGATAACGAGAACAGCTGTGCTCTGACCTAGAAATGAAAGCCCACAGCCTATGATCACGCGTTTTCTGTACGCTTTGGAGAATAGGGCTCTCCAGCTTCCGTCTTGTTTCTGATCATGTTGTGCTTGCATCTTCATCTGGTAAAACTCTTCTCGAGCGTACGTCTGATCTGAGCCGTCTTCGGGGGAATGAAGTTGAGAGACTGTCCTCCATGCTTCATCAACTCTGTCCTTCATCAAAAGGAATCGTGGCGACTCGGGAATGAAAGGTAGAGTAATCAAGGAAATCATCGGCCAGACGAGACTCAGGCCGGCTGGGCCGCGCCACTGCGCGGTTCGATTGTCTGTATAACGAAAGGCCAGGCCGAAATATGAGGCAGTCGCGTAGCCCAACCCCAGCATCACGCCACACATACCAGCGGTCAGTCCTCGGTAAGCAGGGATCGAGAGCTCGGCCGTGTATGTGGGAGCTGTAAGGCATCAGTCATGCAAGATGTCGCAGTTTCAAAAGAGCCATTGAATAGATCTTACCCACGGTCAGAAATCCCCAGCTACCCATCCCCGAGAAGAAGCGAAACACAAGGATCGTGGCTAGGTTCGGAGCGGCCGTGATGCCGATACCGCCAACGATGGACCAAAAGATGCAGTATAACATGGCCGCCTTTCTTCCATAACGGTCTGTGATTTGTGTGCTCAATATCACGCCGAAGACGGCACCAGCCTAGGAATGTCAGGATTATCTCCTTGGAGCAATCGCAGTGTCGGAGGAATGTTTTCCATACCTGAAAGATTCCTCCGAGAGCTCCTACGAGCGACGTTTTGCTCTTGTGTATGCCCTTTTCGTCTCCGAGGCCAGTGAATTCGAGGAATGAGGTTTTGGCAAGCATGGGGGCAATCATTGCTGAGGGATATCCGAAACCAATGACACCGATTGAGACCAGAAAACACACGAGAAAATTTCGCCAGCTGAAATGTGGCTTTGTTGCCTCGACCGAAGACATTTTGGGCAGTGTGAATCTAAGGAAGAGTTCCGTACTATACAGCCGGTGGTCAGAACCAATTCTTGTTTTGCCTTTCCTCGTGGCGAGTGTAGGTGTCCTTCATTCGCAAGATCTCATTTATGTATGATCGAGGCAAGTTTTGAGGCGGATTAGCGGAGGTCTGATCGCCGGTTGAAGTCAGGCGGCCTTCTCTACCGAAGCTTCCTTAAGACGGGGTTTTGAAATTCGCTCAGAAGCAATAGAACCGGAATGGCGTGGCCATCTGAGGGCTCCGCGGCCCTTTTGCCCGGTTACTTGGGGTGGGTGGGTAGACTTGCCAGTAACAGTCCTCTTTACATTCTGGCCGCGGACATAATCAGCACGAGCCTTTCTTTGGACGAGCTCACGGTGGGAAACCATTTACATGGCAAAGCCCAATAAGTTTGTTGAGTTTGATTTTCTTGTTTGGTCTTCTCTGCTACAACAATGGTACATAGAAGAATCCACGCAAAACAAATGAATGCCTTGCCCTGGTCTAAAATGTATACTCTATCTCCCCATACTTCGTGCCGTGATCTTGAGGGATGCAGAAGCTCTCTTTCATAATGGCTAATCCCTCCGCTCTATCCTCTATCTAGAGCTCAAGGTTGCTGCTAATGCTTTTCAAGTGTCCAAAGCCGTGTCCCCATGTAGTGACAACAATCTCATCGCTCAAAGCAGCCAATCTTGCGCTAGACATGGTCAGTGAAGTGCCGATTTCCAGAAACATTATTCAGGAGTGCGACTTACAGAAGAGGATCTAATGCCTCTTTGATCTTGCGGTGGGCGTTTTCTGAGGCATACCGTTCGAAGATCGTCAGGACCGAGCTCTCACCGTCCTTCCTGAGCATGGGGTAATAAGCCAGGACTTTCGGCTCTGTACGGCAAGCCTGGGTCATATGTTCGATCTCTGCGAGGAAAGGTTGCATTGACTCCGCTCTATATTTGTATTGCGATATCAGGACCAACGACTGGTCGCTTTCGTCAAGAACTGTTGCTGTCGATCCCCTGTTGATAAAACCGGAGGGAGCTGCTGGTTTGAGAAAGATTATCTGAGGATATGTCTTGCCCAGCAGTTCCTCTTCCGCAACCACTTTGCGCATCCTCTGATATTCTGCGCCGCTGCGGTGAGTTTCAACCAGTGCAGCTTCATTCTCATAGCTAAAATTCTCGTCAGCTCTTTTGGGCCCTCCCCCAACGGTTGGGAAGCCGCTCTTACAACTCAAATCCACAGATCCACTCTCCTGGAAGGGTATTGGATTGGCCTTTGCGAAGCCAACAATAGGCTTTATTGTCAGGTTCGTCAGATAGTGTGGCCTTAGCGACATCACGTAGGAGGTCTCTCAACTGCCAGCAAAGTCAGCCTTTGATCATTACTTGGCCATACTGGAAGACAAAGTACTAGCCTTCTAACTCCCCGCAACTTACCTTTTCACCCTTTTCTCGCGAATCGAGCTGGCGATATACGCAGATTGCAACAGTCATAATGCCTGAAGTCGACAGTAGTTTCTCCCAATCCTTGAATACTTTCTCGCAAAGGGAGGCTGGAAGAGATTTGAGAAGTGGCTTGCGTCCCTAGACAGATAGGAGCTGAATCTAAAGTCTTTCTTGCGGCTGGGCACTCAGGTCGCGCCCGTCGGACATCAGACCTCCGTCCGAGCCAGGGGCGAAGCAAGCGAAATATGGGAGGTCCAATGCCATACGAGCTTACATTACAAGGATGCGTCCTCTCTTGAAAAGCCTTCATTAGTTCATACCCACTGACCTCTTGGGTTTCGTGATAGGAGCATTCTTCGTATCGACTTCAAACATGTCCCAAATTTTGGACAAGGACTTTTTGCAACATCTGATTGACATCCACAACATTGGCTGCGGGGAAAGGCCTCGACTAAAATGGTATATAACCGCCATCATCGCATTTGGGGGAATGAACTATGCAGAATTGATACCGGAATTGTATAAAATTGTTCTCGACACGCATGTTGCGGACAAGGACCAAATGACTGAGACTCGCAAAATACGCGAAGCTCTCACCAAGGTCTGTGGGATATGGGGTGCAGCGAAGGTATGGGTTTTTGCTCTTCACTTGTCCGCAAAATCAACTCAGGCCCTGTGGGAAGTTGCACGGGAGAATTGCGCCAGTTCGAGAATCCACCTGCTGACAACTTCTCTTTGGCTAGACGGGCACGTCTCTTAGACAGCTCCTCACTGCCACACCGGAATATCTGCAGGAATCAAAATGCTACAGGTAATTCTATCGTAAAATGATGTGCTCCACTTGTCGCTTCAGCATGACGACGACGGTCGTGGCCCCCTTGTTGATTCTGTTTCCTTTCCATCCAGGGCCGATGAATCACGAGAGACTGCCATTCAACGCGGTCAAGAAATGATAGACAGTATCTATACCAAGATTCCTGGTTATGATGTATCACTCACCGCGAAGGGTTCGGCGGAGTACTCGTGGATAGTCAGCAGTGAGTACTCCACCCCTCTTATTTCAATTTACCTTCCTAGAAGGTTACGTCTCGACTACCACAGTGATGTCGGATACTGTGGCTAGGCTGACAGATACGGTATTTCTTGCAGCATTGTTCTATGGCCATATTTTTTCCTTCCCGGGGATCCTGAACCAGGTGGAAACGGGGCAGTCCATTGTGGCAGCTCTGCTGAGCATTGATTGTCAAGAGCAAGCACGCAACCATATGATGGGGATGCAATTCAATGGAGCGACCAGGGAAGAAGTTCAAGGAGTCCGCGCAGTGGTGGTAGCAATTGCTGAAAGGCTTGGAGTGCAGGGGAAGCAGGGTAGGACGGCTGTCGAAGTGCCTAGGATCGATTGACTCTGATAGAAATTGCGGCTATGTAGTGGTATTGACCCGCAGTGTGACAAGGTAGCAATCTTGAGACAGCTATTAACTGACTAGTCTATAGAGTTAAACCCTTCCGTAAAGCTTAGTGTTATACTCAAGCTCTATGTACCGTTGTCAATTGTAGATTTCGGGCAAGATCATCAGCTTCCAGTATTCCTCAAAGTCCAATGTCTGAGTATCACCGATACTGGTTCCCAACATCTCCCTCCTGCTGAAACCATTGCCCAGCCAGGCGAAGCGGTTCAATCCTAGTTTTGCATCGGTCACATATTCGAAGTCGTAATCTTCCCATCGGGGATATCTCAAGGCTTCTGCAAAGTGGAAGCAGCTGCCTGCGTAAACCGCAACAACCCGCCCGTCAGTCGTACCTCGCTTGTACCAACTTCGGCATGGCGCCACCCATACTGTCTTTGATAACCAGTTCTGGGAATAGATGTTGAATTCCTTGGTCGCTTGCGTCGACACGGTCATGGACTTGATGCCTTGGGTTTGCAGCTTGGTGATACACTTGTAGATGTAAATTCCGGTCATTTGAATTGCTTGTACGAGCGAGCCATTCGAGATTGGACTGTTTGGGCCTATGAACACTGAGCCATTGTTAGTGCTGGTCTGTGCGGCAACACTGCGCATGGCGTGCTTAACAGTTCCGGTTCAGATTTTGAGAGCTGCCGGGAGGAACTGAAAGACACTTACTGAAGTAATTGGGCATATCTGGAACAGCGATACTGAAATATGCCTCCGGTTCCTCAGAAGCCCAGCGCTCAGCCAAATTCACTGCATTCCTCCCAATCAACGGAAATCGTGGCCGAAACGTCGTATCAAAGCCGGTAGCACAGAAAATCGCGTCCAAGTCTCGGTGGGTGCCGTCTTTGAGTTTAATACCCGTATCTGTGATTTCGTCGATGCTATCCCACCAGCTTTCCACGTTATCCTGTATCAAGGCCTCCAGGAAACCAGGGCCAGGTGTGAGACGTCGACAGCCCACGGGGAACTTTGGAAGAAGCCATGATGCGATTTCTTTGCCCTTTGGCGAATCGCCTAGTCGCGCGAGCATAGTGCTTCGGAACAACTGATCCGTCTCATCCTGGACATTGGAGTCTGCCGCTGACCGTTTGAAATTTTGAATCCGTTTATCTGCCAGGAACACTCGATGCCGGCGCAAGTATTCAGGGTCAGTCTTAAACCGGTCGAGTTCGTGTGGGGCGTAGTTATACTCATCGTCAACGTCGGGATCCTCTGGCGTAGGCTCGTTAATACCGGGAGCAGGAGATATCCATGTTGGCGACCGGACAAAAAAATCCACGTGTTTAGCCGCTGGGCCCCTTGTAGTCAGCATCTGAACGAGTCCTCACACGTTGGGGAGCAGACACACTCTTTGCGACTTTCGGTAAGATCTGGATTCCTGATGATCCAATCCCAATCACCGCCACATTCTTTCCAGACCAATCATAAGTTGTGTCCCAGTCTGCCGAATGAAGCAGTTTTCCTCGAAACCTTTCAATGCCAGAGATAGAGGGCCATCTCCAGTTACTGAAACTTGTCAGCCATTGCTTCCTCAGGATGTTTAAGGCGCTTTTCTCACTTCAAGACCCCCCCGGCATTGATCACCACGTCGCACGAGTCCTGGAATTCTTGTCCATTCGCTTCAACTGTGAGATTCCATTTGCATAATTGGTCACTCCAAATGGCACTAGTGACTTTGTGACCATACGCGAAATACTTTTCACATCCAAATTCTGCTGCTACATCCTTCATGTATGCATGGATTTGTTCTGAGGTGGCGTAATAGTTTGGCCAAGCCGGATTTGGAGCGAAACTGAAAGCGTAATTATGCGCCGGGATATCACACTGACATCCAGGATATCTGAGCCGCCCATTGGGTAAGTATATGACCGAGCACGAGAAGGACACTCCCACCTGTTAACGAGCCAAGTGCCTCCGAGATCTTGGTTCATTTCGTAAACTTGGAAAGATACGTTATGGTTCTTCATCTTCTGCTCGGCGATGATTGCCATCATCAGACCAGAGTATCCTGCCCCAATGCACACGACGCGAATGGGTCGGTGTTCCCCAATGGGAAACGTCCCACTGTCTGAGAGAATTTCATTCTGCTGGGCGATCATAGTGTAGCAGGCATCGATTCAATGGACAAAGTGTCTCTTGCCTGTGGAATTTGCAATTGTTGAGTGAGATAGTGAGAGTGACGATTTCGATATTGGTCAAGGAAGCAAGACACATTCCCTGCATTGGACTTTAATGGTTGACAAGTTTGTTCGCGCCAATGTTTTGACATCTTTGAATTACAAGCATTGCGGAGGACATGGGCCGCTCGGAGATGTGATGTCCGAGGAGGAGAGCATGAGACGAGCCGTTCTTGAAATGCGTGGCCCTCGCCAAAAGTTGATTCGCTGGCCTATTGTTCTTTATCACATCTATTGTCCAGGTACGCACGAATAGTTCGGTGCCGGACGACCGGACTGTCAGCCGAGGGTTTTGGGGTTTGTTCATGAAGCTGGTGATGGGCTGGAAAAGTGTGTCGAATGAAAGACAAGCCTGTGCGGCTCGCTGTGGCAATGACCCTCATGACTTCCCTGATGTGGTGCCGTACGCCTATCTAACCAGTCAGGCCTCGTTTGCCTAAGCAAATCGAGCTCTCAAAGCAACTCGTTCACGCCGCGGTCGTAGTCCAGCTGCCGACTTGGAACCTCGTATTTCCGAGGGCTCGTTCTCTCTGTTCTGATAAATTGAGTTAGACTTCAGGAACCCCGCCCCCCCCGGCTGGAAAGTCGTGGCACTGTCTTGTGCGGGGACCGAGAAGGTCTGTAAGTTATAATAGTAAGCAGAAGTACTATACCTCGCTATTGGCGTTTCCCGTCGTTGAGATCCTCCACTGATCAGTCACCAACGTACAGTCTTTAGGCCAGGTTCGGATGTAGCCCGCCCAGGAAGGCAAGAGTAGAGATCGTGGACAGTCAATTGTTGGTGTGTAACTACCCGACTCGACTTGGGTGGGAAGCCCGTATTGTATACCAGATTCTCAAACCTGTCTCACTCGGTTTGGAGTTGGATGCTCGAGCTTTCTCCCGCTAAATGACCGGCCTGAATACTCAAATTCGTAAGAACAGGGCTTGTCGCCGTTGTCGCAAACGCAAGGTGAGGAAGAAAATATTTATTTTTCTTGCGCAAATATGATCTTGGCCCATCAATGACGGCTGACAGTCGTCCCATTTCTAGATAAAATGTGACGGCGAACATCCAAGCTGTTCCACCTGTCGTCCATTGGAGCTTCCATGTCTGTACGAAGCCGATGGCCGCAAGACTTCCCGAGTCAGCAGAGAGAATTTTCAATCGATGGGCGAAAAGATTGCTAGTTTGGAGCAAACAATAGCACGACTGACAGGCAAGGATCTTGAAGATGCAAACGCACATCCGCGCTCGCCAGAGAATATTCAACGTACAGTCTGTTCACCTCAGGAGCGAAACAATTCCCCAGCAACGGCCTGCATGCCTGGCCAACAGGGCAATTTCGTGGTCCCAGAGGAGTCGCCTCATGAAGAGACACGGGTTGATGGGATCCGAGTCCACTCTCTGGTACAGAGCGAGACAGGCATGTCCATTCACGGCCCTGCCTCTGCCTTTCATGTGCCAACGTCAGCACGATCGGGGCCGAGCTTTTCCAGTACAATCGGAGACAGTCCTGCATCGGCGACCGGGACTCAACCTTTAAGCCTTGATCAGATACGGCAAGAGCTATTTGCATTCTCTGCGTTGGAGTTTCAGAAGGAATATACCTACATGGTAGAAAGGAAGATCGACTTTGACGGGCTTGATTGGGAAGTCGCACATCATTTGCTCGAGCTGCACTGGAATCATCATCATCTTGGCTTTATGGGCACTTACCGACCGGCGATTATGCACAGCCTGGCTACCCACGGCCCTCACTGCAACAAGCTCCTGCTAAACGCCCTTTTTTATTCGGCGTCGCTGCAAAGCAGTCGACCGAACATGAATGACAGTGCGTCCTGCGTGGAATCATATGGAGCTCGGTTTTTCCGTCGCTTCCAATCACTGTTGGCCACCGAAATCCAGACCTCTACAACTACCAATATTGCTGCCCTGACGTTTATGGGTTCTGCTTGCGTGTCCAACGGAAAGCAGACAATTGGCTGGCTATTCGCCGGCATCGCATATCGCATGATTGTCGACATGGGGCTTCACATTGACCCAAACAAGCTGCCAATATCCAGCCTGGTGCCTGGCAAGCCTCAGATTCTGCCGACTTCTGTCGATCTCGAGATCCAACGCAGGTACATTTGGGGAGCTTATCTCCTAGATAGGTTTCAGTCCCTTTACTTCGGCCGACCTCCGGGCCTCAACATGATCAAAGGTCTTGAGCCATCGCTGGAGCTTTTGGATACTTACGAGGAGCTGGAACTCTGGAAACCATATGTTGATCCGTTAAGTGCGGAGAGAGTTCCCGACTTCTTGCCGCAACCATCACGAGCTCAATCAACCAGGACTGCGCTCATTGGGCTCGCTACAATAGCTTCAGAGATTATAGAGCGCTTCTATACGCCCAAGGTCGGTGAGTTGTCTATCGAAGACGCGAGAGCTGAGGTACAGTTGGTCCAACAACAACTGAGTTCATGGGAGGAAACACTACCCACCACCCTGCGATACGAACCCGGTGATGAACCAGTTCCGCCACCGATTCGATTCAACTTGCAGTAAGTATTCTCTGTGAATGAGGAGACGGCGATAACCCGGCTGATGCCCAGCGCAGTACAACTTTCAGCCTCCTTCATATCTTGCTACATCGCCCCTTCTTACGGGAGGGACATCTGGAGGCGCTTAGTGTCGACGAGGCACTTTACCGGGGCAGATGCGTCTCTGCAGCGCTGCGGATTTACAAACTGGCCAAGATATATCGCGAGGTGTTCACCTTGCGCCGCGCCACCTATCTTTTTTCTTATGCCGTCTTCTCCGCGGCCACCATCATCCCTCAACATTCGGTGATTAATCTGAGCTCTTCGGAATGCTTGGAGATTGTTGTCTTCTTTTGGAATGCCCTCAAGGAGCTCCAAAACGGGGCAAATTTTGGTCTGCGGAAACCCATCACCATCATCAAGGGCATGTTTGAGCGTGCAGGAATCGATCTGAATGTCTTGGCCACTATGCAGAAGCAGGGACCCCACAACGTCGACAACGGAACCACAGATCAGATGGGGCACACCACTCAACGGGACCAGAATCTCCCAAGCCTGGCCGAGAACTGGCTCGATGGGCTGGCTGACGAGCAATATCGAGATCTCTATAACGAAATCTGCGCAGAAAACATCGATTGGTCTGTATATGTCGATGACGTGGGCGCCAACGAAAATGATGAGTTGCTATATGGCCTGTTTCGGTCTGGACGTGAAGGCGAATTCGGATAGACAAGGGAGACGCATTATCCTCCTTGTCTACCGTAGGTCTGCCAGATTGAGATTTTGCTTGCTTAATCATGTAGGAAGGTTAAAAAGTCGAATGTTCGAGGTACTGGAAGGTCCTTGTGGGACAGAGCCCAGCAGAAGACAGCGTCCGGTAAAGCCTTTTTGCCGGGCTGGGTGCCGGGATCCGATGTTTAGCCGAAGGGCGCAAGAATTGCAGGACCGAGGAGGACCAGGTAATACTGTACTGGGTACTGGGTACCTACTAGTAGAAGGCAATATTAGGAAAGTGAGTCTTAACTAGGAAGAGGAACTACCCAGTAGCATAGCATAGAATCCGTCATCGGGCTGTAACAACTTTTATCCGTACATGGGTACCCTAAACACACTTTCATCCCAGATGATATCCTTTCTTTCGTCCCGATGATAATATCATAATATCCTCTCCACCTAGGCTAGTCCCTAGTCCCTAGTCCCTCCAAAATGACCTCGATCCAGTTCCGCCCACCATATACCCAGGAAGAGCTCGACAAACTCTACCCCAAAGACCTGGAATTGCGGCTTGTCCAAGTCCTCCTGCGCCATGGGGAACGCGCTCCCGTCTCAGCCCGATTTGGAAATGTGAGTTTCTTCGCACCGATCCATGGCTTTTGCTGGAGCAACTGTAAGCGGTGGCAGTGGCATGTTGCTGACCTCTGGGAGAAAAGGCAGGCTTGCCAGCATACTGGCCCTATTGTAATGCGGCGCAGCGACTGCGCTCCGTCGCCATGACCCCGCAAGACATATCAGAGTGGAACTCTCTACAATGGAGGAGGAGACTCGAGAGGTTTGGCGAAGACGATGGGCCAGTCATTGCGGCTGGACCCAAGGGAGAGGTTGATGGGGTCTGGTACGGACATCCTGATCGATTTACCACCTCCGCCACTCGTAAAGTCGATCTCCATACTGATTCTTTCTGTTGCCATGATCCAGTCAACTGGGCGAACTCACCGACCCAGGCCGGCAAACGACCTACACCCTAGGCACGCGCCTGCGCACCCTCTACGTCGACCAACTCCGCTTCATGCCCTCCCTCATCGCCAATGCCGACCTGATCTACCTCCGCTCCACCCCTCTGCCCCGCGCATTGGAATCCGTACAACAGACGTTCTGGGGCATGTATCCCCTGACATCCCGCACGGCCGCATTCCCAGCGCCGACCATCGTCACACGCACGCCCGCGGACGAAACCCTCTTTCCCAACGACGGGAATTGCCGACGGTTTGCGCAGTTGAGCAGAGCATTCGCCCAGCGCACGGCGGACAAATGGAACGACTCGGACGACATGAAGTATCTGACGAAGCTGATAGGGAAGTGGATGCCTGAGAATAGTGACAAGAAGATTGCCGTGGATTCACACCCGCGTCTCTCGGGGATAATGGACACCATCAACGCAACCCTCGCTCACGGTCCTGAAACCCGTCTCCCCAGGGAGTTCTATGACGCCCGCGCCCGCGAAATCATCGATCGAATCGGCGTGGAGGAGTGGTTTTCAGGGTATAACGAGAACCGCGAGTATCGCATGTTAGGCATAGGGAGTCTAATTGGCGACATCGTCGAGCGGATGACCTCGAAGATTGAGGGGGCGGGCCTCTCCATAAACGAGATCGGAGGGGAGAATGGACGACTAGGCATGGGTCGAGGTGGGGAGACGGGGATACGGTTTGCGTTGAGCGGTTGCCATGATACCACGCTGGCAGGCGTGTTGACAAGTCTGGGTGCGTTTGGCGGAGAGAAGTGGCCGCCTTATACGAGCCACATCGCCTTTGAGCTGTTTAGGGAGAAACACGACCATGGGGATGCAGCAAAGGGACAAACGTCTGATGCAGATTTCCTGACGCCGACGACGCCGGCAAGTCCGGAGCCCAAGAATCAGTCACGACAAGGTGAGCAGGCCGCCGCGAAACCGGGGTTCTTCACCTCCTTTCTGGGTCTGCGATCTCCATTCTCGACTAGCGATTCAACCTTCACCGGCTCGAGAGACGCCTCATCAGCCTCCTCCGCGACCTCGTCGTCAAGTCCGCTCTCCACGCCCTCCGTCTCGCGCTCCTCCAGCATATCCCCTTCCATCCCGCCCAAGGATTTGATAGCGCGGACTCCGCACTCGGAACTCTCCGAGGCCCAAAAGCGCCGGTTGGACGGCTACTACGTGCGGATCCGGTACAACGACCGAGTGATGAAGATCCCCGCCTGCGCGAAGCCAGAGAACAACTACAAGGGCGACGAGTCGCTGTGCACGTTCGAGGCCTTCAAGCGCGTCGCGGACGGCTTCGTCCCCAAGAACTGGAAGGTCCAGTGTGGCCAAAATCTCGACGAGGGCGGCAAGGCCGGCAGCTTGTTGACCGCGCCTGGACTCGATCTCCCCGCTGAGTGGGCGGGGCAGATCGAGGAAGGTTCGTGAGGTTTGGGAGGTTGGAGCACCTCAGATCGCGATGTGGAGTGAGAGAGAGAGAGAGGATATCGGTGCGAGGATGTCGATGATTGAGGGATGAGGAGCAAGGGAGGCACGTTGGATATCCGCCTTACACCTCTCTATCTCTCCTCTCCTCTCTCTTTGTCTCTCTCTACCCCTTTCCATCCCTCTGCTTTCCTCCGTCTACTATTCTCCGACCCCTCTCCTTATTTCCCAGTCCGCTACACCCCCGGCCTCTATCCACGGGGCCGGCTGGCTGCTCACGATCGTCTTGTCTGCGGAGCATTACGGAGCATGGACGTGTTGCGCACCTGGGAAAGAACGAGGGGGGAAAACATGGCAACCAGACTTCATGGAAGTCAAAGCCGCTTGCTTTGCTTTGCTTTGTTCGGGCGAACAAAGACTGGACAGTAAACAGAATAGAACAGAATAGAAGAGAACACACAGAACACGCAAGGCGTAGCATTGCATGACTCGAGTATTTTAGATGAGACAGATGCTGGACAAAATTTTGGACGAGGGTAGGCTAGGCTAGGATACTTACTACATCCTACGCAGGCACATACGAGGAGATAAACGACAGATTGAACGGGGCCACTAGGGGAAGTAATAACGCCCAAATCCATACGCGAGAAATTCACTGATCGACCTCCTCTTCAGTTCTTTTCTCTCTCTGTTTTCTTCGGTTGAGCTCATCACCGACTAGAACGGAGTGGAATGGAAGAACCGTGGAGAGGACTCGAGGTCGTTCTGTGATCCGAGCTGCTCGTTTAGTTGTTGTACATAATAGAGTCTGGAGCGCGTGCTCTGGCATCGGCAAAGAAAGGCGTGAGAATTTCGTCCTTCAGCGCTGCTCCTGTTCCGTCCTTTCGGAGCTTTTCTTCCTGCAACCTTGATCATTGATCATTTCATCGTACAGGAGACGGTTGAATCTCATACTGTCTTTCCCTCCCCTTGAACACCTCGCATGCCGGCTGCTTTGGTTTCCTTTTGTCGCATGGTCTATCTCGCTTTGTTCATCTTGCGTATGTGTTACCCCATGCACCCGCAAGGGTCGATTTCGTTATTTTGATCGCGACGGGCGGTCATTGGATGTGCCTCGCAGAGCGAGTGCACAATGGTGCAAATATTGCCATTGCTGTTTAGAACCAAGAGGCGTATAAGGCAGTCAAGATGCTTTCACCAAGCGTAGGCGTACCCAGCCTGCGCATGCAACGGGTCATCTGCCCAATCTGTCCTTGGATTTGGCGGAACATCAAAATGTGCCTTCTTCTTCGCGGCCACGTTCTCGCCCTCGACTGGTTTCTGCCTGCTGGGTCGACTCGGCGTCTCTATGATCTCAGTTGTTGACTCGTCGCCTTCCGGACCCAAGCTCACGTCCCCAGATAATGGTGGCGGACGCAAAATGCTTTTGAAAACTACCTGTCCTTCGTCGCCAGACAAGTACCCAGCTTCAAATGCAGTACTCGAGGCAAAGAGAAAGGGACACCTGTCAGTGCTGCCATTGTCGGCAATACAATCAGGCAGCCAACAACCACAAAAGTTTGTCGACACTGTATCAATCGGGACCAGGCCGGATGCTGGAGGAAGGGTCTGATGGTACCAAGCATACAACCTAGGGAGTTTGGAGCTTGTGATGACGATGAGGACATGGGGAAGGGAAGGATGGAAGTGAACCTGGCGGATGGAATGTGTGAAGATGAGGACAGTATGCGGATGCGATGTATTCTGTAGATTCCAGATGAATAATGTTCGAGGGGAGGAGCCCAGACACGTGGCGAGCAGTGTATGTGTTGAGTCGACCTCGATCAGGTCGACTTGATCGAGCTCTTGTGACGGGAGCTGAGAATGAGACGTAGAGCGGGGTTGTGAAATCAAGTCGGTGCTAGACGGCGTGTGTGCAACCTCGAAAGTGCCAGTCTGTCGCAAGAACGCTGAGGACATGTCGGTGCTAGACTCCAGCCATAAAAACGTCTTTGACCCTTCAATCAAGTCTGGATGAATAAGTTTCATTCGCGTGCGAGTTCCGATACTGTTGGAGGACTGGTACCGGACAAGCACCTGCTTCTGTCCATTGGCGAGTGTTTGGAGTGTAAGATTGTTGTTGTGCCGATTTGCCCTGACCCACCTCCAGTAGGTAAGACCTATACCCTCCACCTGAGGGGAGAGGGCAAGGTTAAGATCCCAATTGAATGCCGATGAATTAATTTCCAATTGCCTTAGCGTCTGGCCTTGTGCAGTCATGAAGGACACCTTTACACCATATGTTGGTGAGTCAATCACTGCCAGAAGGGGCTGTCCGGTCGGGCACCACGTCAGATCCTGGGCATCTAAGGTGTTGCATTCAAAGGACGTGTACGTCATCTGGTTGTTGTCTCCCAGCTCAAACACGGTTACTCTGTCCTGTGCTTTGTCACGACGGAGCAAGGCAAAATACCTAGAATCTGGTGATTTTGCCAGACTTCTCGGATCCGAAAACTTGATGTGAGGAATATCGTTTCGTTGAGGCTTGGTCAAGGAGAGTACAGCTGCAACAGAGCCAAACTCGAACATGACTAATGCGTGTCTGTGGTTGAAGACGAACTCGACGAGGCTGAGCTTGCCCAGTTGGCCCCCTAGGCCATAATCAGCAAGTATGTTGGACTTAGCGCCTGTCTCGTCGTCGCCCGCCGACATCATCCCGGGTGTTTTGATATCAGTGCTCAGTGCGACAAGGCGTTTGCCGTCTGATAGAAGCAGCCAGGATTGTCCAAAGTCACACTCTGACGTGGTCGCGGATTGAGCCTCTGCAGCGTCGTCCCCAGGGCTAATCATGGTCTCTGGCGACCAGCGGAGGATGGTGCAAGTTCGCAGGAAAGAGCGGGCGCTCTTAGGGATCTTGATGCCATTGATGAATCTCCGTCCTTTGGCGGCCTCACTGAGGTCGACGAGGTGTATTCGTTCATCTGGCGAGATGACCGCCAGCGTTTTGCCATCCGGCGACAAAACTGGGCGCTGGAGGGCTTTCCCATCACTTTTGATCAGCATGGTGTCCGTCAATGACAGAGTCAAGTGATGAAGGATCTTTACGCGGAAAATTACCCAGGGAAAAGACTGACCAGCGCAATAGAAGGAGGGATTTGGGAGAATGCTTGTCATTTATGGGGTTGTGCATCTTACTGTTTCCATCCAACACTTCCATCAAATCTTCCCAGGGCGGTTGCTTTGTCTGCAGCATGGCTTGTTGTTTAAGTCACGGGTAGGTCCTGCCTTGCGTTCAGGACATCTTTTGTTACAGCCGGGTGTAGATATATACGAAGGAGGAGTTACAGGATGGGATGGTTCGTCCGCCACACAGACAACAAATAGCATTGTCGCAGCTGCCCCGCAAACACGATGCGCGAACCGAGACGCGCCGACCGAACACGCGAAGTCACCTGATACGGATGAGTCAGCCCCTTCCCAAATCTGAGCCTCTTATATCCCTCGCGCCCATCCTCCATCCGGTACGACTTATTTCCTCTTTTCGCAGCAGTTCCAGAAATCCAAGACGGAGTTTGAACGCCTTTTGGGAGCCCGGTCACATCCTACACTTTGATTTGCTCTCCTATGTTACCAGGTTTGGCTGAATTACAGAAACCGAGTGAAACCACATCCTGGTATTCGAGCTAAAGAGGTTCGCTTACGCTTCGAATCTCAAAGCTTGTTGCACGAAAGAGATGGTCCCCGATACCACAGGACTTTACTCAGTAAGCCCCGGCGAAGTACGAAAGTACGACATGATTATTCTTGTGGGCCATTAGGTCATGCCACTCGTCTTGATTACTTAACTGCTCCGGCCGCAACAACGCCCATACACGAAGGCAAATTTGACGCTTGGGATACATATTTCCAAGCTCATCGAGATTACTGGCAGTGGCATCGTGAGGTTAAATTCAGTCATTGGTCGACTGAATTACTGTCTACCCAAATCGTTATTTGGTTCCCGATGATGGACACCGGGCTTTCGAAAATCTGAAAATCATTGGTTCGACATCTCGATAGCTTGGGTAAACTCATCTATCTATGCGCCACGCTTTTGTGTCCGTTTACTCCAACATGATTTTTTTGGTACGAAAACAATTAATGATCTACGAAGGGCCAACTTCATAGACGAGCTCCGGAACAACCACGGCGCCGGTCGACAGACGATTCCATTTATTTAAGACTAAGTACTCCCCGGTGATATCTCAATTCGCTATCCGAAAAGCATTTACGGACTTGTTCATTTACATCTTTTGACACCGCTTCATTCTGCTTGACTTGAAAATGAAGACAATCGTGTTTATTGGAGGCACCGGCGCTCAGGGCAGTGCCATCATCAAGACCCTCTCTTCCACAAATGAATACAATATCCTCGCCCTGACACGTAGCACTTCTTCGTCCGCCGCCCAGGAAATTGCCCACCTTCCAAATGTCGAACTCATCGAATCCAATGCATCTTTCGGTTATGACATTGGCAAATTTTATGAGGCTGCTCAACGATCTGACTACGCTTTCATCAACACCGACGGTTTCGCGCTTGGAGAGCAAGCTGAGACATACTGGGGAATCAGACTTTTTGAGTTGTCTGCCAGGGCTGGCGTGAAACATCTCATCTGGAGCGGGCTCGATTACAACGGAAGAAAAACTGGCTACGATCCAAAATTCTACGTTGGGCACTATGAAGGGAAGGCAAGAGTTACAGGTACGAAGCAACCGTGACTCAATTTCGAGCACGTCCTTACTAACTTCTGAGCCAGAATGGATGCGTTCTCAGCCGACTAGTCCAATGGCCTGGTCCGTCATCGTAAGTACTCCTTGTCTTTAAGCCATTGCTAAGGCTGACTAACAATTGCAGAACTCAGGACCCTATATTGAAATGCTTTGGGAGCTTCTTCTCCCAGAAAGGGGCAGCGACGATGTATACAGGTTCAAGCTCCCAGTTGGCCAAGGGGCCATCCCCTTCGTCCATCTGGGCGACTTCGGTCGCTACGCCGCATGGATCTACGCAAATCAAGACGAGTCAAATGGCATGATCCTAGACATTGCCGTTGCTCATGTTTCGGGTCCAGACCTCGCCAAAGCCTTTACGGCTGCCACCGGCAAGAAGGCCAAATACATCGATCAGCCTGCCAAAGAGAACGTTGAGAAACATTTCAAGCATTTGCCAAAAGGTGTGGACACTAAAGTCGGAATTACCTCTGTCAAAGACGAAAACGCTCTCCTGATGACGTTTGGTGAGAACTTCACCAACTGGTGGAACCTGTACCAAAACAGCGCAGACAACAAAGGGGTTATTCAGCGTGACTATGATTTGTTGGATCGTATCTTGCCTGACAGGGTCAAAAGTGCGGAAGAGTGGATGAGAAAAGTTGGGTATGATGGCACGAGGCGTAGAGTGATCAGGTCCAGAGAGGCGGTGTCTCCAGCAGCGTCAGAAGTAGGGAGCAAAGGCGCGCACCCAGAATAATTCCTGACGTGCAGCAGGCATATTACTCTAGAGATTGCAAGAAAAGGGAAGACGACGACAAGAGTACAGATTGTCACTTCCTAATGACAATACCAATCCACACTGCATATCTTCTCCGCTTCCGAGCATTTGATTCTCAGCTCTCCGTACACAAACCCTGTGAGTTACGTAAAACATCTGAGTGCTGTGGCCGTCCCCGTACCTGCGTATTTGTCCAGCAGCGGAGCAGCATTGGAGCAATCTCTGGGACTGGTTGAGACGGTTCCAAATAAAGGGCTAAGAACATCCGTTGGCAGTGGACGATGCGGTATTGTCTGCAACCTTGCGTCCGCCTCCTGTTAGCCAATCAGCCATGGATGAAAGACTTGCAAGTTTTTGGAAATCTCGTCCACTAACAGCGTGTACTCTGCGCGAAAACTTTTGAAAAAAAAAACAAAACAAAAAACACAAGTGGGATGTCGCAGATGTTATTGATGCCTGGATGCGGAAAGTGGGCATAAAGGTTTCCTTCCCTCGCCAATGTGAAGGAGAGAAAGAGGATAAGGGGCTCCGGGAAGGCAATGTCAACCGTCCTCCCAAGCTCGAAACGGCCAGTTCGATATTTTTGACCACGACAGTAACTAATTTGATGGGTTTGTATTGTCTAAGAAGCGCAAAGCTACTGGGAATGGAGACGGCGGCAATACAAACAGCAGCCCAGACACCAGCAACCCAGAAACAGTCATCTCAGGGGGTAAACCCGACGAATTCCAGAAAGTGCTGACGAGCTCCTCATCCAGGTCGAGAAAACGACGGAAGACAACGGCGGATGAGGCGGAGTCGGAAGTGGAGCCTGTCATGCTGTCTGAAAACGAACCCCAGCACAGATCCCAGCGCGGGCCCGAAGATGAATCAGATTCCGAAGACGAATCAGAGTCTGAAGAAGAACCGGAGGTCTTGGGACAAAGTAGAACAGCGAATCAAAGTGATGAGATTGACGACGAGGAAAGCGCCTCCGATGATGAAGACCAAGACGGAAAGAGAGTTCCGGATCACGACTTTATGACTGGTATTCGCGGGTCAGCAGGCCCTCGTCGAGGTTATTCGATGAATCCTAATCGCAGTCCAGCAGTCGTCCACTGTCCAGATGCGACAAAATTACATATCGAATATATTAGAAAGGGCAAATACCACATGATTTGGTTCGGAGGAACATGCAAGGTCCGGGGAGGCCAAAACATGCCTTTCTGCTGGAGCAGACTTCCTAATAATAAGCCAGAGGTCGAGTTTGATTGGCACATCAAAGAACATATTGCGCAGTTGAATCGCTTGAGGAACGACAAGTCTAGGCAAATCACCGGCATTACCATACGGGATTCAACCGGTGGGCCATTTAACACGTACGAGGAGCAATGGCTCGTGGAGCAGGAAGCTATGTGCATCGAGGAGAAGTTCTGGACGAGGGCCGGTCAAGCTTTCGGCCAGCCCAATACAACGAATCCCCAGCAGTTCCAAGGGGCCCAACGGCCGTTCCAGGATCGCCCACTTTCCCGGTCCCATTGACTGCACGGGAGGCCGTTGATCTCATGGATCGGTTCAACAATGATGGGGTCCCCGCTGGTGATGACGCTGGAGATTGCAGCTCTGAAGATTTAGATATGTATGACGCTAGTTGATCGAGATGGATTATGCTATGTCAGGGTTTCTTGAAACTTGGTCAAATCAGAAAAGGATGATAGCAGTGGACGTCGAGGCAGAGATGGAAACGGTTTTTCTACAAGAAGGGTTGTTGTAGTTTGTTGTTGTCGCTTTTGTTATGTTTTTGCAGCTTCCCGCAAGAGAGAAGAGGTTACTTGAATACTAAAATACGCTGCGATCTAATTTCCATCCACAATGAAGTATTTTCACTAGACTGCTCTTAAGCCAGCTGGGGCGGCCTCCTCTAGGGGCCTACGGCAATCGTTCTAGGGGATCTCGATAGATGTCCTTCTTGGCCCTAGGCAATACATCCCGGCAAAGGAGGATGGCCGGATTCCGTTTCTTTGTCTTTGGATCCTGAACCGTCGGTGCAAGCATGCATATATCCGTTTCCGATCCCTCGCCGTTTCCGGACAGAACAAGCAGGTCCTAGCAAAGACGAAGACGAAGACACGCGCCAATCTTACTGATTTTCTGCTGTTTGCAGCGGTGAAGAAAATACAATGCGTGCTGATTTGCAAAGGTTGCGTGTTCAAGCTGAACGCGACTTCGGGAGTAACTGGGGCGGAGGTTAACGGCCTCTGGGTCAATGTGATGAAGCCGCAAGAGTCTCCTCTGTGTTCTCGAAGCAGAATAGATAGAGTGCATATGCTATATTTTCCAGTGCTCAGAATCTCATTACAGACTCCCGTTAGGTCTGGTACATGGGACGGTTGAGATCCTGGCTCTTCGCAGCTGCCGATTTTCTTTGTTTGCTTCCTCTTTCTTTGTCCTACCGCGGAGCAGGTTGGCAGTATGCTTCTAGGCTAGCGGTCAGCGCTAGTTGTCCGAAGCGCGATTAGGAGGCCAAGGAAATTAGAAGGGAGAAATTCATCGATCATTGATTCGTACTTACTATGTAGTTTGCACTATATGTATCCTTTCTTAGTATGGTTTATATCCTGGACTTGGGCGGACGGTAAGATCATCATTCATTCCGCTGGCATTGTCAGCGAAGCTTGATCTCCTCTTTGTGGCCCGCCATATCCAGGCCATATTGCCAGCAAAGGACAATGGGAGGGGTGAAAGTACCGCTGTCCGTGTTGACGGCTTCAACGTGTATGGGCTTGGGACATGGTCAAATGACGCCACGATGAATATCATGGTCTATTGAGGCCTTCAAACGACTCAAGCGCCATGCGACAGTGTGATTCTTATTTTGTTCAGACGTTCGTGGGCTCAGTGTTGGGGACGAAGAAAGGGATGAGCTCACGTCGGATAACTACAAGCCTCCAGCCTCGAGCGCTACGAATGAGATGGGGGCCGATTCTTCATGCTGGATCCGCCACGGGAAAAGGGGCTTGCAGCCTTGTCGATCCGCCAAGACTCTCAACGACATCTTGCACAAACACATCCTTGAGAACGACTACGATGTGGTTGCTTTATATATATTCATACATGTGTAACTGCTTTCCAAGCCGCTTACCACACTACAGTCCAAGGGACAGCTATCAGAGTACAGCAGATTCAAGAACAATCCCGCTTGCAGAGCAAGACGCCGCCGCGTTGGACACAAGAGCACAAAGAAGTTGGTCAAAATCTCGAGACAAAAGATGCAAGGGGTTCAACAACGCCGGAAGCAGATCAAAAGCGCCGGATTAGGAGAAAGAGGAGCGGAGTGGCACTATTTGAGGGCCAATACCGGTAACGGCATGCCTCGCCTCATCTCCACGTTTGTTGTGCTGAGTCGGGATTTGCTCAGTCTTCCTGCCGCATTTCACGCCTTTCGCTGGCAAGATCACGTCTCAGGGATTTCGATACTGAGCCTTTTGAAGTGCTGTTCCTCCCTATTCCGGCACATAGGGCGCTTCTCATATACCAGACGACACAAAGGAATTGGATACAAAGGAGGTGCCATATATGCTGGTTGCATAAAGACCATTGTCGAACGAATATCTACAAAAATGGTACTTAATTGCGGTCACTGGCCAAAGGCCCTGTCCTCGCATTCCCAAGTCCTTCAACGACTTTCAACCACTTCAGCCAACCTACTCATCCATTATATACAGATAGCATATCCAATAAAATGGATCCTCCCAGGAAGAAGACCAGAACTGCTGCCGGTTCTGCACCTGCTAGCTCTGCACCTGCTAGCTCTGCACCTGCCAGCTCTGCACCTGGACCTTCCTCTGCAGCTGGCCCTTCCACTGCCCCTGCACCTGCATCTACTTTTTCCTCTGCCACCAGTCTGCCCACCATTGCCGATCTAGTTGCTAATGCACTTGTTAATCAAGCTGTTAATGCACCTCCACCTCCACCTGCCCCCACAGCTGCCCCAGTCAATGCACCTGCGAGTGCACCAGCCAATGTCCCTGCCCCTGCCACGCAGCGTCAATTGACGGACACAGACCGCAGGCACAGAATCGACGCTCTGCGGGCAAGAATTAGTCCCCACCTTACCGACCGTTCCTTGTTGGAAACGTATCTCGAGGTGGCAGATTGGGATGGGGAAGACGCCTTTGCCTTGTGGAATGCCGACAGGGAAAACATCCTTCGTGGCACTGCCGCGAATCAAGATAGCACAACGTTGAGCGCCATGAATGAAAGTACGATCGCCGCCAGTTTCAATGCCATCCCGGAGCATGAGAGACGGGATGCCGCCCTAGCATTCCGATTGCATTTCCAATCTATATTCGCGGGGGAGAACTTGAGTCGTACAGAAGCAATACTCTATCTCCATTTCCACAGGTGGGATCTGGGCGACGCGCACGACAACTTATCAAACTTGGAGGGGATCCGGCACAGGATTGGGGATTATGACCGGATGCGAACGCCTCTCCCAGAGGAGGTCGACATTAGCGACCTCGTTACCACGGCACAACAAGATGAACGGCTCGCCGAGTTCATAAGTATCACCGGACGGCCCGATTGGTGGTCCCATCGCGTGGTATTACAGGGTTTCGCTTGGGACTTGATTGCGGCTATCTCGTACTGGTTCTTGGAGGGAGTACCTCCTTATCAACCGGAAAACAAAGAGAAACGGAAATCCACCAAAAAGGACCCTGACGGGAAGAAATATGAGTTCGGTCTCCGGGTGGGCATCAATGAGAGGTCATTAGACTGGCCAACGGCAGAGCAATGCGAAGCACAAAGAACGGCATTCATGGACGATGGTTGGGAGGCGGAACCAGACCGATACTCCAAGCCGGACACTTCGGGGGATGCTTCAGAGTCAGATGGGGACGATTCCGATGAGAGCTCGTCAGATGATGACAATACCAACAAGGGCAAGAAAGGCAAATTGAGCGCAAAGGCCAAGGGCAAGCAGAGGGCAGTTTCGGAGTCAGACGAGGACGGTTCCAACAAGGGCAAGAAAGGCAAATTGAGCACAAAGGCCAAGGGCAAACAGAGGGCGGTTTCGGAGTCAGATGAGGACGATTCCAACAAGGGAAAGAAAGGCAAAAAGAGCTTTGTGCCTAAAGGTGAAGGCTTTCTCCTCGCCGTTAAGGGTGACCCTCTGGAACCAGCATACACGGGCTGTCCAGATCCGTCCAAATTCCTTATCGAGACCATCTCCAGAGGAAAGTATGCTTTTAACCGCTTCAGACAGGATGGAAGGTTCATATGGCCGCGCCTTAATCAGAATACCCAGCGAAGGACAGCGAGAGCTTCGACGGGTCGAGTAGAGTTCGATTGGAACGACCCGTCCCACATTCAATTGCTGAATAATTGGCGTCGACAAGCACTTCTTCGAACAGGCCCAAGCATGAGACATGATGCCCCTCAACCATGGTCGAGGGAAGAGGACCAGTTCTTGATCGACTTGACCCAGGAGCTCCATGACGAAATGAGTCAAGATCCGGACTGGACCGCCGGCAGCAAATTCAGAGTCACTACCGCGAAGAAGGCGGAGTGGAAAAGGAGGTTCAATAAGCGGTTCACCGGCACAACTCCACCAGGCGCAGACGAACCACGCACTGACCGGACAGAAGGCGCCATTATGCAGCGCAGAGGTCGCATCAGGGAGCTCATCGAACGGTATGGTGTCAAGAAAGACGAAGGCTACTGGGCAAAACTAGAGATGAGCAAGAAGCGCAAGTGTTCAGAGGGCGAGGACGGGAATGGGGGTGAGGGGGCAGGCACCGAACAGACTACTCTACCCGTAGATGACCAAAATGCTGGTGGCGAGGAAGAGCCCATGGATATCGACGAAAACACTCAACCAGCGCAGACATCGCAACCTCCTCGATATCGGGCAAACCCCATCTTTCCCCGAGCGCAGAATACTCAGCCTCAACAAGCGCAGACATCCCAACCTTCTCAATACCGGGCAAACCCCATATTTCCCCGAGCGCAAGGAATTCCTCTGCAAGCACAGCCAGCTCAACTTCCACAAGCACAGGCAACTCAACCTCAGCAAGCGCAGGTCACTCAGACCGCACCACAAGAAGATGAACAAGCCGATGCAGGGGAGGCCGCCCCGAAGGATACTGACTCAGATGATGACCTCCCTTTGGTTTTCGTACGAGCTCGTGATCGGGGGAGGAGACCGAACTGATGGGCGGTGGGGATGTCACTCCTTTGTGTAGGTGAGTTGCTTGGATATTGACGGCCATTATTCGATGAGTTTGAGAGATGCCAAGGACAGTCGCCTGTCGATGCCACAGCTTGTATTCTTCCGTGTATCTGGTTCGTATTAAAACTTGTCCTGGGTTTCCTACGGAGTTGAAATCCCGATCATTGTGCAAGAGATCTTATTGCAGAGAACAAGACCAAAGCAACAGCGCTCTCTAGATGAAGAATTTAATTGTTGTACAGATTTTGATTGCTGAACACTTTGGTCAATTGTCATATCAGCCGAAGACCAGAGTAGGCTTCGGAAGGTCTTCTCTCGCAGCGTGGTGCAGAGCTTGGTCTTGGCTTTCAAGGTCATCTGCTCTCTGGATCGCACAGTCTTTGCTTTCGGTCGCTTCCCTCGACCACACCGTGGCTCTATCCTTCTTGCTGGGTTGCATCGAACCGAGTTTAATCGCTTCGTCAGGTAACGGCCGAATGTAAGGCTGGCACACCCACCACGGTCTTCGGTATTTCATTTCAGTTTTCTGTCTAGGCGTCAGGTCAGGTTGCGCTTCCTTCGTTACGTCATCTTCATTCGTTGTCTCGAATTTGGCTTGTTGTGAAGCGGCGTAGTCATCAAGGCCTTTCTTTACCGCCGTTTCTACCATGGAGAGAACTCTCTCATATCCATCGATATCCCCACATCTCGTTGTCGCCAACGCATCTCGAATGTCAGTGTGAATAGACACCAGAGGCCTGAGGAGTTGGAACAGGTGCCCTTGCATTGGCCTGATACTTGGATCGAACTTTTGCTTAGGACCCCTTGCTTGCCGTTTGCTCGGTCGAATCTCAAATTTGGGGCCCTCCGCTGTCTGGGTATTTTCTTCGACGTCGCCAGGGACGTAGAGTGGCTTGCGTGTGGGCGGTTCTTTATCGAGAGAATATCGGTGGATGATGTCGAGATACCTTCTGAACACAGCATCCATACGGTATCCTCCTGTATCATCGGCTCCATACCAGTATTCCCGGGGGTTGTATTCTTTTGGCGGGTTGGCGAAAATTGTAGGATCACTGAGATTGCCTTCTGCACTCATGATGCCGTCGGCCCCAGTTGCAGCTAGACATGACTCTAGGTCGCCTGAATTCAAAATATTCCCATTTGCGAAAATCACCGTTTCTGGCGGTAGATGTTCTCGAAGGTACCGTATCATTGACCAGTCTGCAACTCCAGTATTGTGTCCCTTCTGTTCTCTCCGTCGGCCATGCACTGTCAAAATGCTTGCACCCGCGGAGAGAATCATCTTTGCATACTCAAGTGTCTTCTCCCTGGTGTCTAGTATTCTCATCTTTGCCGTCACAGGGACGGTCAATTCTTTGTGCAATTTATTGATCATCTTGTAAATAGTGTCCCAGTCTTCCTGCAGAAAGGCCCCGTAGCGACCACATCTAGCAATACCCTGAGGACAACCCAGATTCAAATCAACTGCGTCACAGTGAGGGGCCACGTATTGTGCTGCCGCTAGAAGGTCATCGGGCTTGTTTGCGCAAAACTGCACAAACAAGGGTCTGTCCAAACTTGGGTTGCCGTCCAGGAACGGTGAAGATGAGGATTTCTCGGTTGAGCGCAGACTGCCTCTGACGGGCCGGAAGTGGTCGTCTCGAAATCCTGCCGTTTCGCGAAACAGTCTTGCGTGTAGCATTGGCGTAAATGCTAAAAGAGACTTTGATCGCTCTTCATCGAGGTAGGATCGAGTGAGGAGTCTCCAGGCCTGGAGAACAAGTCAACACAAGTGGTGAAAGCGTCGAAGACGAAGAGGGAGGACGGACGAATTCTGAGCGCTCGACCATGGGTGCCACGATGTATTTGGGACTGCCGATGCTTTCGTAGAAGGCCCTGCCTGTCAGCTTTGGCGGCGACGACATGCGGCTTGCGCCAGCAGGTACTGTTTCTGTCATGACTTTGGATGGACAAATGTGTCTTTGGATCTGCTGGTACGTGTCCAGTGCCCACCGCAGGAGAGGCCTGGACATGAAAAATCTCGGCGGAACAGATCCAGGCTAGCAGAGCATCATATTGCGCGTTGGAGAAGGCTCTCGTTCAGTCAGGGTGAAAGCCGTGAACCCAGATGATAATTTCGCAAAGAATATGGAGGGGAACCAAAAATAAATAATGGCGCTCAGTGGTCATATACTCTGACGCAATTTTCTCTACGGTGCGTCTTCCCGACCACTTCTGCAGTATTCACAAGCACACAACACCAAACTCCGGGTCTCCCAAGTGCCCCCTTTCCTGTCTTCCGTCAACAGGCGATCCCAGCACCGTCAGCAGCATACGCATGGTCAACCGGAGAAGACCTTTGTATTGATTACGAATAAGGACAACGCCACAGGCGCCCCTTAGAATCCGTCGCAGAGGAGCTGAGCACAGACCACTATCCTCAATCAACAGAGCTCAGATATCTTCATCCCTGTCGAGAGGAACAAACTGCTTGAGCATACTGGTAATGGCGAGTCAGAGGTTCAGATTTGGGCATCGCTTTGAATTTCTGTTTGGTAGCATGGTACACACCCTTCGAATCCCGTTCCGTTCAATACAATATATGACCTCGAAACAAACCATCTCATAAAGCCTCGAGAAGTACTTGTCAGTATGCCATATCTTCGGCACACATGTCCGAGATTTACCCATTTTCTTGTTCAATGCCGCACTGCTGATTTCTAACCGGAAACCCCACGTCAAGCGGTGCTAAAAGTCAGCTCTCTGTTGAAGAGCAACACACATCGAAAAGTTGTCATGTCCATAACTCATGGCAACAAGCTTACGCCGCCATCTTCAGAACGAACATCCACCTTATCACTCTCCTCCGCATTCGTCGACGTCAAGCCGCTGCTAAAGATCTTGTCGATCCGTTTCTCGCGATGCCAGACAATCTCATCATCTCCGTTCTGACAGAGCCGTTTGAAGTATTTGATGCGATGCTGAGGGATCCATTCCTCCTCGGTAGTCTCGGAGATCCATTGACTTGCTGGTATTTCTTTGATACCGGCAAATCGTTCGAGATATCCAATAAGATACTGTGACATGTCGAGACTAGCATCCCACTGAAGTCGATTCAAGACATCTACATCACACGCATGAGCAAGCCATTTTGCAGAGAGCATATGTGGCATACCTTGAGCTGATCTCATCTTTGGCACTGGCACCTCGCTGGGCATAATCGGCTTGTCTTCCTTTCCCCGCTTCCTGTGCTTCGCGTAGTGCTCTAGATCTTGTGTCCTCTGCATTTCCTCTTTTTGTTCTTGCTGTCTTTCTTCATCGATCTCTTTGAGGTGGTTTTCTGCAACACGTCTCAAATGATCGATCGAGTCTAAGGAAAAGCTCGGCATCGGAGCGCCTCCACGATCGTTTCCCGCCATCAGCAATACAATGGGTCAATTCAGTCTGGTAAAATTGATAATTGAGATGGGGATGGGACTTGTAATGCAGTCCTCATATATTGGACTTCCTTGTCGGTGAGCTTGAACTAGCCTCGTTGTGGCGCAGCACTGATGCCCACGGAATGACTCACCTATTACTCTGTACAGGGAGCCTCCCCTATCAACGGGAGCTCATGGAGACACGTTACTGCTCGTTTATGTCGTGGTAGAAGCGTATGGTCATGCCCTTTCGACTATGTTCTACTAGAACGAAGCTCTGACGAAATCTGAGTCATTGTGATCGCGAGGCGTTTCAAGTCGGAGATCAACATCCTCTGCAGCGAGCTAGATGTGTCAGTCTCATCAGTCCCCGAGTCATACTCATTTCGCTCGGACGCATATGGTCTAAGGACCTTCAAAGAGTTTAAGTACGGGTAGACGGTGAGACTTGGACGTAGTGAGGAACGATATGCAGGAAACACTCATTCCCGAGAGTTCGCCGTTAGCTCGGCTAAGAATATGTACCAGCACGAGCCGCTTTTGTCATATCAACAACTCTCACATAATAAGCTACGCAGTCGTCCTTCAAGATGTTGAGCGACTCGACTGCAGAAGGAGCTTGAGACTATGCCCTTGGGTCGCGGTGCCAAATCCCCTCTCAGAATACGAGTAGGACATGGTTTGAAAGTACCAAGCTGCGGCTCTCGGAGATGCTTGAGCCAGTTTCGCGTTATCGAGCATGAAGTGCGCGCCCAACATACGCGCCACTGGCCGAGAGGCACGGAGATCGGCTATGAAAATGCCCTGAAGCTCTCTGTCAAGCAATATATTCCCCATGACCGCAAGAACCCTATGCCTAGCGACGTCACCTTTATCGGTGCACATGCCAACGGATTTCCCAAGGTTAGTGCTCTATTTCGACTGCTTACAGCGCCGCCCGACATGTTCCCATACCTGAGACGATCTCTAGGAGCTATATGAGCCTCTCTTTGATGATCTGTACAAGAAATTGAGGTCGTTGGGAAGAGGTATCCGTGCAATATGGATTGCCGACCTCGTTCATCAAGGGAAGAGCGCCGTCATCAATGAAAGGGCCTTGGGTAATGATCGTATGTTTGGCATATGTGGAACATTCCGAACCTTGCTGACGGGTGACAGCGAACTGGTGGGATGGCGCTAGAGACCTTCTCTTTCTGATCAACCAGAAGCAAGATGAGATGCCTCAGCCACTTATAGGGATTGGGCACAGCATGGGAGCATCACAATTGTACATTCTATACCATAAGCGGAAGAACGCAGACCACTGACTATTTTTCAGGGCGCAGCTTTCACTTCTTCATCCCAGACTGTTGCAAGCTCTGATTCTCATTGATCCTGTCATACAAACCGAGAATCCCAGCAAGACGTTCGCCAAGCCATCAACTTACCGGCGAGACATCTGGCCATCCCGTCAAGAAGCCCGGTCAAAGTTCGCGAGCAGCAAGTTCTATCAGGCCTGGGATCCAAGGGTCTTTGAAAAGTGGGTACAATATGGTCTCCGAGACCTCCCCACTGAACTCTATCCAGAGAGGGACGAGAGCAAAGAGCCACAGGTGACCCTAACCACGCCAAAATCTCAAGAGGTATTTTCTTATCTGAGGCCAAAATATAACGGCACACCCGGGATTGAACCCGAGAAGGATCGGGCCGTATATGGGGATATGTATCCGGATGACGTGGAGCCAGGGTATCCTTTTTATCGACCTGAACCGGCCGAGATATTCCGCCGGCTTCCTGAGCTCAAGCCGCCCGTTTTATATATATTCGGGGAGCACTCTGAGCTCGCAACGCCGGAGCTAAGGAGGAAGAAGATGGCGAATACTGGCGTTGGGGTGGGCGGGAGCGGAGGGCAAGCTGAAGGCCGAGTAAAAGAGATTGTTCTGGCAGACTGTGGCCACTTAGTCCCTATGGTAAAAGTCGAGGAGTGTGCTGATGCTGCGGCTTCATTTGCAGTTGCGGAGGCGTCTCGCTGGGAGGTCACGAAGGAATGGCAGAGGCGTTGGCTGCAAAAGCCTAGGAGTGAGAGGATCGGTATTGACGATGAGTGGAAAAGGATGATTGGTCCGAGAGAAGCGTGACCATCAAGAGAGAACTTCCACAAATTTAAGCAAAGATGAAGTTGAGCTCACTGGTATGCGCACTCGCTCGGTAGATGACGCAGCCTTGCACGACAGCCACAGCCTTGTTGTTGCGCCCTGAAGATTCACCGGACAAACAGTTTTTCCGTGTCCGCGAGTCGCCCGCCGCATTCCGTGTCTACTTTCAAGTTTTGCACCTTCGCGATGTCCCGCCTCACCATAGTTCCAGTACACGACCGCATTACAGCATCAACCGCGCTTTTCGAATCGCGTAAGCCATCATGGTATTCTTCGCAACCATCTCCATGTTAGCATACGATTTTGACTCTCGAACAGGTTTACAACTGGGATCCTCACCGAGATGTGCTCTACAAGCTCTACATCGAGGACAGAAAGGTATGTCAAAAGCATCGTTCTTATCCGCTGCCTAAGCCCAGAGATCGCGCACAACTAACAAGAGTCAGTCCCTCGAGGAGATTATGCAGTACATGCGAGACGCCGCCAACTTCACTCCCTCCAAGCGCGCTTTCCAGACACAATTTAAGAGATGGGGTTTTCCGTCGAAACGCAAGCCGTCGTTCCGCGATGAGGACCTGGTGGATCGCGTGAGAGAGCTGTGGGAAGCCAACTACAGTCAACGCAATATGCTCCATACCCTTCAAGCCGAGGGCCACGATATCAAAGAACGAGAGCTCATGCGACTGCGCGCTAAGAACCGCTGGCTCATGCGGATTCCCAACGGCGCCAAACAGACGTCCGCCGATGAGGCAGAAGCCCGTCTCGAAGGCCAGCTGATCGACGCTACGAAGAATGACGAAAGTATCCCTCAACCCGACCATCATCCCGTCTTGGATGAGCCGCCGCCAGAATTCATGGAGCGTCAGAAGGAGAGACTTCAAGAACTCCAAACCATCAGTGACCAGCGTTGGAAAGACAAGAAACGACGCCGTCGCACCAAGGGGTATGCAGGTCTCCCCCCCGATCCCGCCGGGATGCCACCGCGTTTTCCCTCCGAGACCACACTTGAGGAGAGCAGGGAGATATTGTGTCTTGATGCAAGACAATATCGGGCCATTCGCGATCAATTCCAAGCGATTTGCGAGGAGGAGCAAATCAAGCAAAAGACCGTTGCTGGAACAGAGAAGTGGCAAGCCGTCAAAGATCGGTTGGTCCGTGAGAATGCACTATTACAGGCTGTGATGTGGCAAGACACGTCTAACCTTCAGTCCAAAGAGCTTGCTCTGGACGTCATCTGCACCGATGTTACCAAGCGGATCCGGACCCTGGGTCGAAGATTGACCATTTTAGAGTCCAAGAAGGTGCTTGGCTTGAACCCAGATCAAAGTCGACAAATCCGCAGCGAATTTTACGACATCCTTGAATCGGAGTATTACACCAGTAAACTCGAAATGGGACCAGAGAAGTGGAAGGAACTCAAAGACCGCTGGGTTGCCAACAATTCATATCTTCAAAGCCTCCTCGCACCGGGTGACGCCGACCCCGAGCATAACAGAAAGCGAGCTGCAATGGAACTCTTGTGTCGAGATGTCATGAAGCGTGTCCGGGACGATCGAGCAAAGAAGAAGGGCACTTTTAGGAAAAAGCCCGCAGAACCTTTGACACTCGGAGCGGACATGACACCTCAACCACCTCAACCTCCCGCGCCCTCAGTGGCTCCTGCACCGGCTGCTGTCAGCGACGCGTATCGAGACGCCCTGCCAGCCAATCCATATAGCGACGTACCAACCACGGCAGCGCAGAATGATTTGTCAGACCTTCAAATCGACCCCAACTTGTTGCAAGTGGCCGACCATCTAGGGACCCCACAAGTCTCGAGCGTGACGCCTGTGTATGTTCGTCCTCACCCCAACTCGACCGTGTACACCTCTACGAGACTCTGGCTAGGTTCTTTGATAGGACGCACTGTTCAGGAACTTCGTGCAATGATCGCTGCCAAGTATCCCCTCGCAAAGGCAGAACAAATCAATGGTATCGAGAAAGACGCCGTGGGCAATGAAATCCCCTACCTCATTGAGGAAGATGACGAATTAGAGGCCTATCTCGACCACGTTCAAGGACGCAAGGCTATGTTCGTCGTGCTGCTCGCGCGGGCTTGAAATCGCACGTGATAGGGTTGGTACTGGTTCGTCAGAGGAGAGGATGTTCATGATGTCGAGGCAGTATTCAGCTCATTGTCTATTCCATGCTTGTTTTAACTAGCAGTCTTTTTTTCTTGGTGCAAAGGGAGGTAAATTACTTCCGAAGCCCGGAGTTCGCGGGGGTGGCGCTTTCGACACGCTTCATGCTGCATTGGCACTGGAAGGGGTGCGTGCGTGCTTGAGGATATGATAACGACATTGGTGACCTTTGCACCATGAAAGGAGGAGTCTTTGAGCTAAGGATCTTTACCTCCTCCGGTATGCATGGGACAAAAGATAATTCGCAGGCGGATAGGAATCCTGTGGAGAGGAGACCAATACGGAGACTCAACATTGTTTAATTGCGCCTGGACCCTTCGTTTTGCAACATGCAACGATTTGGAGGAGTAAGGAGCATACCCAGACGCCGAATGGGTTAGTGATCACGCTGGAGCCGCAGATGCATCTGCCGCGCTGGAGGATCATCTTCATCCCAGATTCATACTCGTACGTCGTGTTTTATGTCGACCGTAAGATCTTAGTTCGGGCACAGACACCGCACCCGTGGACGCGCCATTCCTCCAGCAATTCTCCACCGCATTCCTCCCCGTGGGTACGTGTAGGTGGAGGGGCGTCTTAGTCCTCGTGATATGCGAGCAACAAAACCCCTCGCTCGTATGCTCGGGGATGGAGGAATGCAGTAGTAGATCTACAGTGAGTAATTCATGGTAAGCGTATTGCCTCCGCTGCGGCTCAACCCAAGTGCTCACTGGCCACGTTCGTCTGTTCTCAGACTACCATTTCCCGACCTGACGACGAATATGGGACATTTGCGTGGCCTCAGTCCGGCAGGTGAGGCCCTCCGCTGGCGAGTCTGGAGGGGCAAAAGGGGGTCCATCCTTTGCTTAGAGCGGGCTATGGCTTACTGTTGCATCGGCAGTTCGTCCACTCAACGAGCCCGCATCCGTGGAGTTTCTCGTTCCCGTGCAACCCGCATATCGTGCATGTCTAGGTGGGCGTCTTACTAGCCTAGGTAGGTCCAAGGCAGGTCCAAGTACATACGTACTGGAGCGAATGCGGGGCAGCAACTTCGGCACTGATTATATTTTCAACGCCAGAACCAAGGACCAGGACCAGCCGGGCTGTAGGTAGGAGGGTCAGCAGGAACCACTCCATGGCTAACTCCGCTGATCGATGTGGAAACCCAGATAAGGATTTAATGGATCGTAGGTATAAAAAGGTGGGTTGAACTGGAGGGACAAATCTGCCTAGCCTCAGCTTCTGCTTCTGCTTCTGCTTCTGTCCCTGTACCTAGCCCCCGTCCACGACCAAGGAAGACAAACAAGAACAACAGACCACACATATTGTGACCAGCCATGGCTCCCTCTAGACTGGATACCATCTCTTTCACCACATTCTCCAACATTGTCAACGGCGAATCCCGCAGCTCAAAAACAAAATACCACGGCATCGACCCCACCACCAAAGAACCAAACTGGGACGTTCCTGTGGCCACTCCCGAAGACATTGAAGATGCCGTCGCCGCTGCCAACAAGGCATTTGCTGAGTGGAAGAACACGACCTGGGAATACCGCACTGAGCGTATTGCCCGCTTCAAGGAGGCCTTGGAGGCGTACCAGGAGGAAATGACCGACCTGCTTCTTAAGGAGACCGGCAAGCCACGAAACTTTGGAGCCACCGAGGTGCAATCGTGCTCCAAGTTTATCGAATGGCATATGCAGTTAAAGGAGCCCAAGGGTGAATCGTACGACCTTGAGGATAGGAAGATTGTCAATAAGTTTGTTCCGTTGGGTGTCGCAGCAGCCATTTGCCCTTGGAACTTCCCTCTGTTGTTGAGTTTGGGCAAGGTGCTACCTGCAGTGCAGATGGGCAATGCTATCATTGTGAAGCCTAGTCCATTTACTCCGTACGTCCACCTCACAAAGATTTTCTATTGCGCCGTGAGCTGACGACTAGGAACAGATACACTGCATTGAAGATGGTCGAGATTGCCAACCAAGTCTTCCCACCCGGTCTCGTTCAGGCTCTAGGTGGTGATGACAAGCTCGGCCCCGCTCTCGTCGACCACCCTGACATCCACAAGATCAGCTTCACCGGCTCAATCGCCACTGGCAAGAAAGTTATGGCTGCTGCGGCGAAGACTGTCAAGCGAGTGACCCTGGAGATGGGTGGAAATGACCCTGCCATTGTCCTCCCTGACGCCGATATTGCCAAGGTCGCTCCTATGGTCGCCATGGTAAGGGATCCCTCCGACGGCTCGTTCCCCTTCCCAATTGACTGACCTGATTTTAGGGAGCATTCTTCAATACCTCCCAAGTCTGCATCGCCTCGAAACGCATCTACGTGCATTCTTCCATGTACGACGAATTCCTGACCGCGCTCGTCAACGTGGCCAAATCCCTCAAAGTCGGTTCCTCCAACGAAGAAGGCGTCATGCTCGGCCCCATCCAGAATAGCATGCAGTACGAAAAAGTAAAGACCTTCTTCAAGGACACCAAGGACCACGGCTACAAATTCGCCCTTGGATCCGGCGACGTGCCCGAGACGAAGGGGTTCTTCATCGAGCCCACCATCATCGAGAACCCGCCCGACGACAGCATGGTAGTGCGAGAGGAGCCCTTCGGCCCGATCGTGCCGGTGCAGAAGTACGACGACATCGAGGACGTGATCAAGCGCGCCAACAACTCCAAGGCGGGACTGGGCGCCACGGTCTTCGGCAAGGACCCCCAGAAGCTGCAGGACGTCGCGGACAAGTTGGAGGCTGGATCCGTCTGGATCAACAGTTTCCCCGCTGCCGGCCCCCAGGCTCAGTTCGGCGGTGTCAAGGAGAGCGGCATTGGCACCGAGTTTGGCACCTTGGGTATTTTGGCGTATTCTAATGTCAAGGCTATCACGACGTTCAAGTAAACTGCGGACCTTATGTATGAGAAGGACAGGCACGTTCCAAATCACACAAGACTATGATTAATCATTCCACCGAGCCCATCTTGCCACTTCGTCAGTCATATATCTCGAATAAAGAGCCCTAGAAATTGATGGCTATATATCCCCTGTCTGAATCGCAAGGGGCGGGGTTGAGAAGACTCATAACTTCGAATCCCTGTCTCTCGCTTTCCTCCCACCACTGGTGCTCCTCCCCGTCCCGTCCTCATTCTCCTCTGAATCGCTGGCAGGATCGCTCTCCGTCTTCTCAGCCTTTAAACTCACAGGGTCGCCTAGCATCGAGCGATTGCCTTTCTTCGCCTCGCTTAGGTCCTGCTCTGCGCGCTCCTTGAGGGTCTTGTTCGGTCTCCGGCATGGGTTGCTTGCGCCTTTATCCTCCTGCACGGGCGAGGTCTCTGATTTCTCGGCCTTGAGGGAGACCGGGTCGCCCAGGGCCGTTGGATTGGATTTAAGCGCGGATTCTTTGAGTGGTTTGCTGCCGCCCATTTTTGGAGAGGAGTGGGACGTCTGTGGTCTGAAGTCGATGGGACCCAGAGATAGACAGATGGTCAAGGTTTATATGAACGGCACGTCTCTGCTGTTTTCAATATCCTCTAGTAGGAAGCCGGAATGTAATGGTTTGAATTCATAGAAGAAAAAGGGAAACATGCAGGCAAGCAACTTTTCTCACATATGAAGAGCCACTTGCATTAACGTCTTCCATTTCCATAATGACCTCAAGAAGATAGATCCGGCTTGACTGTTTTACCATGGCTTGCCCTCTGGACCTCTTCCTTGGGGGACTTGTTGCCATTTCACGCCGCCTTCTTCTTGATCATCCTGCGATGGTCGGAGAGAGGGTTGTGGGAAGATCGAATCAGAACCTGAGGATGGCAGGTGCAATTTATGTACCTTCTCAGCTTCGCAAGGAGTTGGCCCCCGGGATCGGCATAACATTGATCCGTTCCGGGAGAAGTCTTTCGTAAGAGCTTCCTATTCTGTCTGCTTTGATTTCTTCCTGCGAGGCCTGTCAGTCGATCTGCTTCCGTGTCAGATCTGATCGAGCCGACAACCGTCAAGTCAATGGGCGTGGTTCGATCAAGATCTCCTATAACCGTCGACAAGACACGATAGGCCACACACTCACGTTGCGTCGCGGTGCTGGGCACCTGAGCTGGCATTCATTCCTTCAACTTTTTTCCGCTTGACCTTCAGACCTCCGCCCGACCTTTCAGCGGCCCTTCTTCACCCAAAGCCGTGGACTGGGGCTTCAAGAACAATGATATTCTATGAGTCTGTCGATTTACGGCCGATGCCTGTTTTCTTGAGAAAAGTTCTCCGACTTCACGACATCCAAGTCAGACGTCAAAAGGGGTAGGGACTGTTATACTGCAACGAAGGCGTCGCCCAGCCATGTCTTTCTATGTTCGAGAGCTGCTTGAACTACTGGGAGCAAATTTTATGCAGTCAGTCAGTAAGCCTTAGGTCTCACTTCGACCAGGGAACGGAGATGGGAGCCGCATGCGGAGATACCTCGAAATCAGAACAGGCATCCACGTCTCTTTGCCAGAAGGAGTCGCTGGAAGGACTCCTGCACCAAGGATGTGCTTTCTGGCATGGCTCTACAGAAGAAGCATACTGTCCTAGAATGGATAGTAAGGTCGCTTGTCCTTCAAACCCTAGAATTCAAGTTCACTTTCATGCTTCTCGGGGATCCATGTGGGAAGTCGTCCCCAATCCAACCTCAAAGAGATAAGATCTCCAGCGCCTTGCTTTTGCTTGCTGTCCTAGAATACTTTATTGCGACGATCTTCTCAGCACAGACTCGCCGACGGACCTCATTCTCGATGAGATGAACAAGTGGTTCTGACGACTCTGAGAATCGACGCTTAAGGACTCGCCACATGGCAGAGTGTTATATCTTTGGCTACAATGCCGGCAATCGTCGCAAAAGATCAATAGGTCGATAGAGCCTCTCATTTCAGCGTCCAATTAAGATGGCCAATAACGCACAGACTGATCCGAACCAGCCGCAGTTCCTGTCATGACCGGAAATCGAGCTGCGAATACGCTTCTCGCCAGCTTATCGTGCAGGTCTCCACCTGTGAAAATAATGCAAAGTTCGAGCGCCCCGTTGTATTTCAATCCATTCCGTGCCTCCACGTTGCACGTCGTCGGAGGATTCAAATTGACGCCCAGTTAAATACGAGGCAGGTTAAACTTTCCGTGGGCCGTGCGTTGACATTATGCAAACTCATCCCCCGCAGTCCCAACCTTGCTTCCTCCTCTCTTTCAGTCGCGCAAAACTCAGCCGCAGATAGCTTCATTCGAACAGCTCTCCGAAAATGGTGTATCTGGCAAACTTGGAAGGTCCAGGCCTCGTTTTCACCTATGGCCTTTTTGGCGTGCAACACGAGGAACTTACGGCTGAAAAGAAGAAAACAATATCAGCACTCTACGGCTTGTTGAGTCAATCTGCAGACCGAGTAGATCACTTGCAGGATGAGAGCCACGGCGCTCCCCGAGAGGGGCCGAAGTGCACCACTTTTGTCGCGTACTGGCTGAAGTCTAGCGACTATGAAAAGTGGAAAGAAACTGACGAAGTGAAGCAATTTTGGGACAGTCTGCCTGATGACGCGGGTGTTTGGCGGGAAGTAATGACAGTTCCAAAGTCTCGTTACATGTTTGCGGCAAACCAACATGAAACATCTGGCCTGGCTACGATGTTGGGTCTCAAAGACAGTACCGACGAGGCCTACTGGGGTGTCTACCGCCATCGACTCAGCGCAAATCCCGACGAGTACACCGACCCGAATGATACCTTCTCATCACCTCTTGTGACCACGGCGAAAGCAAAACCTGACCCGAGTAAGAAAGTGGTGGATCTGTCGAAATCACCCACGCCCGACAAGATTAGACGTGGACGGGTCAAAATCAACAACATCCCCGATAATCTGTGCTACTGTCGAGAGGGCCAGAGACAGCCAAACTTGCCTCCAGAAGAGCTTGAAACGTGGAAAGAAAAGCTGGCGCCGTACGCTCTCACTTGGATGAATCACCTGGACACGGAGCGCAACAAAAACGGCGTGGTCTCGTTCACGTTCAATATCGCACATCTAAACCCGAAGCCTACCCTGGACCCAGGCGCAGACCTGGAAGTGGATACCGATGCCGTTGCCGAGACGAATCAGTTGATGTACTTGCTTGACCTTGCTCATTTCGAGTTGGCGGGACGCTCTTTCAAAGACCATGTTCACCTGCGAAAGACGACATTTGAGATGTACGGGCCAGGTGGTCGGCACGGCGAGAATGGCAAACTGTCGATCTGGGTTGAGCTTTGCATTTTAAAATCAGGTGACATGGACGCAGAGTACGTTGGATGCCGAGAGGGGACTGGCCTAATGATGTTTGAGAATGTGTAAAGCGGCTTATCGCAACGACATGGCCGTTTTGTCGCGAACTGTGAGGTTGAGTTTTCCTATACCATCTCTGCCTTGAGTAATCATCTGCAGCTGCCGAATCTACAATTTGCTTCCAAAATCGTCCATCCTTTAATTGCTCCGCCGTCCAACACTAATCATCCATGCCCTCGGAAATGGAACCGTCTGGATTATTGTCCTTGAAATCGAGGCCTCCAATCGTGCGTGCTCACATAGATAACCCCGCTCTGAATGGAACCAGCACTGAAAGCCACGGAAACGGAATACGAGCTGCCCCTCCTCTCTCTCAGCTTGAGATGCCGAGTCTGGGTGGCCGCAAGACGACGCCAAAAAGATAAAGACGTCCGCGGGGCAAGCCACGAAACTCTCGCCGGGCGTCTATCAGGCTCCCGCTGTCAGCACTGTTCTCAACTCGATTAGCAACACCTTCTGCAAGCGGAAAGTTCCGCCCATATATCGGAGTTGGGAGCTTCTCATATCGTGGGTCTTCTCTTCGTCAACTCGGTCAGCCCTCAGCACCATCTTCTAGAGAAACGAGCTCAGGAATTTCAACCAGTTGACACAACAGACATGGGAAGTGCAGCTCCTGCGACATTGCGAGTGGCGGTGGCCCAATATGAACCAGAATGGCTCGACCTGCCAGGGTCAGTCGCGAAAACATGTTCCATCATCACCGAAGCTGCAAAGAAAGGTGCAAAAGTCGTGGGGTTCTCAGAGGCATTCATTCCTGGCTATCCGGCGTGGATATGGTAAGCTTTCCCGTCCCTGTGTTCCCGTCTTCGCCGCCCGCCCTTGTCACAGCACATTTCCATGACATCCTGCCCCACCTCAGGCATAGACCGGTGGATCCGGTCCTGGCGACAAAGTACATCCAGAACTCCCTGGCGGTGGACTCTGATGAGATGCGCACGATCCAAAACTGTGCGGCGAAGAACGGCATCGTCGTGGCTTTGGGATTTTCCGAGAACGACAACAACTCCGTCTACATTGCCCAGGCGATCATCGATTCGGACGGTAAAATGCTGATGCATCGACGAAAACTGAAGCCGACGCACATGGAGCGCACCATCTTTGGCGATGCATCCGGAAACAGTCTGATGAATGTGGTGGCCACCAAGATCGGGAAGCGAGTAGGCAGCTTGGCCTGCTGGGAGCACTGTCAACCGTTGTTAAAGTACCATACCGCGACGCAGCGCGAGGATATCCATGTCGCAGGGTGGCCGCCGTTGAGTCCGCACGCAGGGCCGGAGCTGTGGTCCATGTCAAAGGAAGGTAGGATTTTCTTTCTAGCATCCTCAGTGATCCCGTCATGCTAAGTGAGGATCATCAAGGCTGTCAAAATCTCTCCCAAACATACGCCATCGAGACGCAGACGTTCGTCCTCCACGCGACCACCGTGATTGGACTCAAGGGCATCGAGCTCATGGGCACGGGCCAGGCCATGCTCATGAATACCCCTGGAGGAGGCTACTCCTGCGTCATTGGACCCGACGGCCGCATGCTCTCGGAGCCGCTCGAGGCCAAGTCTGAAGGCCTGATCATCGCCGACATCGACCCCAGCATGGCAATCATGGCGCGCAGTTTCCTGGACATCTGTGGCCACTACAGTCGGCCGGATCTGTTGTGGTTGGGCTGCGATACACGGGAGAGGAGGCACAAAGTTGACACACCCCGACCGGGGGCGGAGGAGAAGGTGGTGGGGGAGAATGAGTGAGTACGATGAGCACGGAAAACCAAGCAAAAAGCTGTCCCGATTTTCGTTTTTCATTTGATGCGCGGCGTCGCTCAGGATGTTTCCTTTCACTCTTCATGGTTTTTTTTTTTTTTTTCACCGTTTTACGCAACGCTTACCAAAATATCAAACCCACCGTTCCCAACGCACTAATCCCCAAACCTATCCACCCGCTGACCATGACCTGCCTATTCGACAACATCATGCCCGTGTCCCAAATCAAGTGCCTCAGCCCATGCACGACGTGGAAACAGAACGCAAATCCCCACACGCCTTTCATCGCGAGCCTCGCGCCCACAGGCAGTGCGCCGAACCAGGCCACCAAGCTTTCCGTGTCCGGGTGCCAGCCGAGCATTGGAGCGATGACGTACGCAACTCCGAAGATGTATATCGGACCCGTGAGTAGGATAGCGCAGTTCCGCATCAGCGCGCCCGAGTACCATGTTATTTGCGGTTGGTAGATGGCCAGGTGGGGGCTGACTGGGCGGGAGAGGCGCTGGGAGGCGAGTTGGGCGGCGTGTTGCGATGCAGTGAGAGGCTGAAGTTGAACCGGCGGCTTGTTCTTGGACGATGTGCTCGAGTGTCTGAGTAGGAGAGGCCTTCGTTAGTTTTCCTTGGCCGGCATTCGATAGGAGGGGTTAGATGGTATACCTGGTCAACTGGAGAGACCCGGGCACACGCAATGCGAAGATCACAGGCTGCGAGAATGCTGCATTTGGCTTCAGAATGCGTCCTGCTGTGGCTTTTATCAGCTATGGATGGAGTAGGAACCAGGGTTATGACTCCCAATACACAAGGAGTCGTGCTGCTTGGTACTTACGACGCATGCATATACGTTCTGGCATCGAGCCTCGTAGCCATCTTGGGTATAACATTGTGGTCGCTCTGGTGCTCCAGGGTCTCGAGCGGCTAGATCTGAACGACTACGATAGCAAATTATAGACAGAAGTCGAAGCTGGCAGGTGTTTGATATCATTAGGATCTCCGTGCAGCACCGTAGTACTTTTCTCCTCGGAATGGAAGGACCCCGCCAGCATTGCCACCATTGCCGAATGAAGTGTTGGTCACAAAATCTGGTGGCGGACGGACGAATCCTTGACGTTCCGACCGTGATTCCGATGCTCCACTTGCTGAGGCTCCCCTTTTCGCCCCCTCCGCCTTTTCCCTCCTGCACGTTCTCCCCCGGGTACTTTATCAAATATGTAACGGCTGCACGTCCAGTCTGCAGGCCTGGGAATGAGAGCCCGATGCAGACAAGCGTGTGAAGCGTGCCGAGCCCGCAAGTCGCGTTGTCTCCCGGGCTCAAGCGATGAGACTTGTAAGAGGTTGGCAGCCCTGCTCCGCCCGTTTTTCTCCTATTGCTCTAGCCAGTTAGGAGGTTCGTTTCATTATTGACAAACGTCGCAGGTGCGAGAATTCTAGACTCGTATGTGTGCCTCACGAAGCAATTAAGCGGACTGCTCCTCGAAAACGGTAAAGAGGATCCATCAACGCCAGAAACCAAGAATCGAGCTGATGATGCGCGGCCAGGGTGAGAGGGCGGTTTGCTGGGAACAATGGCATTGCTCCAGGGCGAGGCTGCCATGTGAATGCAGATTTAGAGTGTCTGAGGAGCAATGGAGAGGAGTGCTCCTATTTCGACGATCTGTCCACGTCCGGGGCACCGGCGGTGTCAAAATCAGTGTCGCTTGCTATTTCCGACGCCTCGAATACTTTCGGCCTTGCCCTGCTCGCCGCATTAGAGATCAAGGAGCCTTCGCCCGGCAGTTGGGCTGCAGTCAAAGCTGCACACGGTCAACAATGCTCGATGTTTCTGGACCGCTACAAGGACATGGTGGCATCGGTGCCGTTCGCCATCCAACTGCCACTCATGACACTAGACGGGCTCTTGTCGTCGTTCCCAATCTTGCTCCTCGCAGCCATTCTCACAGGAAGCAGCTCCGATCCGGACTTCGAAAAGCAAGCGGGCGAGGCATTTCGACACGTCCTCGCCGATCGAGTCATCGTCAGGGGACAGAAGAGCCTGCAACTTTTGCAGAGTCTGCTGACGTACATGACGTGGTATCACCACCGCTTCGACCCACAGACTGCCCAATTCTACCAGCTCCTGCAGCTTGCAAACGGCATGGTCGCCGATCTTGGGCTACCCAGGAGATTTGCCAAAGAAGGAACATTCGGCGATCGGGGCGATGAGGATGTGAACGCCAGTCGGGCATTCTTGCTCTGCTACTACCTCAACTGCGGCGGTGGAGTGCTTGGGTACGACAGGCCCGAGAATATGCGGTGCATTGAGAATTTAAGGAACGCTGCGAAGTTGCTGGCTGAGGTGTCCGACAGAGCTCTTGATCCGGAAGCACCGGCGCTGGTCGAGCTGCTACACATTGTAAGCCTACATCGGGGTGACGGAAATGAGAACCAGTCTGAACATCGCGTTCCGCCTTCACGAAGTCTTTCTGGGTGGAAAGCCACCTACATACGGCAAGAGACGTCGGCGAGCCTGAGGTCGACCTACCATTTCGTTGCAGCGTACAGCGTGCTCAAATCATCGAGCTCAAAGGCCATGTCGGCCCAGGATGCCCGGCTCAGCTTCCAGCATTTCAAAGCGGTCTTGTCCAACATCCTTGACCAGAAGCTCTGCTATCTTGTCCAGCTGGGCGTCATCGAGTGGGCACATTTGATTACGACTTTGTTCCTCCTCGCCCGTCTGGAGAGCTCTGAAGTGGCCAGATCGGGTACGGCGGGTTCCTTCGGCCAATCACTGCTCGCACACCAGTATGTCGCTCGCTTCCGAGCCCTTGTGGATTGCTTGACGACGCAGGCCGAGGCAAGCACGGCCTTCCGGGCGCCGCATCTCCTGGGCTGGCTCGACAAGATATTAACGGCCGTCATGCAGCTGTCGAGCTCCGTGGAGGCATCTCATGTATCATCCAGCGATGAGAGTGACCACCACCACCAGGAATCAGCCTACGAGATCGTCAACTCTTTCATGGAGGACCGGGGCAATGTGCGACATCCAGCTCCAAGGGAACCAACTAATGTGAGAAAGCAGGTGCAGAGAAAAGACGAAGAAGACTTTTGGACCGACTTTATGTCGGACTGGCTGAATTGGTAGCACTCTCCCTTGGTATGAAGTTACAATGCATGGTGGAGATAATTGCCATTGTCACTCCCATGCGTACTCAATCAGGTTTCGATATCTCCTTTGCAACGCCTCTTTCTCTAGCTGGCTTTGTGGGACGTGGTAGGGAACAGCTGGTCTCTTGTTCTTGACTGTTGGCAAGACTCTGTTGAGAAGAGTGATTTGCTCCCCCAAATCTTGTTTCCAACAGAGGGTTTAGTTTCTGTTTGTTCGCACCTACAAGCGCACGAAGAGAGGGGAAACACTCACTGGGGATATCGGAATTCTGGTACAACATGGGTTGCAAGCTGCCACGCCTCTTGGCTGCCAAGGAGTATTTTAAAGAAGAGTGCAAGGTCGGTGTCGCGATTGTCAAAGTCAGCTTCGTTTGTCCTCACCACATTCAGGAGATCTTCGACCATAGCCTGAAAGCTCAAGGCGCTGGCGGCATCGTAGAGATGGTACTGGCCCGGCTGGACGCGCGTCAAGTCGAAGCTAGCCATTGCTGACCCAATCTTGTGTCAGGTAGGTTGATTGATTGATTAGAAAGGGAAGACCTATCTGGAGTGACGGCGAGGTGTTAAAATACCTGGTGACCGGTCGCTGCAATGCCAAGGGATATCCAACCCTGCCTAATCGGGCTACTCTAGCCAACGGGGTTGGCGTGAAAAGAGAAATGAGGTAAAAGTGAATTGAGATCGGCCAGATTCATGAGGTCTAGATGGCTACCCTACACACAGCTGCGTCGAGAAATCACGTTCCTCTACCGTACGATCGCAAGGAAATCCATCGCCGCTCATGAGGTGTCGAAGGCTGGAGGAGGCAACAGCACTGAAAGTGATACTAGCCTTGGGACCAAGATGGCCGGCGGCGATGCAAGAATTGACGTCGGGAGGGGGCTACAAACCATGTGTGAGGAAGCAGAGGCATAGCCTGAGACATGCACAAGAAAGCCCTGGAAGACTTCACCACTGCCGCTGACAAAGGCCACAAGTCCATCGCTCTGTACATCATTCGAGACGAGAACTGGGCCACATTGACAGCCGACGAAAAAGAGGAGATCATCAAGGTCTACTATATATGGTCGAAAACGAGGGAACACGGGCTGGGAACTCGACAAAGGAGCTCTCGAGACGCACCTGCAGGGGCAGCAGCAGCGTCGTTGACAGCGAGAGAATCTGGACATCAAGGAATTACACCAACCCAGCAGGCCCAGCAGTACCAGTAGCAGTGGGGCAATCAGGATTGCCAGGGAACAGCAGTGCAAGGGGAGTCGGACGAGGCAGACGCAGTGATCGTGGAATCCGATCAGCGCTGAAGTAATCAGGGCATTATGTGGCACCAGGAAGGCGGTAATCGCGGCATTGGTCTGTATAGACGGACACCGAGCGGAGTGTCTACTAGGTAGTAATCGATTGGCACCACTACACTCCTAGTTTAGCAGTGTTATCCATTGATGACCAGGCTGTTCCGCCAGGGTTCCTTCCTCATAGTCCTGCTGAGCGCAGAGAAGTGGTATGGTAGGTCCCCTTGGTTTTCTCAAAGCTAGGTTTATCCTTATACTCCGTAATTATCAGCTGTCACAAGCCGTCCTTGGCCAAGATAGATTGAGCTGGTTCTAATCCACGTTTAATTGATTACACACTCTCTGTGCTGTGTCGACTTGGTCGTTGATTAGAGTAATTATTCTCTATTCCTATGGCAACGCTCACCTTCTCCGTACCCTCCACAGAACAGTATTCGGTGACTGGTATTAAACGAGCTGTTAAACTGTGTCGCAGCTCCCTTCGCATTGCTCTCTTTTGCTTCCCGTACTGGCAAAATGAATTCAGTAAATGTCAGCGCCCCTCATCTAGCTTACAGGAAGATATCCTCGAGTCTCCAGAATTCACCTTGGGAGGCCATTGCAAGATGCTGCAAACGTTTACATATATCTCTCGGAATCAGTGTCTTGATGGACGAGAAAGAAGAGTCTTGCACATGGTGACCGGGAAATGGCAGCTGGATATCCTCGGACCTCAACATGGCTTTCACTCTCTTCGATCGCGCAAGTATCCAGTGAGCGCAACCAACATCTCTTCGGATATAAAGTGGATTTGAGTGGTGAGAATAGCCCCTGTCCGTATCTTGGCGTTTTGGTGGGAACCTGTTGGGCTGAGCTGTCAAAGAGCTGAAATGATGCTGAGAATCGTTATACAGGGGGCAAAGAAACGTGATGGATTTGCCGAGCGTCTCTGTTTCGAGTGGAGTTCATGTGACTCTGTGTCCTTGGGTAGAAATAGAGTGCAGTGAAGAAAACAGTGGGTCCCATGTACCGCAGTGTGAGGTGAGTTGAACAATGCTCTGGCTTACCACACTTTTCCTCCTCTTTTTGCCCGTTAAGACGTCGAAGAGTTGTATGTTATACTTTTTCTTATTACGAAGAGGATATACCAACAAATACGTAGTATCAGCAACAAGTTCAAAAACTCTTCTTACACGTGCCACATGGATACTACCTGGTCTCGCTAGTAGTTGTTTCTCGTGGGATGGCGAGATGGGTACACACCTACATAGCTAGCTAAATACCTAAGTAGCGTACTTCGTACCGGCCAAGCCGGGGTCCTGGAGTCCTTTGAAGTAACGAACCGCACCGCGCTCCCGCCTATGGCCACTACACGCAACGCCCCGCTCTTCGCCTTCAAGTCGCTTCTAACAAGATTTGTTATTATATTTAACTTGCTAGATTTTCAGTACAAAATCGCTCAGAGAATCTGGCCGCGTGGCCTAATGGTTAAGGCGTTGGTTTTCGGTCACGTGCACACCAAAGATTGGGAGTGAGTTCTGCGGAACTCCTGACTGTTCGCGCCTTGAATCGCCTAACAATTTATAGGTTCGAATCTTCCCGCGGTCGCTTCACTCGGAGCTTGTTGCTTTCTTTTTTTGTTTGTTGTTGCAAAATAGGAGTCGTGATGAGGAATTCTCTGCAACCCTTTTTTGCCGATTTCGGAAGAGTGAATGGGGCGAGGGCGGGGGAAGGCTTGGCCTAGGGCTGGTGGGCTCGCTAACGCCGTGGGATGAGGGCGGCATAGGGGTGCGTAGGGCTATGGGATCACTTACTACACACACAGGCTCCGACGATACCAGGGATCTGACAAGCTAAATACTCACAAAAGCCCGTACCCCGTACGTATATCACGGGGAGAAAGTGCATTTGCCCCTCAATGTGGGAAATCAAAAAATGACAACCTGTCCGAATGGGCCAGTTCAAGCTGACATTTCGCTCACCATGTTCTACGCACTCCCAGACTGCCAGAACTGCCACGAAGCCAAGACACCTTGCTCAATGGAACGAGTTGTTAGAGATTGAGAGTATTGAACTTGTGGATTGTCTATCTACAGAGGGCGAGGGAAGCTACCTGTATAGACAGAGGGAGAGGTGGTCATAAAAGGAAGAGGTTGAGCATGCCCCTGTCCTGATATTCTGACGTGGGTTTCGCACCCCCGCCGCTGTTGTGGGCTGCTGGGTATCGATTCATAGTTGGCCGTGTAGCCCTCCCTCTAGCTAGCTGTGAGCGCGCAAATGGAAGATGATGACGGCTTGTGCGAGGAAAGTGGAGAGTGTGGACTGGCGCATGGCTCGTTCATTCAACAGGTAAGAATTTATGGTCAATGCAGCTTCAACGCCCTGTCAATAGATTTCTAGCGTCGGCGGGAAGCTTCGGTTGCGCGAGACGGGAATGTAGCTTGCTCGATGCGTTGGAGCGCTTGCACGTTTTTGAATTTTTCTCTATCTTATGGTGTTAATGTGCCTGTATGGATTGCGGCTGCGCTGGAATCGACGTCGACTTGGTCGCTGCTGCTGCCTCGGCGGCAGCAAACTTGGCTGCTTCCTCGGCCTGGTCGGCGTGGATCTTTTTCAGCAGTTCAGGGTACTGTTCGCGGCCAAGTCAGTCTGAGATCGCCGAGTACGGAGTATTAGGTGCGGCAATCTTCAACTTACCCATCTCTCACCCACGTCCGGGTGGCTCTTAATCCTGTTCATCAGGGTCGCCTCGCCCAGCCGGCTCCACATGCCCTTGATAAATGTAAACTCGATGTCGTCCAGTCTCTGGCCGCCCCTCTTCGCCAGGATGTCCCGTCTTAATTGCTTCACCGAGTCCGGCACGTCCATGCTCTCGAACGTCGCGTCATAGCTGACGCCCTGGAAGAACGGGATACTGTACCTTGCACCAGACCCTCGAGGCGGACTCTGCACTCTGTGTGTCGTCGACTGACAGACGCCCTGAGTGAGTGCCTCCATCCCCTGTCCGATCGCAACTACAAATGTCCCGTCAATGGGCGGACAGTCTACCCATTTCCCTTCTGCATTCTGCACCTGCAGTCCACGGTGATGGCTCGCTTGCAAGAGGTAGCTCGTGAGCATACTGTCCTTATGGGGCCCCACGCCTTGCGCTTCCCCTTCCACGCCCAGCTCCTCCAAGTCGGGATACTTGACAATCTTTAATTTATGCTGCTGTGCCTCGTCGAAGAACTGCGCAAACGCGTCTGGCGGTAGACCGATGGCCTCGGCGATCAGGCCCGTGAATTCTATGCTCATATCGCCCATCCGCGACATATAGTCCTCGTACACCTCCCTGAACCGCGGCAGGGCGCTGGGATCGGGCCACTGGTTCGGCGCCAACAGGTTCCTGTACAACGGATCGTTTGGGCCCGGGATCGGATGCGGCGTCGACAAGTCAATCTGTTCGCGCCAATCCGTCTTGAAGCGTGTGATCTCCATGCCGAGCTTGTTGTAGCCGAGAAACGAGGGCGCGTTCTTCATTTCGATTTCGAGCTTCTTCTCTTCGGGGAGGTCAAAGAAGGATTTCCCCAGCGTAATGACCTCGTCGACCAGCGCCGGCGGGATGCCCGTGTTTTTGATGTACAGGAAACCAACCTCAAGCAGTGCATGGCGGAGATCAACGAGGAATTGCGCTTTCGTCGCCGGGTCTCGCGCGAGAGACAGATCCAGGATCGGGACGCTGGAGAACGACATTATGGATGTTGCGAATTGGTTTGAAGACGACGACAAGAAAACTCTTATTTCTTCTAAAGATCTAGCATTTCCACGGAAAGGAGCACAGAATCAAGAGCAGGTTGTGCCTCGGGAAATATATAATGGGTGCATAAATAATATCGGTGCATCGGATCACGCCATAAACTGGGCTCAGTTCCCACAATTGCGGGGAGCTCCAGATGGATGGGCTCATAGGCATCGGTAAAGACTCGCTCTAGGCTTCGTATTGCCACAGTCCGGATGGGCTCACCAGGCTTGTCTCGCGCCCTTCCATGAACCCTAGACCCAGTGCCGGTTCTGGGAAACTTGCAACTCCATGTTCGATTTGACACAGCGTATTTGACGACCCATCGATCCAATGGATGAACAAGGGCTCGATCAGGCCGTTCAGTCCACGTCCTCCGCCTGATCCTGGTTTCTGCTTTATCGGAAGATCAAGGCACTCACCAGGTAGGGGCCGCTTGCGGTTGGAGGTGCCGTGCTGGTAAGATGGGAAGGGGGCTGGAGCAGAGGCTTCATTGCTTATCAACATTCGATCAACTCAGCACAGCTTCGCTGATTCTGCTATACGCGATGCAATGGTTTGTCCTGTTGAAACAGATGCAAGTTAGTAGTCGGAGGAGAGGTGTCAATACGGGCAGACATTTGAACGACTTCCGCCCGCGGAATTCTGCTGAGCATTGACGATTATGCTCTGCCCACTCTATCAATGCCATCAGGTCATATCTGTGATGCCAGTGATGCCAGCACCACCGTTTCCATTGCAACAGGCGACGCTGACCTATAAGGGACCCGAAGAACCTGTGCTGAAATTATAACAATTTGTATTGTTACTGGGAAATACCTGACGAGGTCGCTTGAAGGTTCGTGATGATTACAACGAGTGGGAGACAGTGTCGGGTCTTCAATACCCTGTTGTCTGAGCGCGTGCAAGAATCAGGCATCGTGGTCAGGCACATTTCGCAAAAGGCATGTCAATAAAACATCCCGCGTAAGGAAAGAGCCATGCCCGGCTCGTCAGTGGTTTCAGTGATTTTGTGCGATAGTCATGTTTTGAAATTCCCTGCTGTCAGCATGTGTGCGTTGGACGGCTGTGCAAATCCTGCTGGCGCAGCATGACACTTCCACTGCTCGCCGCAAATGAACAAGGGTTCTCTGTCCTGCCGTTAAATTGTCGCAGAATTGATAGTAATGCTGTAGAAATGTGCATGATCTTTGGCCATTGAGCAGCCGTTCTGTACTGGTGGCGTGAGATATTCTTGAGATATTCTTGTCCACGGCCTTCTCAATCGCGGAGTCAACGCGGTAAACATTCTCTTTCCAACAACATTTTTCTAGTCACGGAGTGTAGCAGTGTCAAGTCTGAACGCCCGAGTGTCTCTCCGTTTCACCGAGGTCTCTGGGCAGTGGAATGGACCAGCGTCGTATCTGCAACTCTTCAGCTCTAGCTATACTCATGCTTACGGTCGGGGAGAATTTTAAGACTCCGAAGGACATGTGAGGTGCCTACGAGGTATCTGGCGTTGCAAATAGGCGAGCACTGGCCAGGTCTTGGGCATTGGCAGCGGACTAGTGAGCGAGGATCGTACCGAAAATTAAGCGTGCCACCGCCCAAGCATAAGCAGCAAAAGTACACGATGAGAGTGAGAAAAGGATAATGATGAGATGGTTGGGATGGTGCTGGGCGCAGGAGATTCCTCGATTCCCTGTGATCGGACTTCTCAGATTCTGGGGTTTTTGGGGTCCCGCGGCTTCGGGGAAACATCGTCATTTGCATCTTGATCCATTGAGACGCACCTTTGATGCACCTCGGACGCACCTCATCTCAGCGTTGTTCTCGACTCCTCCCACAACTTCTCCGCGATTCATACCGGCGGTCAATTTCGTGTCGCTACCCTCTCCTTGACAGCGAGCTTGATACAGTCTTTATATCTATCAGATACCCTCGAAGATGCGTTAAACACCGGCACCAGACGTCTCTTGATTATTTCGCCTGCAACTCACGATGAAGTCCATCGCTCGACTCGGTCGCCCAGTGGGCTCCCTCCTGCGATGCGCCGAGCGCGAAAGTCACTGTCGGTTCGCCCCTTGGGCCACGAGGTCATTCCACAGGTCGCCGGCAAAGCTCGAAGATAAAGGCAAAGATCCCAAAGAAAACTTGTCTTTCCGAGGACAGCTGTACCAGAGCACCGCAGACAGGCTGAAGCGCGAAAGAGCTTCGGAGGAACAATATATAAGAGCTACAGGCGCCCGCGGGGGAGGCGCGGGGGGAAGAACGCTCAGTCTCAGTTTTGGTACGCACATCAGCCCTTGCGCATCTCTTCTCTGCTAACAGCACAAGTGATTCTGTCCGTCGCAGCCGCTGCCTTCTACCTTGGAAAGAGGGGAGAACGACCTTTGGATGTCTCATCCACGACTCCTTTGTCTCGAGCACAGCCGCCCCAACATGATACTAGAGCCTCTAATCTGCAAGCCGCTTGGGTTGACTTTGCGCAAATCGTGGGGAAGGATAACGTCTCGACTGTTCCCGGCGATCTCGAAGCGCATTCCGGTTCTGAATGGTCCTCCTACACCACCAAACCTGATGAAAGACCTTTTGCCATTGTATACCCTGCAACAACCGAAGAGGTCTCCAAGATCATGAAGGTGTGCCACGAACGGAGGATCCCCGTGACCGCACTCTCAGGCGGCACCAGTCTTGAAGGTCACTTTGCGCCTACACGAGGAGGCATATGCATCGACATGGCAAGAATGGATAAGATATTGGAATTCAGACCCCAAGATCTTGATATTGTTGTACAGCCTGCTCTCGGCTGGGAAGAGCTCAACGAGGAACTAAAAGGACATGGCATGTTTTTCCCACCAGATCCGGGTCCAGGAGCAAAAATAGGGGGCATGGTTGGGACAGGTTGTTCGGGAACAAACGCGTACAGATACGGTACCATGCGGGATTGGGTCGTCTCTCTGACGGTCGTTCTCGCCGACGGCACCATCATCAAGACAAGAAGGAGACCTCGAAAATCAAGTGCTGGCTACAACTTGACACAGATGTTCATCGGCAGCGAAGGTACTCTGGGTATTGTCACAGAAGCCACGTTGAAGATCACGGTTCTCCCTAAAAGCCAGTCGGTCGCCGTTGCTACATTTCCCACCATTCATGCAGCAGCCGAGTGTGTCGCGAGAGTTGTTGGCGAAGGCATTCAGCTTGCGGGAATGGAGATCTTGGACGATGTGCAAATGCGCTGCATCAACAAAAGCGGAATGACCAGCAGGCCGTGGCAGGAGGCTCCTACCCTATTCTTCAAGTTTGCCGGGACAAATGAAGGCGTCAAGGAACAGATCAAGATCATCCGGAACATCGCCAAAGCGACCCACAACAAGAGCTTCGAGTTCGCCAAAAACGAGGATGAGGCCGCTGAACTCTGGAGTGCTCGGAAAGAGGCCCTTTGGAGTGTCATGGCTATGCGGAAAAACAGCACTGACCATGTTTGGACTACCGATGTGGTAAGTAGTTCCATCTCAACACCCTGCGTCGAGACTGACCCAAAACAGGCCGTCCCTATCAGCAGACTGGCAGACATAATTCAAGAAACCCACGATGATGTGGCCAGCAGCGGTTTGATCGGTGGTATCTGCGGGCATGTGGGAGACGGAAATTTTCACAGTAGGAAAATTGCGCCGCACCGTTCGCTTCTAGGGCTGACCATTTCTAGCCATCCTACTCTACAATGACACCGAAAAGAAGATCGCTGAAGAGTTGGTTCATCGAATGATACGTCGTGCCATCGCCATGGAAGGCACAGTCACTGGCGAGCACGGCGTGGGGTTGAAGAAGCGCGAGTATCTCCGCGAAGAGCTCGGCGATGAAACTGTCGATGCAATGCGCAAGGTTTGTCCGAGCCATTTGAATCCATCGGAGTTGTCGAGACTGATCTCTGCACGCAGCTGAAGCAAGCATACGACCCGTTGGGACTTCTCAACTGCGACAAGATTGTCCAGATTGAAGCAGGCCACTGAGGCTCTGTCCCGGAATATCATATACCGAACTTCGTCGCCTTTGATGCCAACCTCCTCCAAACTCGGATAGCGCTGTCCCGATGCCGGTTCGTCGTGGTGGTGCTGCAACACTCCAAGACCAATGCCCCGCACCGCCTCCAGCTGTTGAGTGCGCCCTCTTTAGGCTAAATTTCTCAATGCTCTGGCTTCGTGTTTCCCCTCCGGATGTCTGTATGGTTCAATGGGCTCTCATTACTTACAGTGGAAAGCGGTCCGCAGGATGAACAACCGCCACCTTCATAGCTGATTTCCACAGCAACAAATTCAGATTCTCCACCTGTCAATCTCTATATATACTCTCAGACCCCGCATTTGCTTCGACTTGATCGCGTCTCCTGTTCATTCCTCACTCCCTCTTAGACCATGGCCACGGGAACGCAAACGAAGGTAGGTCACTGCTGATGTATCTCTGGGATGGAGTATTGACGACGCACAGGAGAACAACTCCTTCGTCCTCCGCGGGATCAAAGACGTATTCTTTGAAGATCGACCCATACCCAAGCTTACAGGACCTCGGGATGTCCTCCTTCAAGTCAATTACACTGGAATCTGCGGTTCGGATGTTCACTACTGGCAACATGGTAGAATAGGACACTTCGTGGTCAAGGAGCCTATGGTCCTTGGCCATGAGTCCGCAGGGACCGTGCTAGAAGTAGGATCCGGTGTCAAGAGCCTGAAGAAGGGAGACCGCGTCGCGATGGAGCCAGGCATTCCATGCCGGCACTGCGTGCGGTGTAAGGAAGGGAAATACAATCTGTGTCCCGACATGGCATTTGCAGCGACTCCGCCGTACGATGGTACGTTGGCAAAATACTATGTCCTTCCAGAGGACTTCTGCTACAAGCTGCCCGACAATATGACACTGGAAGAGGGCGCTTTGATGGAGCCCCTTGCTGTGGGAGTACATATCACCAAACAATCGGGACTCAGGCAGGGTGACACAGTGGTTGTTTTTGGGGCTGGGCCTGTAGGACTTCTCTGTTGCGCTGTTGCTAAAGCTTTGGGTGCAAGCAAGGTTGTCGCGGTGGACATTAACACCGAACGACTCGAGTTCGCCAAATCCTTTGCAGCAACATCAACATTCGTGCCCTCCAAAGTCTCAGCGGCGGAAAATGCGCAGAGGCTGAAGGACGAAAATGACCTCCCAGCAGGAGCAGATGTTGCTATTGACGCCAGTGGAGCAGAACCCAGCGTTCAAACGGCCATTCATGTCCTCCGCATGGGCGGCAGTTATGTGCAAGGTGGGATGGGTCGAGACGAAATTACTTTCCCGATCATGGCTGCGTGCACCAAAGAACTCACGGTCAAGGGCAGCTTCCGATACGGCCCCGGCGATTATGCAATGGCCGTGGACCTGGCTGGCAGTGGCAAGATCGATGTGAAGCGGTTGATTAGCAGGAAAGTCAATTTCGACGATGCAGAGCAGGCCTTTGAGGATGTGAAGGCTGGAAAAGCCATCAAAGTGCTGATCGAGGGGCCAAAGTAGCGGATTTGAAGCAGGTGATGTGCTGTATCAAAACCATTCTTCAATTCGGTCTGCGAATCTGGGATGTTTGTGACTGCATGTCGTGGTGCATTCCCGTTCATCCTGTTCACGTCACGTCACGACACGTCTCTGTTTCTTTTCTCTTCTTGAAACCATTTGCACAAATGCTGATTGTGCGCCAGTTGTCGGCACCCGCGGTGCATTCCCAGCTCGATCTTCCCAGGCCTTGAAGCAGGGCCTTTGAATTATCGGAGACTTCACTTTCTACCAGGCGTGCTACCGCGGATGCTGGAGGACTGTTCGATGTTTCGTGTCGAGACACCCAAATGTGCTTTCACGGGATTTCCTCTCTTTCATTCAATGTCCAGTCTCGCGAAAATGAAGGTTCACGACATTTTTCCGGGCATAAGTATCCCCCTTCTCTCTTGCTCTTTTGCCTTTCTGTTTGCTCCTTCATTGTGCACATAAATACAATTTTGTTGGGTCTATCCTTCCAGAAAAATTCTCTTCATCACCTGCACCTTTTGGATGCATCAAAAGCCTGGAATCCATCCACCGTCATCGCGTCCCCCAGAGGATAGACCACGCAATTCGGATGGCCACTGGGAGATTCGAGAGTGTCACTACGCTCATGCAATCTCTTCCACAACCTCATTTCTGTCATCAGCTCTCCCATTTTCCAAGCTGAATCCCGAGACACCACCAAGTTGTAAGGCACAAAGTGATGATTACATCAATTTTGGTCTAACGATCGGCCTTTTACACGGCGTGCCCTGGAAAACCGAAGTCAGCCATATTTTAGAGATGGTGAACGCATTGTGCATGCTTGTGCCCTGTCCGCATCGTTTGTGGGCTATTGCGAAGAAATACAAGGTCCGCCTTCACATCCTCGATTCTGAACGACAGGCAGAGAATAACCTGCTCAACCTGAACTACGACCTCGACCAAGAAAACCCCTCTGGCTGAGTACAAACACAAGCAGTCTTCGCCAAAAGTCCGTACCGAGATCGAGGATTTGGAGACAAGTGATTGTCCTCAACAACGAACAAAAGCAACCAATCTGCATGCACACAGGACAATATGAACAACCTCGCAAGTCAGAACAACCATATCAGCCAATGTGACAATGTGGCAGAGCGGAAGACAACCTCAAGCTATATCCCTCGCCGAGACAGCCGGCCTTCGAGAAGGATGACGTGTTTAGTCAACACGGTCGGGTCGTCCAAAAGATGCCCGGACGAGTTTGCCGCAGATCTGCTGGTGTAGAGCGGCTCCGACCCCACAGGCTATACCGGACCTAGATATTATGTGGCAGCGATTCATTTCTTGAGAATGCAAAAGCAGCTCCCGGAAATCGGCCAGAGAAATCCTCGCGAGTTTCCTTACCCCTTCGAACGAGGACTCCGTTGCCCCAATGCTCCATGTTATGATGAGGCCACTCTGCAGCACGGTCTGCCTTCCTACCCAGCCTGGCTGAAGTGGCGCTGAAGAAGCATGACCTGAGAAAGATCCGCAGCATCACTCAGGAACTGGAGCAGAGGAGCAAGAACAATGAGACAGATGAGGACGAAGTAGACGTAGCCGAAAACGACGACGAGACCGTCTACCCGTCTCTCTTTGCCGGACTGTTCCACCGCGTCACCTGTGACGAGGGCCACAAACTGAATTATTATCGAACCACGAACTCCATCGCCGTCGACGAACTCTACACCCCTAAGAAGTGGATTGTACCTGCCAACCCCATGGTCAATCGAATTCCTAATCTCTTGGGCTACCTTTACCGCTTTTTGGGATCCAAAGTGGACCTCCGACGTTGACCAACTCGACGGGTATATGTTTCCCAGTGTCCCTGAGAAGATCTATAGCTCTACGGTTATGGCAGACGTCATGTCAAACTGTGACCAGTACGGTCCCTTCGTTGCTGGATTCCGCGCAAGACCCAGAGACATTAGGCGCGTAGTCGAGCAGCAAAGAAAGACATTGCTTTTTCGACTCAAGTTCGGGATTTACTCGACTCCGTGCCTCTGTCCCAGCCATTGTGGTCCAGAACTGGATGCTAGAATCGGCCACTCCAACCTGGAACAGGATGCTACAGTTCTCGTCGACTGAATGAGCACACACTTGCCAGAGGTACATCCCCCCTTGCCTCCTTTCATCGTCTCATTCCAACTTAAGCTGGAACGCCTTATCCCCCCCTCTCACTAACTCTTCTCCAGTGGACCAGACGCCTGATCGGCTCGATGCTTAACGCGCACTGCAGCGTCTTCGGTCAATATGTGTACTAGGGAAGTGAGGGGGACCTGGAGATGTTGTACGCATGTTTCGACTGGCAGCTACGGCCCACTCGCATTCCCACTCTCAACGCGCTGCGTTCCAAACACAATTCGGACTCATTTTACCACACCAGCTCTCGAGACCGACCGAGAGTCTGGTCCGTATGCCAAGATATAGTCATACCTCTCATAGTCGACGAACCTGGACGGATCGCGAGCAAAATTGCCTGGCTCTCTTCGCTCAACACCATCGGACTACCATGAAATGTCTCGCCGGTGTCACCCAGCATCCTCGACAAGCATCTCTCGACAAGCATCTCTCGACAAGCATCTCTCGACAAGCATCTCTCGACAAGCGTCAAAGATAAGCAGACTCGAACTTTTTTTTTTTTTTCAAAGCAGTACGCCCGTTCTTTCATGGACCGCATAATATGGGCTGGTGCTCTGTATGCCTTCCTAGATGAACAAAATCGTATGGCGCCCGATATCTCTAAAGTGGTTAGCAATTTCGGTGACAGGGTAAGTTCATAAACATTGATTGCATTCTTCTTGATCACAGATCTCAACAGGCGGCACTTTGTCAATGGAATGGATTGTGTATCGATCTATCTACCCCCACCTTTGGATTTCTCACCTCTCGCACACAACTTCGCGACTTTTGACACTCTCAGTGCTATCCAAGTAGGAGGAGTGGCTCTTTGCTAATCCTAGCACAAGGAAATATAACCAAGCGACTTTCTCAGTAGATACTTCGAAACAGAGAAAGCATAGAGTGTTCAAAACTCGCATCACCCTTAACTCGCGGGTCGAATCGACACTCTCGATACGAAACGAACGATCAGCGCGGAACTCGATTACCGTAACGGGGTTCAGCATGAGGGATTTCTCTCAAGTTGGCTAATAGTCTGAACGTCCTCCAGGAAGAGGTACCTGCCCAGCTACCTCTGTATACAAACAACTAGCAATGCTCTGAGATAGGACACAGACAGACGGACGACCACATCAAATTGTTGAGACGTAGCCACTTCAGCGAGAGAGTTTCCTCAGATTCATCCTGATTTGTACCCATTTTGAAACCCTGTGGATTTCGTTCTTCTTCGGGCAGCTCTTGTTTCTCGTCTTCAATGTATGATGGCCCGCAGTTCCTTGAATCCTGATTTGACATCTCGAACCGGTCAAAGCCTTTGCAGGATAGCGAAGGAAGAAGGTCAGTTGAAGGTTCTGAGGCGAGAGGCGGGGGATTTAGTGCCGGTTGCACCCGATCCACTTCTGCGCGACTCAGCTTTAATTTTACCCCTTTCTTCCCTTACAGGAACAACCACAATCGACCAGCAAAATCATGTCCACACTCTAAGTGCTGCCTCACTTATGACGGCCGACGGGATTAGGATGGCGACTTGAGTATCCTTCTCCAATGGCAGCCTACTAGCACAGGACAGGACGTGTCGTTGGCCCTCGGGAGCGGCCTCATACCGCAATATGCAACCGGCGGCTCTGTCGCTTCTTTTTCCCCCTTCAGGCAGTGTGGCTGCACTATTTAGCTACCTAGGCCTATTGAATGAGACTCATTTCAAGCCAACTTCTTGGCTAAGTGGTTCGACATGCATTCCACTTTTCAGCTGAGCGATGGCCGACGGATTCGGCACCACAGTCCTTGGCAGGAGAAGGTCTTCTGCCATCAAGCTCAATGCTCTAAAGGCCGGTTTACTTGTTAGAGAGCATCTGGAGCAGCATGGAGTGACATCAGAAGGTCTGATGTCCCCTCTCCGGTGCGCTCGAAGAGCCGTGTTGGTGCAGATACCAAATCTCCTGCAACCAACACGATATTGGCACTCCTCAGACCACCGGAATCAGGGAATCAGGTCCTTGCGTCCAACAATGTCTGTGACACGCAACTTGTACCTCGCCACCATGCAGGACTGGCATGCTGTGATGTGAGTTTTGCGTGGTTGTGATCTCGCCATTTTTGGGACTTTCTGGAGATACCAAGTACACTGGCCAATCTGCTGTCGGAGTCCCGAGGCGTGAACATAATTTCTTACCATGCAACCACTCTGCCCTGAAGTTGACGCCGTACTCACACGTGCAACGGATCGGAACTGGAATCGATCATTTTGCTATCTGTTCTCTGATTTAACGTGGCTTCTGTGTGGAATATCAAAGATCATCAATGATCTAAATGCTGACGAGAAAAAAAGTCCTACAATGGGTCAGAAGTTATATTGTTCCCCATACGAGAGACGGCAATGGAACTCCCTGGACTAGGGTAAGTCTTTCGAAGGTCCTGGCAAACGGTTACGGTCCCAGCGTATCGACTGCCGCCTAGGCTGTCGCGGTGGTAACAGTACACCATCCGAGTTACAGGGGATCTGGCACCTTATTACGGTACAGGAGCTATTGCACGCCAATATTAGCTATATGCCAGCAAGTACCAAGACCTAAAAACGAAGGCCATACTACCCCAGGATCTCCACCAAGAGGACCGAACAGAGAAAAACCGAGGTCCTAATTAGGTGCTCGAGCCATCGTAAGGAAGGTGCGTGGAGCGAGAGCCACTCGCAAATCCCGATCCCTCCCCGGACGATGCGCCGTCTACTCTGCGACGAGGTATTCTAGATTCTGCGCGACACATTATTAAAGCCGGTCCTTTGAGTGAGTTATCGTTCCAAAGTCTACAATTGATATTGTCAGGATTTGGGCTTCTGGTGACAGATAAATGGTAACCTGGCGTGAAAGTAGATAGAAGCGCCCTGGATTTGGCAAACACAATTAGAAGTTCCGACAAACAACGTCACCCCAGCAGTCCCCAGACCGCAGAAAAGACAGAGCGAACGTATCGGCGAAGACGGTATCTCACTATACTTAAATTACTGTCACTGACCGACTTAGCATATGAGATCAGTCTGTACCGACGGCGTTGGACTTGGTCCAGATCTCGTGACACGGGTTCTGCTGCCAGTGATTCTCTCAAGCTAGGGCTAATTCCATCGTGCTAGATAGAGGCACAAGACACTTCACATGTTTCCTATTCCGACCCAGCTTCGCTTGTACTTGTTTTCAGAATTTCTGTATATGGTTTCCAGGTCAGGCCACACTGATTCCTGGGCTCATTTGGCGAATACGGGAGGTGCCCGTGGTCTGATCCACCCACTATCTCTCTATGGTATGACCACTCCTCGTTCCCATCATAATTGTATTTCAGCTCATGTTCCTCTGTGTTTACCATGAATTTGGGCAAAGCTGCAAAGGCAGGCACTATTTTCTTCTTCGTCGACAGCAAATACTATTAGGACTTTGGACTATGGCAGAGCTGAGTCTCAAAGTCATTGGAAAATTAGCCACCACAATCACCAACATCGAGAATGTCCAAGCACTGCTTAGGCATCATGACTGCACTGATCGGGAGGTTGAGCCCCTGCACTGGCAAATGCAGGCGCTCCTTGATATGGTTGAGCAATGGCGCAGCGATGCTCGTAGCCATCCCGAGAGAGCCTCTGCGACATCAATTAACATGTTCCAAAAGCTCTTAGGAGATGCTACTAGCTTGAAAGAGGAGATTTCTGACCTTCTCGACCGCATGAACGTACAGTCATTCTGGGATGAGCACCTGTGGCCACTCTGTGGGAAACCAACAATCGACAAAATGAGCATCGAATGTGTCGAAATCATGAAGGAGTTATCTCAAGGCGCAGCTACCATGCCTGCGGTCATAATCAACACGCCAACACCCTCAGTGCCTACAAGTCTTCCGAGTGTTGCACCAGTACCCAAAGAAAGTACCGAACCAGCAGAAAAGACCCCCGGCTTAGGTCTCGGCTTAAATGCTACTACCGGGAAAGCTCTAACTTCCCCTATTGTACACAGTGCCGACCAGACCAACTCAGAAGAGAACTCGCATCGTGTACGCCAGCATGAACTTCAGGTCGCTACTCATCGGGCACAAATATACCGCAACACGCTCAGCAAACATCAGTGCAAGGATGTAGATTCGAAACTGCAAAACACGCCGCCATGGGACCGCACCAAAATTCTATCCTTGCTGGATCAAGGTGCAGATCCTGACGCCCGTCCGGACTCTAAGTCTAGTACTGCTCTCTACAACGCTGCCTCCTGTGGCGAGATCGAGACGGTAAAGCTTCTTTTGGACCGAGGAGCCCAGGTTGACGTCAAAGGAGGGAAGCACAATACTGCTTTCACCGGAGCCCTCATGGCCAACCAGATGGAGACAGCCGTGCTGCTTCTGGAGCGTGGTGCAGACATTAATCACAAGCACGGCATAGGCGATTCGACACCGCTGGGACACGTATTGCTACATGGAGATGGCAAGCCGCATAAAGGTCTCGTTGCCTTCTTGCTTGAACATGGAGCCGACGCGGACAAGAGTATTGGGGCAGGATTGTCGCCTGTTGCCTTCATCCGCGGCAGGGTGTGCAGCCATTCGAGCCCGAAGCATGGATGCAAAAAGTGTGCCGACAAGGAAGAATGGCTGGAGATTACTGAGATGCTAACTGCCTACGGCGGCCAAAACTCGATCACCAAGGGCTTCTCCAAGGTCATCGACTTCTTCGCGGATCCGAGTATTGATTCGGACCCCGAGGTCGCCGCTGCTGGAGGACGGCTGAAGAAGGCAAAAGCAGCGAAAAGGAGGAGAGAGGAGGACCGGATGAGGTTGGCGCGGGCAGAGTACGGGGATAACTACCAGCTTATGGAGCAGGCAGCTCGTCGGCAGGCACAGGGCACCCCCGCTGGCGGCGAAGAGTCCGATCCAGAGGTAGCGGAGGCTGAAGAGGCGCTGGCGAGAGCGAAGGTACACAAGAGGGAGCAGAAGAGATTTGCGAAACAAATCGGGAAAGCCGTGTTGCCTCCTTGGTGGTACTGAAATGAAATGTCGACAATCCTCCTATCGATCACCAGCGATCCCGAGTCACGACAGCCGTTGTTGACGTTTTACTGCCTTTTCTGACCAAGGCTCGCTAGCGATGTCGCTATTTAGGAAGAGATGACGGGATTTAGGAAAACCATACAAGAATCAGGCTATTGTAACAAGGCAAAGTGGCGGTGCTGTGATGGGCTGTGCTGAGCTGGTAGAGCGGTGGCAGGGAGGAAAAGTTGTCTCGTCCCATGTCAAACCAAAATTGGCTGGCAGAAAGGGGGTGCGGAACAGTTTACAGTGCTGGCAGTGTGCCATTCATTACAGTTTAGAACAGAGAGTATCATGAATTCAATGGTTTTGATGCCGTCAGTCTATTCTTGAGTGTTTTATCAGTCCTGTCCTGTTCCTCGATGCTGCCGCTGTGCTAGGTGTTCGTAGCCCTAGCGGCTGCCCCTCTGGGTGGTGTTGGTGGTGTCTTGTCAGTATCAACCAGAAACGCGTTCTCGATTCCCGATCTGCTGGACAGGCCTCTGTGCGTTGTTGCACGTGCACGCCGAACCCTGAAGTGCTCTGTTACACTATTTGTAGACAAGCCGATAGGGACGTTCTTACGGAGAGTATGGACAGACAGAATAATCTATTGTAGTTGCGACTGTAATTGTTGAGACTTACCGGGTTCAACAGAAGCGCTGAGACGACGTTGCATAAAGCGAATGGGCACTCAATCTTCCTCAGAGGCAAACAACATTATGGGATTAAGATAGATCTGAATATGGGCACACATTTCAACACGCTGTCGACAATCGTACGAGAAACACAACCCCTTGAATTGATAGCCTCGTCACGTGGCCACTTAGCACCGGGGAGTAGGATCGCCATGAGGATCCATGCGGTACGGCTTTCCCAAATATTTCGGGAGGCTTAGATTGCATTCCCGGTACGGATCGCAACAAGGGATAAGGGAAATATGGAGAGACTCAACCAGCTGCCTATCGAGGTCATGTTGCGACAGGTGCCCTAGAGTTTCGCACATTCCAGGGATAATTCGTCGACTTCTCATATCAACAGGCTAGCCAGACAATCAGTCAATCAATGAATCCGAATCAGCCCTGCCAAACTAGACTGTCCAGCAATATCCCTTACGTCTTCCTCGCAAGTGTTTTAACTGACTGTCCCCGCTGAGATAAGAGCCCAGTACCATCATCGCAGTCACTGGAGTGAACGCCAACGGGCTTATCTCGTCGCAAATCTGAGACTTTGAATAATACGGTCTTCTTATTTCTTTTCCTGGGGTATACCTGCAGCATGATGCTGGCCGTACTACCTGTGAAGCACGAAGATGCAACTCAGTGTGTTGCCCTTCGCCTTGCGAGCCTTGGGAGTCTCGTCATCGGCAGGTTACCCGCATACCCAGGATACATTCAAGATCAAGAAGCCTCGCTGCACAAGGACCTCGACAGCAGTCTCCACGTGCATCACTTGAAAGTGGTGGACGCTCAGAGTCAAGGAGGGGAAATCGTGGCGTACGCAAAGTGGGAGGTCTACGCCGATGGGCGTCCCGACCTCGCGCAGCTGCGCCAGCCCATGAAGCAGTCGGAGATGGAGGTGGATCGGTTTGGCCGGCTGCGGAGAGCTGCGTATTGGTATTTCTCTCGCTGCAATGGTGAGACGGGCAAGCGTCCGCACATACGTAAGTCGACGACTTTGAGATCAAAACATATCCAACCGTGACGAAGGAGGCGAAAGGAGATTCACCAACAGGAGACATAGATACACATCTGACGTTTTGGACTCGCAGTCTTAGCCCTACTCGCCACGGCCAGCCAGCACAGGAGACGAGGCGCAGGAGGCCTCCTGGTGAGATGGGGAATCGACTTGTCCGAGACGACGCGTCTACCATGCTATCTCCAGGCCTCTGAACAGGGTCGACGATTATACGGCCACTACGGATTCAGAGAGATTGATACGGTCGAGTTCAACCTTTCGGAATATGGCTTAGGTGAGGGCGTTGAAAGGATGACGGAGATGGTCAGGATTCCTGCTGCCGTCGACGGATTACATTCGCCGATTCAGAGAATCTAGATATGCCATAGTGTATAATGCTTTCATCACCCGGCTGCCTTGATTTGGAACAACCCATCTCGAGCTCGTCAAGCTAGTCTTTATCGTGGGTAATACATACGTGCCACTCCGCTAAGTCAGTCTTTGCCCAGTGATATTCCATTCTACCTTGCTGATGCCATTGTTTCCCATGAGCCACAAAGTGGTGAGGTTCTCCCCCGTCCAAGCGAAATTCTGAACCGTATAGTTGGTCTGGATGCGGATGAGGAGCTGCCCGACATCGTCCAGGACATCAACACCGTGACCCGAGCCCGTGAGCACAAGGCCTTCTTGTGACACTTTTAATCCGTCTGGAACCCAATCCTGCGCAAGGTAAAAGGCGCGCTTGTTTGAAATTTTGGTGCCATTATTCGACACGTCCCAAGCATAGATGGCCCGTTTGCCCGTGGTATTGAAGGTAGTACCCTGGCTGCCGAGTCGAGGATCAATAGTCCCCGTCACGGCGCCTGTATCTGAGATGTACAGAGTTGAACCGTCTGGGGAGAATGCGATGCCGTTGGGCTGCTCCAGGGTATCCTCTATTAGGAACGTAGCTCCTGTACTAGGATTAAAGCGGTAACTTGCAGTCGGGAGTTGTGGGGCAGTATCTGTCAAGGCATTGAACCAACTGTAATCGGGGTCGGTAAAGAAGATGTCCTTCGACGTAGGGTGAACAGCCAAGTCGTCTATCGTGTTGAAGTAGAATCCGAAGTAGTTGTTTAAGAGCACAGTGGAACGATTCGTGGCAGGATCCACGGTTCGAATCGAGGCTCTCTGTTCCCCTCCACCAATGCTATTGTTGCCTCCACTGGCGCCAAAAACAATAAGACCATCGCGGAAAGTGCCGCCGTTCGGTGCATAGATAGGTGGATTTGGTTCGTAGTTGCTCAGGGTTGGAGGATCATCATTCAAGTTCACAACGAGCTGAGGTAGAACACCGGCAGGGGGTGCCAGCTGGGAGAGGAACAATAGATTCTGCTCTGGAGCATAGACAGGAGCTTCATGGACGGCTTTTGAGACTGTGAACATGAACTCGTAACTCGGGTTTGGTCCTAGATACTGCATGCCACGCTGTCGGTCGAAGACAACAAAATTTGCGCCGTCGAGCAGATCAAACGTCGAGGCATTTCCCACGCTTGTGTTTCTGAAATCGTAATCGGCATTGTTGTCGGAGATGGACCGGTTAAAGTGATAAGGCAACACAGCACCCTGATTTCCATGAGTTGCGGCTTCTTGAGAAGAATAGAAGAAAACTGACATATTTATTCACACACACAACAGCTCCGTTAAAACCACAATCCTGGACGATTGGCCTCGTCACGCCGGATGGTTGAATTTGGCCCAGGGCCACAGCGGCCAATGATAGTGACAGGAAGCTTTTGATTGCGTTCATTGTGAAGCATTTGTTTGGGGGGGGCGTAAGAAGAGTCACAGAGCTTTTCGTAAGAGTCGGCAATGGGTGTAGATTTTGTATTTATCTCGTACCCTGCGGGGGGGTACTCCAACTTCCCATCGTCAACCAAGTGAAAACTGATGCGGAGAACAAACAGTCGCGCGAGCGTCATAGTCCGCTTTTCAGAGTCCTCATAGCATCATACCCAGGAACGGTCTGAGAAACTTACACACCCCCGCAATCCGTTCCTGGTTTTGTGGGAGAAAGGCGTGAAAGAGTGTGGCGGATCTGCATTGCATACCCGCTAGGGAGTGCCTAAACGGCAACCGGCTTAGTTAGACAATGGGGGAGTGGTGGCACTTTGCGGGGAAGCCTGGGAGAAAAGTCACCGGGAAAACAACTGCCGCCCGGCGCAGTCGCTCAGAGCCATGGGGGTTAACAGCATTCCACCACGTCTGTAAGAGACCGGCAGCCTCCGTGTCGAATCAAGTTTAGAAGCCAAATGAACCTTCGTCAATGTCGGGCTTTCAAGCCGGTGGCATCTTCAATGCCGACGTTTGAGGTTGGGGTAGAGTTGAGATATTCTCCAACAATATTGGCTATGACCTTAGCCTTTGCTTGTGCCCTTGCAACCCGGTCATCAAATTCGGTCACCGCCTCGTCTGAATTGGCTTTTGCAACAGTTGCGCCGTCGGAAGAATGGTACAGACCTTCAACGTGCCGTCGGAAGCGGGTGTTGTCCGACAGTTGCGAAAGACTCTGGATGATGTCTCCCAGCCCTGAAGGATGAGCAGCCGAAGACTCTGATGCTTCCTCAGAACCCCCTTTCTTCCCGAGGCCTGATCGTTCTCGCCATACCAGGGCACGTCCATGTAGTCTGCCGAGTTCGATTGCTTTTTCGTACCCCTTCTCAATTCCGAACACTTTGCCCTCAACCATGCCGGCATAAGCGCCGTCAGCTACACCAGCATCATGACCTTCTTTGTAGTAGTCATTCTCGAGTTCAAGAAGCTGATCAAGCGGATCCGTAGCCATACAGCAAAATGTGTCTCCAAGCCGGATGAGTCGATGGTGCCAAGCAAGACAGAGTGTAGAGAAGCTGCTTAATGGATTGTCGTTTGTGAGAATTTCAAGAAGATACTAGAATGAACTCGCTGCAGCATCTAAAGAAATCGCGTGACTGAGAGGCAAGTGGAAGGAGGGAGATGAGGGGGGAAGGAATATTGAAAGCACACCATGAGGCTTAAAAATAAGCATCAGTCTTAGCGCCTCGGCATTCGCCTGCGCTGCGGCGGCGGGGAGATTTTGTGACTCCTCCATTCCCTCAGATTCCAGACCAGTGTGTCATATTTGTATGCGACCACCACGTGCGGCAGCTCTTGGTTGACTCGACGCAGAGACGATCACCTTTCGATAAGTTGACGTTGCGTCGATTCTGCGAAGTCCTTCAACAACACCTGCGCCGACCCTGCTGCCCGCGATTAAAGCCCACTTGGCCCACCATGGGCACCGAGAAGATCCTCCCTCAAGAGGGCCTGAGAAACATCCTCATAACTTCTGCATTGCCCTACGTCAACAATGTAAGTCTAATCAGGTAATATGCGCAAAATACTGGCTAATCTTTTCGGCTAGGTGCCTCATCTAGGCAACATCGTCGGTAGCGTGCTCAGTGCCGATGTCTTCGCCAGGTACAACAAAGCGCGCGGACGACCAACGCTTTTCGTCTGCGGCACTGACGAGTACGGAACCGCCACGGAGACAAAGGCTCTTGAGGAGGGAGTCACCCCAGAAGAGCTATGCGCAAAATACAATAAAATCCATACAGAAATCTACGAATGGTTCGAGCTGGGCTTCGACATCTTTGGCCGAACTCCTACCAAACAGCACACAGAGATCTCTCAAGATATCTTTTTAAAACTCCACGCAGCAGGCCATCTGACTGAACATGTCAACAGTCAGCCTTTTTGCGAAAAGCATGGGAAATTCTTAGCCGATCGGTTTGTCGAAGGCACATGCCCAAAATGCGGCTATGACGATGCTCGCGGTGACCAGTGCGACAAATGCGGCAGTCTTCTTGATCCACTGGACTTGATCAACCCGCGATGCAAAGTCGATGGTGCAACTCCTGTGACAAGAGAGACAAAACATACCTATCTACGCCTAGACGAGCTACAGGGCCAGATCGAAGAGTTTTCGAAACAATCGATCGAGAATGGCCGGTGGTCACGAAGTGCCAAAGTCATCACAGAGTCATGGTTGAAACAAGGTCTGAAGGAGAGGGGTATCACTCGAGATCTAGCTTGGGGTGTGCCTGTCCCTCTGCCGGGATACGAGCACAAAGTCTTCTACGTCTGGTTCGAGGCTTGTATTGGGTACCCGTCCATCACCGCCAACTACACAGAGGAGTGGGAAAAATGGTGGAAGAATCCGGAAAATGTTCAACTATACCAGTTTATGGGCAAAGACAACGTACCATTTCATTCTGTTGTTTTCCCTGGGTGTCAGCTAGGGACGGGGGAGGCCTGGACCATGCTGCACCATCTTTCGTCAACAGAATACCTCAATTACGAAAACGGCAAATTCAGCAAGAGTCGCGGCATAGGTGTGTTTGGGAACAATGCCAAGGAGACTGGCGTACCGCCAGATGTCTGGAGATATTATCTCCTCAAGAACCGACCAGAATCCGGCGACACGCAGTTTGAATGGCGGTCATTCATCGATGGCAATAACTCGGAGCTCCTCGCTAAGCTTGGAAATTTCGTTAACAGAGTCATCAAATTAGTCAATTCCCCGAAGGCCTATTCTGGGATCCTACCGGATTTTGATCCTCACAATCTGCCGTCATCGTTCACGGAACACCTAGCTGAAATCACCGACCTTCTCAAGCAATATCTCGCAGAAATGGAGGCTGTGCGCCTCCGTAACGGACTCCTTGTTGCCATGAAGATTGCAGAAGCGGGAAATGGCTTAATCCAAGCTCATCGCCTCGACAATTCACTCATTGCGAGTGATCCTACTCTTGCTGCAGCAGTTGTGGGAACTGTTATCAATCTCATCTACCTCTGCTCTGCCATATTCGAACCATATCTTCCGGCAACCTGCGCGTCAATACGGAAACAGCTCGACATCCCGTTCTTGCAGATACCGTCCGAGGAAGACATTGCCGATGGTTGGCTGCCCACTTACATAAAACCGGGACACAAGATCGGCAAGGCAGAGTATCTCTTCACAAAAATCGATGAGAAGAAGGCCGATGAATGGCGTGAGTACTTCGGTGGAAACCAAGCAGAGAGGGAGAAGAAGAAGAAAGACGAAGCAGAGGCTGCTGCGAAGAAAGCAGCTCAGAAGGAAAAGACCAAGGCCAAGAAGGCGGCTCAAAAGGCTGCGGCTGCGGCTGGAGCTGGAGGTGCTGAAAAGAGCGCGAAAGGGGGCCAGGAAGGAAAAGAGCTGGCCAACGGAGTTGCTGACGTTGGAGAAGACGCGGCGATCGCGAAGGTCGTTGATGGTGTTGCGCAAGTAACGATACCGATGTCTTGAGATTGTGGGACACATGATGCAACTTCATCCGGATAGAGATGGATGTGGCAGTACGCGACAAATAAAGGATCGCAGCAAGGATAGATGCGGATCTCAAAAAGAGAAAGGCCTTCAACGGCCAGTGGAAGTTCAGCTAGATGGATGAATTTCAGAGCAGATGTTGACGGCGTACTGATGGAGATACGACACGCCCTAGGCAGGAATGAAGACCATGTTGCAAGAGATTTACAATGCATATCGAGATGCCATCAACTTGCTAGAATTATCTTCTGCCCTTCAGATTGATCCTGCGTTCTGCCAATATGCCTCCATTCGCCTCCTGTTACAATCAGCGCCTCTCAGACAGTGCTGTCTCCCCTGCGGCTCGTCTGGACATGTTGCTGCAATGCGGTTTGTCTTCACAAGGACGACTTCAACCTTTCTCCAGCCCACAAGCCCGATATAGACTTCTGCACGATCCCAGCCATCCACTGCTACATCCAAGGTCTCAGTTCTGCTTCACGGAAGGTTGCTTCTGCTAGACCTTCCACCGATATTGTCGTCAGGTTGCCTCTTCCTCGGCCCAAAGACATTCGGCTCGACGCCGATTGGTCTGGTTTTTGTCCATCGCCGAGGGCTGAGCATAACGCCCGAGTTTCATATTGAAGCGAAGTTCTTGCTGTGAAAGAAAGAGAAAGCACTTGATGCCAAGCCTGCTGTGGGGCGGGAGGAATGCTTAACGCGAAACGCTTGACGACACTTCCGATTGGGTCCGTTGTGTCCGAGCTTTTGCACAGCCTTCTCGTGCTTTCTGGCCTTCTTACTCCGTACTCTTTCACGTCTCGCAGCAGCAACTCACTGCCAACGAAACTACTGGATTTTCGCCATCATCAAGGCTCCGTGCTGGAGGTGGCTATGCCCATCACTACACGCTCACCGCTCTGTTTGACACTGAATCTGTGACCAACTCTGAGTGGTCGAGGCCGGCCTAGGGGGGACTTGATCGACCCCAATACTCCCAAAAGAAGATGTCGCTATCACTCTCCACTTGAGTGCTGATTCTGTCTATTGGCTGAGGCACTCAATGAGCTCTGTACGAGGTAATGGCGACCCACATTTACTCAAAGCAAGGGTTTTACCTCGACGTCAACTTCCACTCTTGAAAAGTTCGAAAACCATGCCGCTTGCGGCTAACCTTTCCACAGGGCACTCTCCGAAACGATTCTTATTGTGCCTATTTGGTTGTCTATGATGAGGTATCGGAAGGCTGAGCATGGCTCCGACCTGCCAATTAAGTCCGGTGGTGAGTCTCTAGGGACCTTTTTGTGTCTTCTGAATTTCTCCGTTGATGAGGGCAACCTGGCCTGTCCGGAAGGAGGGCTTTCTTGTGCCATTTCTCTGTCAACATGCTTTGCGATGATAGTAGCAGCAGAAGTCCTCGCCTTGCTCGGATTCTACACCAGACTATCCGAGACTTTCTCCTTATGCTTGATTCATAGCACGGACCATATTCTCCAATATGTAGTGTTACCATATGGCCATACAAATTCTGAATTTTTAGACTCCATCAAACATCTTCTAACCAAAAGTAGGGCAGACAGAATACTGGGGAGTCCCATATCCGAACACACCAAAACCAAACCAGACCAGTTGAGTTGTCTTCATTCCGCCTTCAAGATCCCAGTTAAGACTAGCTAGGATATGAAACGAAACTTCCCAAGACACTTCCGTTCTCAATGCACCAATGGGCGTGCAATGGAAGTCTGGATGGCCTCGGTCTCTCCCTCATGCGGCTACTTGTTGCTATATGTTAGCTCTGCATAAAGATGTCTGCGTTGTTGCAACAGGCTCACCATTTCACTACATTCTGTGACGAGCTAGAGAGATATTCCAAATCCAAGGCTCTGCACAACCTTGGACTCACAACCCTGGGCTCTACAACAGATGTTACAATTTTTGCCGCTAAAGGTACTGTCTGTCAGAGAGGCCACCCTACTCCAACTACAAATATGGAGCCATCTTCCACTTTCAGTGACTTCTTGCAACTCATTCTTTCATCATTCAGTCGATCCATCTCTTTTCACTGTCGCTCTCTCTTTTCTGAGCTACAAAGGCCGGTCCTTGATTCTGATCATCTTCATATCGACATCATGGTTGCATATTCGTCTTTCATTACCTTTGGAATTCTTGCTGTTGCAGAGTTGGTCGCTGGTCATGGTGCCATCATTGCTGCCACTGGTGACGCTGGCGGAAAGGGTAGCGCACTGGGAATCGACCCTTCCACTCCTCGAGACGGAACCCGAAGACGTCCCTTCCAACAAGACACTACACGCTTCGCCGGTGACGCTGCAGACACCTTCGGGGAAACTCTCGAAGGCGGTGACAATGATCCAGAGAGTGGCACCAGTGCTATCCTGGCGCAAAACGGTGGCACTCTTCCACAGATCAGCGCAGGCGGACAAGTCCAGATGACCTTGCACCAGGTCAATGCTGACGGAGCCGGCCCGTACACTTGCATGATCAACGCCGACGCCACTGGCACTACATGGACGAAGGCGAGCAACCATCACTCCCTATCAACGGCCGATAATATCTCTGACTTAGGACATAGATGACGGTTAGCCAAAATGTCCCGGGCGTGCGAGGTAATGATGCAAAAGGAGCCAAGACGGACTTTGTAAGTTATTCTCCCTCCAGCACAACGTCGGCGTTCGCCTAAGAGGTAAAAGCCAAATACACTAACGTGGATCTGTTTCTGCTCAGCCTCTCACCGCTGAAGTCCCTGCCGGGCAGACCTGCACCGGCACCGTGGCCGGCCAAGACAATGTCTGCATGGTCCGTTGCCAGAATCCGGCTCGAGCGGGTCCGTTCGGTGGCGTCGTTCCAGTCCAGCTGGCTAGCACGGCTGCTACTGACACCAACACAACGACCACCACCGATACTAGCACAGGGACCAATAGCACAACCTCGACCACGACCACCGGGACTGCAGAAGAGGTCGCCAACAGCGGCGGAGAAACAGACAACACCACGCCAGCCGAGAAGGCCGCCGCTTTTGCAGCGGATTCGCAGAAGAAAAAGAGAACCACGAAACGCTCTTCGCGCATCGAGCGTCGCTCTGACGCTGCACTCTCTTACAGACACGGCGTCAAACTTTAGGCATGAGTCACGTCATGTCATGCCTCGCGCATTTGTGAGAATGTCTACGACTACTTACTCCTGCGTCCCCTGGCACTCTACGAAAGTTGGGCACGGCAGTGCAGAAACGAAGGCCAGGCAAAGACGAAGCCACACCGCCTATGATATCAAAAGACGCCACGACGTTGGAGGGACTGTATTTCCTTTTTCCTTGTGATCTCCTTTTTTGCTCTCGCAGAACACGACGAAGAAAACGACGCTCCTTTCTAAGAAACCGGCCAAAATGGAAGCTGCAGGTCGAAAAGGTACCTGGACCTGTACTTGTACTTGTATATGTATGCAACAACTAACTACTCCACGCTCCTTATGGCGTATGCGCTTTATACGCGGATCACAGCAATATAAGTAACTTTGTAAGACAAGAAAGAAAAGGTCCCGTATGAAGAACTTGCTGTAATCTCCCATACAACCATTTCACCCCTCTCTCTTTCTCTGCGTTTACTTTGCCAGCGCAGTCTGTACTACTTATCCGTTGCTGCCGTTGTTAGCTTCACTAGTGATCAGGCACTTTTTTTTGGGTCTTCGTCGGACCATCCCTAATAAGGGAACTGAGGAGCGGAAATAAGGCGGCCTTTCCTACGCCAAAGGCCGAGAAAGTCCTGTCTTGGTTAACATAATATTACTTGGAGAACGTCAGGTGAAGCTGTGCAACTCAATTCCTTTCCAGTGATAATTTTTAAAGGAACCCGGCCCGCCAGTCGAGCGGCGGCCTGTCTTCCAGGGAGTATACTATATGCTATCCAAGTCGGGTCTGTTTTCGCAAAGCAAACTCTTTCCGCAAGGGACACCGCCGTAATACCTCCCACCAGCCTTCTGTTGCCCGTCAAACATCAACATCCAGCACCCACCCTCGAAATGGTCAAGTCCACTGGGACCGTGGCGCGGCGAAGATATGCACCGAAGAGCAAAGGGGGTTGCCAGACCTGCAAGTCACGACACGTGCGGTGCGACCAGCTCCGGCCTCGCTGCTCCGCGTGCAAGAAGAGCGCGCGTCAATGCAGATACGACGCAGCAACCCCAGGTTTTCAGGAATCCACCGGCGGCGAAGCAGCAATAAAGGTGGTGCTGTGGGAACCGACAGAGCTGAAGGTCTCGGCTCGACGGCTGGCGCACACGCCGGGCCAGTCGCCAGAGGAATATCGCGCTTTGAAGTACTTCCGAGACGTCGTCGCCGAGAGATTGGCGGGCTACTTTGACGCCAGCTTCTGGACGGGATTGACTTTCCAGGTAGCTCAAACTGTGGGCCCATTGCGACATGCGATGATCGCTCTGGCCTCGCATTGGGAGAATGTCGTGGTCCCTGGTATGCACAAAAGAAGCACTGCAGATTGGGAGTGCGACAATTTCGCCTTGCAACAGTACACCCTTGCCATCGCCGAGATGCGGAAGAGCTTGGAACAGGCGTCCAAGCCGTCCACGGTCGAGCTTCTGATAAGCAATTTGCTCTTCATCTGCCTCGAAATGTTCCAAAACCATTACGAGTCTGCGCTGCGCCAGCTCTCAAGTGGGCTGTACCTCTTTTGTGAGTGGCATACGAACCACGGCGAGGCTGATACGCGAGAAAGAGGCAGCAGTGAACAGAGTGAGGAGCTTGAAGTTCAGCTTGGCCACATATTTAAAAGATTGATGACGCAGTCTTTATTGTTCCCCGTACGGCGAATGGATAAGAGACTCTTGGTACCCGAGTTGACGCCCAGATTGCCCAGGGTCCCGGAGAAGTTTGATACACCCGACCAGGCTAGAGACTCCTTCAACGATTGCATGGGCTCGATCATCCACGGCGTGAAGAGCCGGCACGCGCCAAGCCCACAGCGATGTGCAGACGGCAGCAATTTCCTTCGAAGATGGTCCACAGCCTTTGCCGATTTTCGGGCCCGAGGTGAGCAGAACCTCTCTGAACTGGAGCGTCGCAACTGTGTCATTCTTGAAATGCAACGATTGGCTGTCTATCTCTGGGCCCTGGCATCGTCCTTTGCCTCGGAAATGGAGTTCGACGCTTGGATACCGGAGTTCTCTAGACTCGTGGCTCTGGGTTCATATCTGGTCAAGACGAAGCGTCTGACTGTACCGCAGGGACGTATTCTCCACTATCCAAAATTTGACATCGGGTTGATCCTCCCGTTGTATCTTGTGGCCAGTCGGTGCCGGGATCCAAGGCTCAGACGCCAGGCCATTGAAGTGCTTCACAACGGCCCAAAGCAAGAAGGGATCTGGAACAGTGCCATCCTGGCAAGCATTGCAGAACGCATCATTGAAATCGAGGAAGGTGGTTTGACAAAAGTGAAGGATTGCACGGATGTGCCTGCTTGTGCTAGGATCAGGCTGGAAGATGCTACTATCCTCACAGCTGACCGAAAGGTTGCCACAGTCTTCGCTCGTCAGGGTATTGACGGATATCCAGAGTCTGAGATGTTGTACGAAATGATCTCGTACACAGGCTGACGAGGCATGCGGTAGGATGGCATCTTAGCAACACCCGAAAAGAGAGACCTGTTGGAAAGGTAGTCTCGCATACCACAGCTACACCATTGGTTGTGCCATCTCAGTGCTTATTAGATAGTACTCCAGAGATAAAAGGTCGGAGTGCAGGATCATAGCGCTGGGCAGAGAATTGTCTTTGTTCCACGCTATAGTATTTCGTAGATCATATGGACGATTTGAATGCACCCCAATGCCAGTACAGGCAATCCTCGTGGTTGACCATCATATTCGAAGTTCTCTTGCCGCGTAAACTAGACCAGTCACCTGGTATTAGGTCAAACAGGGTCCGCTTAATGATTGCAGGATCCAGAGCCACGGGCCAAGCACGGTCCTAGACCAAAAGGAGGCACCATCAAACAGTCCGACATGTTAATACCGCAGACATTCCTTGTAAACGGTGATATTGCAGCCAAAATACCTCATCTGCCTCACACTGGGAACGAGTCCGCTTGAATCCTTTCTGTTATTGCGAGCGCCCAACTTGATGAGATGTCTAAGAGCATGACGGAGCCCGTCAACGACGGGCATATTCTTTTCTGGAGCCGGGAATCAGTATTCGACCATTTCCACCGAAGTTCCAAAGATTTGCCTTCTGACCCTGCCTGACTGACGTCTACCCCTCTTTGAGCCAGGAGCTCTAGAATTGCAGGAGCTTGGGAAATCACGTCAGCTACAGTGTAATGGACCACTCCTCCAATTGGACCACACTGATCGTTGATATCCTAACCTCGATCCAAGAACATGTCCAGTATCAGAGTTGTATGCTCAACATGACTATACCATCTACGCCCAAGACCGCAGAGTGGACGATATTTTCCAGAATGGGCGAGAAGATCAGTCGATCGCAATGCAAACACTTCCACTACCCCTGACCTGAATGCTAGGGACATTTCCCGGGTCTCGTGAGAGTATAGCCTTGTCGTTGACAATAGGGTGCTGCTCAAGCATGTTTTAGGGCCGGGAAAACCTGCGAGCGGATGGAAGAATAGGTTGTATAAGATGTAGGCCACCAGCAAAAAGAAGATCTATTGGCTCTGCGCTGGTCACCTAAACTCTCTCACGGCAGAGTAATCAAACCCACGACTCTAGTAAATGTGGCAAGACCCTTCACCAGGAGTGCCGGAGGTATGGACTCAGCAATCATGGTCGCTGGTCAGAGAAGCCTAAGAATCTAAACTTTGGCTGAAAAAGCAAGACAGTTTGTCAAGTGCAGGTCATCTCATCCGCATTGGCAGTTGGAAAGTGTAAATCACGGCTACGGTTGAGATCCTTAAGACCTCGTTAAGTGGAGCAACAAGGCTCAATGTCAGCCTCGAGCGAGCTGACAGGAACGGAAATGGCACGTTTGAGCCTCCGGAAATGCTCCGGCCCCACCTTTTCCGCAGACCTCGTGCTTCTAGAAATCTCCGCTCCCAGACCCACCCGTAGGATAGACGCGACTACCTCGCGGAAGAGCGGAGTGCCTTAAAGCCAGAGGCTGAAATGACTCGCTCGCGTACTGTATACATGACATTGTACATGGATAGCGGCACTTTCTGTATTTCGTCTAACCCCAGGAAGCGACAGGGTCCAGTGTAAACACAAACATCTAAACGAGATGGCGACTCTTCTTGTTCTTTGGCCCATCAAGCCCGAGTTCTCTGACATCGCCGTGGCTTCCACATGGACGGCGACTCTGGCAATGGTGTCTAATCAGCCTGGCTTTCAGCGCTGGAACTGGGGATTTCAGGTGAAAAATCCCGGACGTGCTTCAACTCTTGGTCGGTGAGTCGGCTCCTGGGGAAACCAAGCACCGACCCTGCTTTTCACCTTATTGGAAAAGGAAAATAAGACCGCACCAAAAGGAAACTCATCAGGCAACTAATATCTTTCATGTGCAGACTGGGACTCGGTCGTGTCGTATCACAATTTCAAAGCATCAAGCTCCTTCGGCTCTTTTACACAAGGCGTCCGCAGTGTAGCGAAAGGCGAGCCTCAGACCTACCTTGCGAAACTGTAAGGACGAGAACTCTCTCGAAGAGCTCATTGACCCCGAATGAGCAGAGAACCTCATCCTGCACCTGGATTCGACGCACCCGCTTCTGAAGTGGTGTTCATCAATAACCCTCGCAATGACTTCAAAATCTCGCTCGCGCAGTTCAGCGAATTCCTTGTGCTCAACCCAGGTCAAATCGGACAGTACTCTCTAGGAAAGATCGTAGAAGGCGTTAAGTTCGCACAGCAGTTGTACCTCGTTGTTGGATGGGAAAGTGTGGAGGCCCAGAAAGCCATGATGGCTTCGCCAGAATTCAAGGATAAAGTTGGTCTTGTGAGAGATCATTGCGAGACTTTGCAGCTGGACTATATAAAGTTGACGAGATCGTGAGTCTCAGTATTATATAGCACATAGACTCCGTCTCATTCACAGTGCCATGGTCTGTCATACCAATAAGTGCCGAGGGGTACGCTTTTAAGGTGGCCGGCATTGGCGGCCCCGTGACGGAGAACGCGTAAAAGTGATTTTTCATTTACTTGCTAGAGATTCGTTACATGCTCTACGCGATCATAATTATCCGCAAGTGAGGAAACGAAATCGATTGACTGTGGCCTGGTCTCGACTGCCGGAACCGACTTTGCTTCCGAGGGCCCCCATATATGCAAGCTAGCTTTCTGAGAGCAGTAGTTCCGAGGATTGGGCGCGGCTGACTTTGCCGAATGGTATTACTCCTGAATACAAATGGACTGATGTTCGAGTGGCCTGTAAAAGCAGCAGCCGGCCCGTGTGGTGGACTACACGCAGTTGACCACAAATTCAAGGCGTCCATAGCTCTTTTCGTGATAGAGACTGGCAACAAATCTGCAAACCATGACGGCAGCCTTCTTCTAGTCAAAAGAGCCATGATAAGTGGCGTAGGTTCAGGTGAGGCCATCTTTCACGAGTATTCGTTGAACTATCTAACACAAGTGTAGGAATTTGCCTTGCGCTCGCCAAATCACTACGTGCGCAAGGTGTGCCGTTGCCGATTCTTGACATTGGCCTACATCAGGAGGTGACGAAGTGGTTGGCAGCGATCCAGTGCGACGGTGGTCCGAAGACAGTTTTCCACAAGACCGACGTGACTGATCGGGACCAGCTCGAGGGAGCCTTCGACGTGTTTGCACAGCAGCTTGGCGGTGTAAGATCGTGGTAGCAGGTGCTGGAATCTATGAGGCGTCTTCAAACGGGTTCTGGGATCAAAAGGACGCCTCGCTTGGGTACAAGTTGTTCGACGTCAACCTGCTGCATCCAATCAACTTGACCAGGATTGCCATACGACGGTTCCAGCAAGCCTCCTCTCCAGGCGTTGTTCTCCATCTCTCGAGCATTGTCGCACAGAAACCATCGGCGGTTCTCCCGTTGTATTCGACCTCAAAGGCTGTGATTAGCCAGTTTGTCAGGTGCATGGCTCCCCTAGATAGCTTGTGCGGCGTTCGAGTAGTTGCTGTTGCTCCTGGGTAAGTTGCAAAAAGTTGTCTCCCTAAGGAGCACCCTGGCATGGGGTCCCGGATTCTGCCTGTGAAAGGGAAAAAGTAAGGTATCTGAACAAGACATGTTGACAGGGTCGTCGACACGCCGTTGTTCGCGACCATCCGCGGGCCCGAGAACAATCCACATGGAGAAAGACTTTGTTCTACCCGTAGATGAAGTTGTCAAGGCGATGATGGCTCTTCTCACTGATTCCAAATACCCGGCTGGTACGATGCTGGAGGTCGGCGATCTGGGTGGGTGGCGTGAAATTCAACTGCTCAACGACCCAAGTCCGCAAGGGAAGTCGACTCTGCCCAGAGCGAAAGCCATGGAAGCGATTCGACTGGTTGAACAAGCATTGAAAGAGGATAAGAGATCTTCCACCAATGGCTCTAAGCTTTGAAGTTGTGCATGGAGATTTGCGAGACAGAGACTTGATCATCAGTTGGATTGCTCGTCTGGCATTGCACTACTTAGATTAGGTTAGTTCCGTTTGGTGATCCACTTCATCAGCCTTGCAACCTCTCCCGCTGCCACTGGGCCGCGTTCGTAGACTCATAACAAAACAGGTTGAACAACTCTTTTATCTATCAAAGTCGAGGAGCTTGGTCAAGGAGGCCACCTGCCCATCTTTCCTCGCGAAATAGAAGCAATAGAGTGGTCTTACAAAAGACCTCGTACAGAAGCGCAAAAGATTCATCATGAATGTTGGATGAGTTGGAAAATATGTATTCTCAGGGCTCTTCCTTGTAGCTCTACTTCTCACCAACAAATCTGAGGACGCCTTAAAACGGTGCCTTTTTTTACATCTTTGACACGATGGTCTGCTCTTGAATCTGAGGCCGCGCGATCTGAGTCGGCCAGGCGACCTCCACACCAAGCTCCTCGGCAACCTTCAACACCCAGCCTCCGTCCCTCAAGAATTGCCGACCAACGAAGATCACATCGTTGTTGGCCATGCCCGCCACCTCGTGTACCAGACCTTGCGCTTGCCTTGCCCCTGTAATCTCGCCCACTAAGCCGATAAGGAGTTTTTTCGCCTGGCGCTTTGATTTCCTTTCAGATTCTCGCCGCGAATTTAGCTTGTTGCGGCCCGGCGTTGAACACGGTGTTGCTTGCTTGTTTAATGTTCCCACCAGAACTCACGTCGAGGAGATCGACGCCCAGATCAAGAAGCATCTTTGCAAGACGGATGGTACTCTCCAGGTCCCAGCTGCCTAGACGTCTGCCAATTTCCGTGTCTTCCATCCAATCTGTGGTGCTGACCCTCATGAAGAGAGGCATGGTAGCCGGGATGGCCGCTAACTTCCTGCTTCACGACAGCACCACAGCCAGAGACATCATCAGAGACAACCATTCATCGCCTCAGGCAGAGGTCATGCGGCTCGTCAACATTCTATTGATGATAGTCATACGCGTCTATGTTCGAATAAATCAAAGAATCACTTACCGAGCTGTTCGTAATGAGCGACACTGAGAGCGAGTGCGAGTAAGAGGGAGTGTGAGAGGTTGAGAGATTAGCGGGGGGAAGGGGGTTTTACGGGGGTCACCTGTATCTTTCTCCTTAGCAGCGAAAGAGATTATGTCGATATATCGAGGTAGCGAGAGCGTCGAAATAGGTATCTCCGACTACAGCTGCAATTAGGTATAAATTTCCCACTATCGTGAAAGTTGAACCTCGAACATTCCAATCCCTTTAATCCCCTTCTGAGAAGATCCCCCGGGGAGGTTTAGTACTTCGCATCGGCGTCAGGCCTTCTGACCACGCTGCTATGTGACACAGACATGGAGACTTTGGCGCAGGCTGCGAAATCATACTAAGCCGATAAAGTCGGTCTTATTTTCGACCGATGGAAGTTGATTCGCCTCAGCTTCAGCCGATGAGCTTGTCATCGTCTGGGGTCTATAAAGTGCAGTGACATTCTATCCAACATGATGGCCTAGTCAGGTTGTGTGGCTTTTGCGCTGACCTACACCTGCCTAGCGTCGGCGGACGCTATAAGGTTCGATTGTGGGGGCTTACAGAGGCGGTCAAGTCAGACGATCCCAACCATGCTCAGGTACATCCGTGAGGTGCGCGTGGTCACATTTTCTCGTGATTCGAAGCTACTTGCTAATAAGAAAGTGTTTCTGTGGCATCCCGCGAGCCCGGATAAGAAGCCCACGGAAGGGCCCTCAGAACAAAGATATATGGTGTGCTCGGTCACTTTCTCCACTAACTTTGGAGAACTCGTATCGAATTGTGGCGGTCCCGCCATGACAGAGCGATACATTCAAAGCAGCGAAACCCCGCATAGATTGAACATCTAAACCATTCTCCGTGCAGAACCATTCTATTTTAACGGCCAATCCTTGATCACAGGGCTTGGCAAAATTGACCTGACAGAATCGCCTCAGTTTAACGGCTCGAATATGGGTTTGCAGCGTCCGAAATGGTAAGAATACATAGTATGGATTGAGTTCGAGTAGAGGGTGAACAGCGTAAGACGGGAGGGGCATATATTTTGTAGCTGCGTTTAGAATACTGTCCTTCGGTGTGCTTCCGCGGTTGCAGTTGCAGTGGACCAGTCAGCAGATGATCACCGGTTGCTTGCTTAGGAAGGTGTTGGAATTCCAATCTCCAGCTCCATTGAGCCGAGAGGCAAATCCGAGGCGATAGCCGACCATCGCATGGCCTAGGGTGGGCTATTACAGCGCCGGGAACAGCATATAAGCAGGTTATACGAAGCCATCTTGACAAACCCTCCGAAGTAATATATAACATAAGACGGAATGGTCACACGAGGCATCCCTAGCACTACTATAGTGCTAGTGGTGATTATAAATCCGCCAATTATATGAATAAACAGTTATATAAGCTTTTACTCTAGCCGGCTAGTGCTAGGGCTTCCCTTTCCTTAGATAGTCCACTTCCCTAAGTAGTTAGTATCGCGACTCCACAGGTCATACTGGCTACTTCGCAATACAAGGTAGGGTGTATGGATTTCCAACGAGCTTCAGGCCAGCCTCATCTTTTATCTTTGGCACCGAATAGCCTGCGATTGGCTCTAAACTAGCTAAATCTTCCGTCGTTTCCCTGTATCCATCATTAGCTGAAGAATAGCCGTTTACGAAACTTTGCAAGAGGAGTAAATTTACACCATGTTAGTCTCGCATACACTCCGTAGAACTAAACAAATTTTGCCAACTTTAGCAAAGAAGAAAATAGGAGGCTGTGGCAGTCTTAGAACTATTAACGTTCTTCCTCACACTACATTGAGCTCTCCAGAGAACGTTTTTACTTTGAAAATGCTGTGGTCCCTGCGTCATTCTTTTCATTTCTCGTTATAGCCTAATGCCAATCAACCTACATTATGTCTCGGCAGCCCTTAATCCTCAATCATCTAACGCCTCATAACCAAGTAGAGCTATCCCCGTCCCCTCCTACAGCACCAAGTGGCGCCTCCTGGACCATACGGTATTTCAACCAAGCACCGAACCCGCAGAAGCTGCAAAAGAAACCCCAAAGCCAGATTTTTACAGGGGAGCTCCCAATTCAAGGGCAGAACTTTGCGTTTCCAGCACATCAAGTCATATTTAATGGTGGCGGACACTTCGATGCGATAGCGTACCTAGGACGATTGGGAACGGGAGGTCCAACAACACTCAGGGACGGGACCTCTTCCACTTCGATAAAGGGTTTCCTGTCATTTTCAGTGACATTAAGGGCGGTAAGACAACCGGCACCACCACCCTCAACGGCAGCAAAACCCTCATCAAAATTCCCCCCTGGCCACCCTCTTTTCGACCCTGACGCGGACGACCCTGAGGAAAGTCAAGGCCCCCAGTTGACTCCGAGTCAACTAAGCGCTCAGCGAAGGCTCAATGAACGAGTCATAGAATTAATCAGGAATCGAGGCCTGGAGCCTCCTGCGCTCCCTTCTAATCCATCCCGTCAGGATCTTTTCGACCAACAAGTGTCACGGTTACTTAGAAAGGCGGGCGTTCCGGATCTCCCGCCGGGGATTCCTGATTCGCTCGTGTACGAGGAGCGGATCGCAGCATTGCTCGAAGCGGCTGACATTCACAACGGCCAAGGTCAAGGTCACAGCCAGGCCGCAACTCCAAGTCACTTTGCAGTCCAGAGTCATCCTGCTGCTCCAAGCCAATTTACAGCACAGAGCCACCTTGCAGGTGCAAGCCATCAATTATACTCAGCCGAAGGCTTCGGAGAAGAGGAGAATGAGGAAGGCTATGGAGGATTCGTACATGAAGAAGAGCCAGAACATTTTCCAACACACGAGGAGGAAGAAGACGAAGAACACGGCGAGTTTGAAGGTGAAGATGAAGGAGAAGGCGAATGGGAGGCGGAAGGGGAGGGGCACTGGCAGGAGTGAAAGTGACGGTGGAGGTGAAGATGAAGATGGAGATGGAGGTCAAGGTCAAGGTCAAGGTCTATCAGAGAATGAGAGGCTGAAGGTCCTTGTTTTTCTTGTCTAGATAAGAGGGCGAAGGAGGATCTCTATATAGTTTAGAAAGTGAAGAGGTTGGGCATGTCCCGCTAGCCTCTATGACAAGGTCAAGGTTAAGGTAAATGTTCTTGGGCGATCAACACAGATGTGCTAGGTGTTGTGATAACTATACGAATCAATAGGATTCTTGGGAATAAAATTTTAATCACATGAATCTTCAGCCTCTCCCGGGGTCGATCCTCGAGCGGTTGAGCTGTCAGGGTCAAAGTCTGTTGATATATAGGGGAATAACGTCTCGAGAAGAGGAGGCGGATCTGTGTTCCGTATCCACAGGCACTGAACGGCGTCAGTTCTGGCACTTTTGGGGGATGATTCGACATCTTCGTCCATCTTTGGCATTTCCTGGGAGAGTGTGCTAGGTTCTGACGGAGGTATATAGCTAGATAGCCTAGTAAAACGGTTGAGAATACGCAATAGGGGACCCCTTTAACCGCTTTCAGTATCATGGGCAACATGAATTTTCTCCAACCCGTCCTAAAACAAATAGGCGTATGATGCCGCTTTAAGAAGCTTTGCATCCCAGCACAGGGCGGCGCCACTATCATTTCGAATCCGGGTGCATATTTCCGCTTGGCAAGTTGCCGCGCCTCGAATCTTGAGACAATCACGCGTTGGCCAACAACACCAAGTTGCTGCCTTTTCATGCCTACCACCTTCTCCGACTCTCGCTCAATAGTCATCTCGCCTCACTTCCTCTTGCTATCAACGACTTGTTTGTGCGACGATCTCTAGACCCTCCTGAAACCCTCACGACGATCGTCCGGTAACATGTCTACGCTCTTTGGACAAACGGCCGCGGCCGCTACCACCACGAGCACAACAGGAGATCTCTCAAAAGATGTCGCTTTAGTGCAACCCCCCGAGGACAGCACATCTCATCTCGCATTCTCTCCGCAGGGCGACTTCCTAGCGGTCTCATCATGGGACAAAAAGGTCCGGATATACCAGGTGAACGAGCAAGGGCAGAGCGAAGGCAAAGCCGCTATGGATTTTGACGCCCCAGTTCTGGGATGTGCGTGGTCAGAGGTGAGTTGTGCTTGGATACAGACACGCATGGGATATATACTAACACTATGTTAGGACGGTCAAAAGGTCGCAGGCTGCGGCGCCGACAAGACCTTCCGACTCCTTGACCTGGGATCAGGAAACATGACTCCACAATCCCTAGTGGCCCACGAACAGCCCGTTCGAGCGTGTCGCTTCGCTACCATCAATAACTCTCCCATCCTCATTACCGGCTCATGGGATCGAACAGTCAAGTACTGGGATCTTCGGACCCCGAACCCCGTCGCAACATTACAGTGTCAAGAGCGAGTCTACACGATGGACGTCAAAAACAAACTTTTGGTTATTGGCACTGCAGACAGATACATCAATATCGTCGACCTCAACTCTCCCGAGAAATTTTACAAGTCCGTACAGTCGCCACTGAAATTCCAGACGAGAGTGGTCAGTTGTTTTACGGACGCCACCGGCTTCGCCGTGGGCAGTATCGAGGGCAGATGTGCAATCCAATATGTGGAAGAAAAAGCTGCCGACAACAACTTCAGCTTCAAATGCCACCGTGACACACCTGCCACCACAGGCCCGAACCGCGACGTCGCGAATGTCTATGCTGTCAACGCCATCTCCTTTCACCCTGTACATGGTACATTCTCAACAGCAGGCAGTGACGGAACTTTCCACTTCTGGGACGGTAATGCGAAGCACCGACTGAAAGGCTACCCGGCAGTGGGTGCTCCAATCACAGCAACAGCATTCAACAGGCAAGGCACGGTGTTTGCCTATGCGGTGTGCTACGATTGGAGTCAAGGTTATCAAAAGAACACACCTCAGACCCCAAATAAGATTATGCTGCATGGCGTGCAGCCGGAAGAGGTTAAACCCCGACCTGGGGGAAAGAAGAGATGAGATGGATAATTGTGGCACGGGACTTTGATAAGGATGATGTTCACACGCAGGGCAAGGTCCGCAGAATACAGGATCTGCTGATGCTCAACCACAACAATGGCAGGCTTGAGGAGACACAAAAAGAAGTGTGGCGAACTTCCCCGCAAATTGACTGGAATGAATGAAAAGGATTGATGTGCCGATTGGATTGCGATTCCTTTGGCAAACCCGCATCCGATCGAGCAGTATGCGAGGATGAACAAAAGTAGCATCATTTGAAGGCACCCAGGCCAGGAGACACATGAAGATGGATTCGGAGCACGCCAGAAATAAAACAAACACAGCGACAGTCTTTCGCCTGTACGGAGTACTCTGTGGCTGCTTCTTCTCGGCCACCCTGGGCCTTTACGGACGCATGCCAGTCCTTGAATAGGGTTCTGGCCTGACCAGGCCTTTGGAGGCTGTATTTGTAACAAGGACATGTACTAGGTAGATGGACAACCGGAGGCGCGAAGACGAAGGCTCAAAAAAGGAGTGCTGAATCATGCGACACCGTTCCCATATGGCTTGCTCACCCTGCCTATAAATACATACTTTGTGACTAGATACTGCTTCCCCGAATAGTCCGTCTTTGTCATCTCACCCGGGTTCGATGCCGATGCTCCTCGTAGTACTCGTACACAGTATGCTCTCCTTCCTGCGTGCTCGACGCACCGTACCATAACCGCGACGGGTCCAGAGAATCTATCTCGCCTTTACACCGAGATCCACGTTAAGATCTACATAGATCCGCATCATACATCGTAGTATAGATGGATAAGAACGAGTTCACTGACTCGCGCCTCTTATTTTCATTCTGATGCTTTCTTTTCTTTTTTCTCTCTTCTCTCTTCTGGCCTGGACGCCCTCGTGTGTGAGTACGGAGCGTATATATTTGAAGTTGTATGTGCGGACTGGCGCGCAGTATACACGGGCCCCTCACTACTATGTAGGTGCCTAAGTGGATTTGTACAGGACACTGAGGTATATGTTATATTGCATGCATGGCAGTAGCAGGCACCGAGCGGGTACCTGGTATGTCTATATACACGAATCGATGAGCCCGAGGATAAGTGCCAGTACGTGCATACACTAGGTCGCCGACTGCTCTGTTTAGAAACGAGTCGTTTATAAAAGTACAATGGCAACCATTGGCTCGTACCTGCAGTGGACTACAAGTAGTGGAGTGGTTACGCAAGTGTAGGTACATACATACCTAGGCATATATGCAACGCGATGCAGTCTTGTTCATTCACACAGTCCATTTCAGTGGAGCCCGTCCCAGTTCCAATCCCAGCCCCAGTCCCGGTGCAGTGTAATCGTCCGTTATGCTTTCAGTACTCCGTGAACCTTCCATGCTCGCCTTTTGCTTATGTCCATCTCTGCTAATTCCTCCATTTTGACAATTTTTTTTCACCCTGGCATCCTTTCCCAAAAGTCACTCAAAATCAGCCATACGCCCTGCTCAAGCCCTCGCTAAAAACAAAATGTGGAATCTCACCCAAGTCGGATGTGGGCAATGTTGCTCTTCTGCTCAATTGAGTCCATTTCAGTCCTTGTCAGCTGGATTGAGTTCGTCATTCCCCCTCTTAGCATCTGCCTCTGTCGAAGAAGAAGGCCGGCTGCAAATAGTCCACGGTGAAATCAATTCACATCCATCCCGTCATCGTCATCCCCCTCTGTCTCATCCGCCTCCCCACTTGGTCGGTGGCTCCTTCGTCTATATCGCCCGCTAACACCCCCACCTTGCGTAAACCCGCCGTCGGCATCATCCACCTCATCACCATCAACCACTCTCCCATCCATACCCACCACCTCGCAAAGCTCCATAAGAGATTGTCGACTGAGGCTCCGGAATCCCTCGGTACGTACGATTCGCCCGAAGTTCATCATGCAAAAGCGCGCGGCCCGCTGTTTCAGCCACTCTTCCTGGGTGCGGCCTGCGCGTTCCCAAATGACGGCGGCGTGTTCGATGTCAATCTCGCGCGAGAGGCGGTTCACACACAGAAGGCGGAGCTTTGGGATATCGTAAAGATTAGCCATCACGAGCATACCAGCGACATCCGTGAGGTCACGGCAGAACTCGGGATGAGGGGCAATGCTATCCGTGTATAGATAATATAAGAACGCGCGTACAACCGAGTAAGGCTCGGGGATGTGCAAGCGAGACGTCTGGTATTCGATCATTTTGGAGGCGTAGAGGCGTTTGAAATGTGGCCAGCGTGCTTGGAGGATCATTTTGTGGACATGAATGGGCGGCGACACCACAGAGTTTTCAGAGACAAAGGCTTGACTGCTAGTCGTGTTGGTGGAGAATCGCAGCTGAGAGTCGACTTCCGAGATGTTATCGTCCTCATCAACCGGGATGTTGTTCGCCGTAATGATGAAGTCGCTCATGCTGCCGGATTCTGGAGGCTGATCAAAGGTCATGGCGAGATCTGAGCCGAGGCCAGAGCCGACGCCGCCAGAGGGAGCTGGATACGTTGTCTGCCGTTCGGAGGCTAGGATGCGATTTTGCTCGGACGCGAAGGACGAGTCAAGGTTGCCGAGCAAGCCGTACCGTTTGAGGTCGACGGCCAAGACTTCGCTCAGTTGCAGCTCTTGGTTGGTCCCAGCGGAATCGTCTCCAGGAGAGCCAAGCAGCCAAACCTTGGTTCCATCTTCATTGATTGTGCAGTAATGCCATTTGAAGCCTGGTTGGAACAGCTCAGGACCTTCAACCAATCTTTGCCATCTCAACGAGTCCAGCTCGAGAGATGAAAGGTTGCAATCGCTGTGACGAATGTTCGACGACGGTGTAACGAAGTCGAGCAGCGCGCCGGACGAACAGACGTGGAAATGTGTGCCCGACGATTGGAGGGGAACGTGCGGGCCTGAAACGAATTTAAGTGCCGATATCGCCCCCGGGGCGACAGGCTTCTCCCGTCTTGTGGATCGAATATGGACACTGCCTGAGTTCGCGGTATATGTGTCGGTCCGGTCGGCGCGGTTGGGATGCAGCCAGGGTTCATGTCTAGCAGAAGAGATGCGGCCCATGGTCGAGTATTGCCTGCCTGAGCCACTCAAAGCCGGACTTCCTTTGAGGTCTAGCCACCAAATCTCTGATGGCCGTTCCATGTCGGCTCCCAGCCCTCCTAGCACCCAGAGCCGACCTCCCCATATCCAGGCGCTGTGGTCGAACCTTTGCACGAAGCTCCATGTTTTCGACCACGTCCACGTCTTCAGATCAAGGTAGCAAATGTCGTCGAGAATGTAATTAGCCTCTCCGGTCAGCCCTCCAATGACGAACAGTTTGTCCTCATAGACGACTGTGGCGTGTCTAGCTCTGCCTTTGGGGATAGGACCCTGGACAGCGGGTTGTGTCCAGTGATGGTCCTTCAAGTTGAGGATGACTACATCCGACAAATATTCTCGATGCTCATTCTCTCCACCGTAGACCAGCAGCTTATCGCCTTCGTAAAGGGATGCTGAGTGGCCCATCCGCACTCCGGGAATGTCTCCATAATTATCCACTAGCGCCCAATTTAGCGTCTTCAAATCCAGCCGAAGCACGTGATTGTAGACCTCATCTGTGAATTGGTCGAAGCCGCCAAAGGCGTAGATCTGATCGTTCCCGCAATAGGTGACCGATGCATTGACCAGACAAGCCGGCTTCTGTCCGGTGGTCTTGGAGATCTTTGGTTTCAGTCCGTCGTTCATGCTGCCGGGGTTCTTGGCAGGGCTGGTTGGCATAAGGTAGGTGCTGGCCGTGGGAGTATTGGCACCAGAACCAGGAGTCCGGGCGGAAGAGCCAAAGGCCCACGTAGCAGTAGCAGCGGTTGTAGGAAGAGAGGAATTCTGTGGAAGGAATGGTTGTGGTGTCGACGGCTGGGCCATCATAAGATTAACTGAAACTTCGGCGTTTACGGAGAAGGACTATTGCTCTGACAGGGGGTTCGGGCGAAAAGCTCGCATCAACGCTTCGTAGACGAAAAGGTATGTCCTGAAAAAGCCCGTAGGCCCATCCAAGGAGGCGAAGCCAGACTTGAATATCAAATCTCTGCGGACTGTCGAGGCGACTGGTATGAGCGGGACATGACAAGGGGTTCAAAAAGGAGAGTGAAGATGAAAAATGATCGACGAAGTTTCACGTTTCAAGTTATTAGGCCATCGGCGGGTGCGGCTCGGATTAACCTTCTTCCGAAGCACACGTGGTTGGCGCTGATGTAATAATTCTGCATCAATGAGGATCGGGCGCCAAAGACGGAGTAGTGTAAGGTGGGTCGCCGTTGCCGTGGCAGACATCTCCACCAACATGGGAAAGTACTTCAACAGCGACTCCTCACAGGCTTCAAAGAGATCTTTCCTTCCTCTCTATTATACCATACTCCCTCTCCTCCCTCCACATCTCCCTCCTCAACGCATACATTCTTGCGCGTGCATAGCATACAGTCCATTAGATCACACTTGCATCCGCTAGATTTGGTCGAACCCCCGACTGCATCGCCTTGCCGTGCCACTACCACGCTCGGTTACCCAATCATCCAACAATATCAGCGACACTGAAAGACTTACTAACCTAACACTTTACCGACAGCTCTTCTCAGGATCCATTCAGTTGAGAATCTTGAGATATCACTGAATTGCTTGGACCCAGGCACCAGAGACTTTCTCGACAAGTTCTGATTGCTTAATCGACAACCACTACTAACCCCCGAGGTCTTGATTGATTCTCGGTTCAACAGCAGACCCTGATCGAAACATTTATTTGTCCGTTCGATCACAAACATAACGCATCTAGACACCATGGCAACAGTCTCGGTGTCAACACCTCTCAAAAGCCATCATGGTCTCTTTTCCACGAAGACCGCAGGTGGCAGAATACCTCTCACCCCATCCCCCAGACAGAGAACGGTGAGCGTCACCACCAACATCTCCACAACCTCTTCACCCTCTACTCCTCTTCGCAGAGAACAATCGATCCACAAGTCAGACCCATCCACCTTTTTCTCTCGATCCATCTCAAGGTCGGTGTCCAAGTTTGCCTATGCCAATTCTCCCAAATCCAATATTGCCAAAGGCCGGCAGTCACCCAAGCAACTAGAGCTGGGTGTCTCAGAATGGACATTGACAGGCACTGGGCCAAGCACATCTGCTACACCGTCAAGAGAGAAGGCCAAGAAAGAGACGGTCCTGAGGTCAAGAGCGGGCAAGACCACAATCAGACTGCCAAACAACACCGCGGACCGATTCATCCCCAACCGAGGTGCAAGTGCCGGTCTGGCGACTGCCGGTTGTGGCAAGGCGGATGAGAACACTCGACCTCGAACTGCTGGAGATGGGTCCATAGTGCTCGCAAATGCTGCCAGTGCCAGTGCCTTTGAGATCTCTGCACGAGGTGCAGATACCGATATCACAACTGCACTAGAAGGCCTTGGTCTTGAAGACGACAACACCACCTCATCTTACACTCGGACGAATCCCGACTCCAGTGCTTATGAATCATCACTAGCTTCCGCATGTGGCATCTCAACGAGTCAACGTATTCTTGAATTCAAGCCCGCTCCTCCGGAATCATCCAAGCCGATTGACCTCCGGTCACAATACAACCGCCCATTGAAGCCAGCAAGTGCTCAATCAGCTCAGTTCCGTCGACGCATTCAATCCGCGCCCGAGCGAGTACTAGATGCACCTGGCCTTGTCGACGATTATTATCTCAATTTGCTCGACTGGAGTTCGGGCAACCAGGTCGCCATTGGGTTGGAGCGCAATGTCTATGTCTGGTCCGCCGACAGCGGCACGGTCAGCTGCCTATTGGAGACCTCGCCCGACACCTATGTCAGCAGTGTCAAATGGTCGGGCGACGGCGCCTACGTTGGCGTGGGTCTCAGTTCCGGGGAAGTCCAGATCTGGGACGTGGAAGAAGGAACGAAACTCCGGAGCATGTTCGGTCATGAAACTCGGGTAGGTGTGATGGGATGGAACAAGCACACCTTGTCAACAGGGGCAAGAAGTGGGCTCGTCTTCAACCATGACGTCCGGGTCGCCCAACATAAGGTTGCCGAGCTGGTGTCCCATACGTCGGAAGTTTGTGGCTTGGAATGGCGCAGCGATGGCGCGCAGCTGGCGACGGGCGGGAACGACAACTTGGTGTCGATTTGGGACGCACGCTCATTGGCTGCGCCCAAGTTCGCAAAGAAGAATCACCGTGCGGCGGTCAAGGCCCTTAGTTGGTGTCCCTGGCAATTGAACCTCCTGGCCACTGGTGGCGGGTCGTACGACCGCCATATTCACTTTTGGAACACGACGACAGGCGCACGAGTCAACAGCATCGACACGGGATCACAAGTGACAAGTCTCAAATGGAGCAATCACTACCGCGAATTGGTGAGCTCAGGCGGCTTCCCAGACAACTCGCTGAGCATTTGGAGCTATCCGACTTTGGTCCGAAATGTGGAGATTCCCGCACACGAGACTCGAATCCTTCACAGCTGTCTTAGCCCTGATGGACAGATGCTGGCAACGGCAGGTGAGTTTTGCAAAGTTTTGGACTAGCATTGAAGCGACATAGGCTAATATTTGCACGCAGCGGCTGATGAAAGTTTGAAGTTCTGGAAAGTCTTTGAGCGGAAAGCGGGCGTCAGTGCGGCAGCGTCCAGGGAGGGCGGCGTCGGCAAAGGCGGCGCGATGGCGAAGCAGATGACCATTCGATAAACCCCATCCTATATATATCACGGATCATGTGGCGGGTCTTGCCAGGTCAATGATGGGTCAATGAACAGGTGCTGCCACACAGTCCAAATTGATGACTACTGGGGGGGGTGTCTGTTATTTTGCATGGTGTTGGGGGGCCAGGAAAAGGCATTTTGAGAGAGGATACGTAGTAGAGACACGAAGTTCAAGTCAATCGATTACGATGCGGCTCTTCTCTTACGAAGATGGACCTCCTTGTACACCAACTAACTAGCACACTAAATGGGGTAGCCATGTGCGTCTGTACTAGTAGGAGGAGGAATGATTTCTCTGTTGGTGTGGAATTGGGTGGTGTTGATTCCCAGGACGACTTGGTAGTTGGTTAGCGGCAGTGCTAGGTGCTAGCTCGTATTCAACTTCGTCCATCCATCCAATCATGCATGCACTCACTCATTCCACTCCCATCTCCCACCAACCATTGCGCAGTCAAAGAACCATGGACGCCTGGTGGCGGTGGTGGTGCTTGTGCCCGGGCGCTTACGTGCAGCTGAACCAGCGCTAGTGTGTCTGGCGTGGCACGTGATTGGCGTGTCTGGCTCGCTCGCCCTTCTCTTCTCCGCCTGCGCCCCGCCCTAGCTGGTCCCTAGCTGTTGCTCTCACCTGCGCCCTAGGTGCGTCCCTTGTCTTTCCAACCACAGTCACCATCTCTCTCACTTTTACCTTCTTCCCACTTGCGCATCCAACCTCCAACCTCACCTTGTGAAAAGGCCGATGTCGCCGGGTGCCTGTGCCTCCCTGCCTCCCGCACCCTCCTTTCCCCTGTGTCGGCGCTTAACTCTCTGTTGGAGATTCACTTGGTTGCGGACCCAGACCTTCGCTGACCCTCCCAGATTCCCTGGACCGAATCATTGACTGCGCTGCCCTCCCCAGCTGGTGATCATTTTTACACGCTTCTGCGATTCCAATGCACCAGAGTTGTATTTCATCACCCTCCAAGCTTTCGGCCTCTGGCTGCTGGTGCTGTCGCGTGGCAGACCAGGGGCCATTTGTCCCCAACTGGCTGTCCAAGGTTCCCTCCCCAGCTCCCTCTAGCTCCTCCTCTGCGCTCCAACCTGCTGGTTCACAAATTCTCCGGTGGCCTGGATATCCCGTCCGGACATGGGGCTATGGATGGAACAAGACTTGTCAAGTGGATCATCTGGCTTTTTGCAGAATCTCGCATACCCTCGAACTCCCCATCTTCAGCTCTTCCTACCACTCACATCTCGCCCTCGACGCGCTGCTCCTCCTGAAACCACCGCCCCTCTGCCACTGACTCTAGCATCAACAATCTTTGCACCCCTGGCCCAGCTTGCAGGCTAGGCGCGGCGCGAGTCTTGATCTCTAGAATCTCTCTGTGTCCCTCACACGCACGCGCACAGACAAACACATACAACACACATACACACACACATACACACACCTGGCTACCACATCCATCTTCTCCCCTCTCCCCCATTGTGGTATCCTAATCCAACAGAGGTATAGCTAGCATCGTGGGCCTAACAATGCATGATTGATCGAATCAGATGCTACACCTGGATATTCTGATATGCCATACGCCAACACTTAACATCAGGCCTCCACCAACAAACCAGGTACCATTCCGGCCCTCTCGACTTTTTCTCCCCTCCATTGCTTGGGACCCTCTTCCTTCATCGACATAGTTTTGGGATCTCTGGATTTCTTCCAATTACTATCCAACACGTCCCTTTGCCAGTGGTATCATTGCTCACTGAATTTGACCATGTGCTTTGCCGGGTTTGCTTATCCATGACCGGGCGCAATTGTGTCTCCTCCATCCGCACGCCTCTATACAACCGTCTCCCTCCATCCTGAACATCCCTGTGCCAACCCGCGGTGCCGCACGCGACCGTTTAGGCGGCCGCAACAATAGCCGTGCGACGCTTTGCGGCCTCTACCAAACATTGGGCATTCTAGCAGCGCTTGACAGTAGTCTGCCTCGTCCGTCTTTTTTGCCCTCCATTTGCGCTTCATACTCCGCCACACGCTGCTTCCCTTGTCCTGTCGGTGCAGATCGAGCTCGCAATCGTGGCCGACTGTGCCGCAGGCCGTTAAGGTTAACAGAGAAAGATGATGGCTGTGAGAGCGCCTCTGGGGTTTAGTCCTTCGACAAACCCGTTGTTCTCCCCATTTTCGCCCTTTACAGACCATCCGGACTCGCCTCGACCTCGGGCAGCCGCAAACTCTGGTCTCCCCATGTAGGATTTGTCCAGTTTGAAAAAGCATGAACGAAATGGATCTGACTTTTCGGCAGGTCTGCTACTGCTTCTGCTGAGAAGAACAATATCAACACTGATAATCAGCTCAAACCTCCACCCGCCAACTATATCATTTCGCCCCAAGATCCCGTGGCACCTTCGCCGGTTGCCTCGGACGTGACCAACTTTGAGGACGTCGACGAAGAAGTGGAAGAGGAGGTTACAGAACGAGGCTCAGTGGCCGCCGCCGGTCCTGTAGCATTCAATGAGGCCCAGCGACCACCAGTCACTTCTCCGTTGAGGGAGGGTCTGCAACACATTGCAACTCCACTACGGGTATGCCTAGTGAACAGCGATCCCAGATATAGCCCGTGGGTTGATGATAGGTCTAGGTCGAGACAGGTCCTACCCTGGACGAACAGTTCCGCGCAAGACTGGAAGAGGAGAAGGAGCCTCAGTCTGTGATCCATATACCAACAGGCTTTGGCAAATTTGTATGTCCGATACCTTGCGGGAGTGCTCGCGTTTTCCGCGGCATTGACTGACGTTTGTTCAGCCGAACCAAGAGGCATCTCAATCTTACTCCGAGAAGGAGCAGACCCAGCCACCGGAAGCCAAAGCTGAAGAACCTCAAGCCACAGAGACCAAGGACATTGAAAGATCGAGGGCAGATTCCACTGATTCAAAGGCTTCTGGATCTACCGTCACAAAACCGCCGGGCGCCAAACCAAGTGCTAAAGTGAGCGATAGGCGCGCGCTGTGCTGTGTCTCGAGTGCTCACCGATTTCTCTAGGCCCATGAGGCTCCAATGCCTCCGACTCCGCTGCAAACCTCTCTTCCTGCACTCCCTCTTCATGACTGGTCTCGCACTCCTAGAGCACAGACAAGACAAGACCTCAGTTCCTTGAGTCGTCCTGGCTCGAGTCTTGCCAGTAAGGACAATAATTCCCTCGCTCCGTCAATTGTGACTGACGATTTTGCAGGCATTCTCGAGGGCGATGACACTGACCACCCCAGCACCGATGAAACCGGAGATGAAAGTCACCTCGGCCAGCGGTTTTTACGTGACGCCGAAGCCGAAATCAATGCCCTCCGCAATGCCTTGTCGGAATGCTGGACCCTGTGTAACACTCTCGCCAGCTTGAGCCATATCCACCGTGAGAGAATCTTCAACTTCTCCGGCCGCGGCGATATGCAAGAGCAAGCATGGAAATCCTGCTGGAAACTATGCCAGAACCTCTACGACACCAGAGACAATAACTTGTCGCAAACCTTTTCTCACAACTCGTCTCGACCGACCTTGGATCTGTGTCGTGACTTCTGCCAGGCGCTGTTTGAGGTCCGCGTGCGCGACAACGAGACGGCCGACTCGGTGCTTCGCGTCAGCTTCGAATTGAACAATCATTTGTTCAATACCCATGATCGCAGTCTGCCCGAGGCTTTTCGGGAGAGGACGTTGGATTTCTACATCACTCTATGCCACCGTCTGATGAAACAGAAGTCTAAGCTGGCTGACGAGACGGATTCCTTACTCCGTGCTTGTTGGTCTTTGGCGGAAATGCTGTTCAGTCTAAGACAAAACAGACGAGAAGGGAAAAGACCCGATGAAGAGCTTCTCGGTTCAGCCATTCAAGCATGCTGGGAGCTGTGCGACCTGTTCAGAGAGGGCTGGACGCAAATTCGTCCTGAGCGAGGCACCCCACGACCAAGCCAGACGACCTTCACCCAGGCATTCAACCAAGCCAAACGATCCGGGTTTGCCCCGTTGGATGAGAATGGCAACCCCAGAGCACTGCCTGAGACGCCCACCACTATTTTCGAGGACACAATCACCACCATCTCCCCTGATGAAGCTCCTGTTCCAAACATTCTCGTCCTCGGAGCCGAAGAAGCATCCAGGATGTCTTCTGCTTCTTCAACCTCATCGACCCCTGCCCCTAATCAAAGTAGAACACTGTCACCTAATCCTCCTACTCAGCCACGTAATACACATTCTGCAATTCCAGGAACAACCTCAGCAACTAGTCACCGATGGTCAACGACCTCGTCCGTTCTTTCCCTTCCTGCATCCGCGGTTTCAGAAGGAGGCCCAAATCCCATGTCTGCCACCACGGCGTCGACTGTTCGTACACCAGCCGAGGATCCCACTCTCATACTTCTCAAAACGTTGTTTGTGAAAGCTGCCCTAGCCACCGGTCGAGGATACACGCGGGCCTCGGCGGATCCTAACTTGAACTCTCTACCAAACTTCTCGAGAAACTTGCCCGATACTGCGTTTGGCACAATGGCGTGGCAAGTTTCACTATTAGATAATTACCGCAAGACCATTGCAAACGACACTACATTTCGCAACCTGGGCGTTGCCGGAACCATCGCTGAACAGGGACGGGTAAATGCAGTCGAACTGGCGCGAGCGGTGCGAGGCATGACAAGCTGTGTCTATGGCTTTGGGTGGCTCCGAGATTTGTACCGCTTCGTGTTCGGATATTATATTGAGGAGGCCCTCAAGGGCAGCAGCTCTCATACCGGAGGAGGTCGTAGGGCAGGTCGACACAGCGGCCCCGCGGCGAGCCTTACGGCTGCTGTCATGACTAACACAACCTCACCGGCGGTTGGAGTCCCTTCTACGGCAGGTAACAACGGACCGGCAAAGGTTGGGGGAAATGGGAACGGGAACGCACTCGCTCACGGGAGGAGGCCAGTGAGTCAATGATCGAGACGGAATGGGTCTGGCTAAAAAGCACTGGCTTTTTCGACCTTATGTCCGAGATGCGCGTCTATCAAGCCATGCGGTCCAGTGACTGACTGGTTACCTTGCTCTCAGCAGGGACATGTCCTTGCGATCGTCGATGTCTTTTCTTCATGCATAACGAGCATCGGCGTTGAGGGTCTACTATATTGTTTCTCGAATGTCATATTGTGGGCTCCAGGACACCCATATCATGTTGCCCGGGCCAGAGTCTAGGCCGGCGGTATCTAAGGAAAAAAGTATCATAATAAGTGAAATCACATGCATGCCATATGGATATAGCAGACCGTCCCGCGAACCTCGCATGTGGCCGGGTATGTGCCTAGAACAAGCTATTCGGGGTGCGCTGTAGATCTTCCCTCAGTCCTTCACTAGCTGATGAACCCAACGGTAGCCCAGAGGGCCCAAAAGAGGTGATCGACTAACCTGTCCTCCGGAAACCAGTCCCTCAGCTTTAACACCCTTGAAGACGTTAACTAGCAAACACGAGGCACACCTGCCGAGTACACCCAGAAACCTCGGCCATGAGAAGGTGACGCTTGCAATCAGCACTGGGCAGCTCTTCGTTCGGCAACTTGAGGACTGGGTTTCGAATATCGAATCATCGATAGCATGAATACACCTCCAGCGTTCGCTGTCCAACACCGTTGCTGTCAGAGTGAAGGAGCCAAGGTTTTCTGCTGCTGGAGGAACCCAAGTCGGGCCGAGCGCTACGAAGTCACGCCTTCATCACTTATATTGTTGTAGACATCTACTGAAGAAAGGGAACACTAGAAAGCGCCTGCGAAGCAGCTATTGGGACTTCGAGATAATCATCAAACCCTTCCTCCTTACAGCACAAATAAGACATGCCGGCTATTCCACCGCAGCAAGCGCTGGGGTCTGATTAACGCAGCCCAAAACCTCGACTACAGTGCAACGGAAGAACTGCTCAGAGCTGGACTACGCACAATGGCAGATCTCGACTTTCTCTTCCTGGTGGAAACGCCGGGAATGTATTATCAAGCCAGCAACGCTCATTGCAGCATCAGTTCACAGGCACGCTCTCACGCTGCCATGGCCCACCATCGGAAGAAACATCGAGCGATACAAGCCAAGCCCTTTCAGCTCGGAGGAGGCCGTCTGGCAGGCCGTTTACTCATGCCGAAGCCCTTGGTGAGCAGCGAGCGCAAGGAAGAGCAGCGCGGTTCCAAAGAGGCTGTCCCAAGATGTGATTTCGACACTGAACAAGTCGAAAGACAATTAACACCGCTGAGCCATCCAGTCGATGTTCTTCCAGGAGTGCCACACCGAAACTCTTCTGGGTTTTCCGCTGCGGCTGCATTCTGTGAGTTTGGGGGAAATTGCGCAAGAACCTCTAAAGAAAGCTATAGCGTATGATGATTACCTTAGCTGACAATGGTGTGCGACTCTGCCCAGACAGTACTGTCAAGCCACATCTGGTCCATGCACCTGTGTTTCATATCTTTGACGTCACCAATACATTTGGCAAGGTTAGTTCTGGTATCCCCTGTTGTTTGGCAGTTCCTGTCGATGATACCAGGGACCCCTGTGAGGAAAGAAGGAGGGGACATGGGAGAAGGAACGGCGGCACAAAACACCCTTGCAGTGGGCGATGTAAATTGCAAAAGAGGTCCACAGCTTTGGTCATATATATATATCCAGCTGACCCCAGAATCACCACAGAGCTACTACGACCTTATGACCCACGAAGTGGCCCTGCACGCCGGCGTGGCAGTGGTAAACATGGTCCGCGATGTTTTCCGGTCAGATTTCCACAGAACTGGTCCTTCTGCGCAGGTGCTCCGCCTGATCCAGGTCGCCATCTCAAAGTTGCGCCAACATATCACGGCGGAGCCTGTTGTTAACGACGACGGGGCGATTATCGCGGTGTTGTTCTTGGGCCATATGGCTGTAAGTTCTATTTCTTGGTCCCCCATTTGTCATGGCCTGACTGGCCCTTTCTAACATTTCGTCGGCGCTGCGCGGTGGGTTTGTGCTAACGAAGACGGATGAGCCAGAGTGGGTTCGGCGACTTAGAAGCCTTCCGAATGCATCGGCGCGGCATCAAGACCATGATAGAGTCCAGAGGCGGGCTGGACGCTCTTGGGTTAGATGGGATGTTGAAGTGTTCTGTATTGCAGTATGTCCGTGTTTCGTACCTCCAATATCCGCACTCGCTTTCTCCCCCTTTTCCTCATTTCAAACGATCCGTCAAAAACCGATGCTTGAACTTCGTACCGTTGACAATATCATCCGTGGGGTCTTTCCAGGTTTGAGTCGTGGTGGACGCATATATATCGCGACATCTCCGTGTTCGCGTCCTCCAAACCCTCTTACAACCCGGTATACCTCGTCGCACCGTACTCCGCGGAGACATTATTCCTCCTCTCCAGCCTCCCGCCAGGATTCCGTCGTCTGGCGAAACAGGGAAAACTCGCCACGGACATACTTACCGTCCTGTCCAACATCGCCTCCTATGAGGACGCCATCATCCTCCAAGAAGCGAACAACAACCACCCCGGCGGCGGCGGTGGTTGCGGGCTTGGGATTACGCGGCAGGGTGAATTCGTAGCCTCTCTCCTGGAGCGCAAACGCCACGCAGACTTCTGCGACGCCTGCACCTGCCTGCTCGTCCAGGGGCCAAATTTTGAAAAGTACCTCGTGCTCGCGCTGATATGCTATGTTAGCATCGCCTTCTCGCCGCCGAGGGAGGCCCGGTGTTATCTGTCCGCGAGCCACACGGCGTTTCGCACGCCCCGGCTCCTCCTCACGCAAGAACTTCCGGATTTTCGAGTGAACGAAGAAAACGATCAGAGAGAGCCGAGCACTGACGATCCCGACGAGACGGAGGAGGGCGAGAGCGAAAGCGAGACGGGCGGCGCGGAAACAAAAAACTGTCTAGTCTGGATATGGCTCGTCCTGATCGCGAGCTGGCGCGCCACAGCCACCACGGCCACGGCCACAACCACAACGAGATCCGACGACAGCGGCGACTGTGAAAACGCAAGAATCCTCGAGCGCGCGTTCCAAGACAGGTTTCCACAATACTACCGCTGCAGGGGCGACTGGGCGCGCTTGGACCGTGTCTTGGGACGGTTCTTTTGCACGGAGGCGCTGAAGGGTGAGATGAAGCGGTCGTGGATGGCGCTTGCAAAAGAGGAATGATGATGACCTCCGGATGACGTTCTGGTCGGCGCGAGGCACAGGACGATGGAGAGGAAAGAGGGGGGGAGAGAGACGAAGTCGTGAGTTGGGTTATATCTCTCTTATTTATTTCCTAAACGGCTCAAGCGCAGCCGCCGAGGATGAGCGAGAGGTTACGCGATAGCTTCATCTCGTTCTGGTATATGACGGGAGCAAAGTAGTTGAGCATATTTGAACCAGAAAATTGTTGTCCGGCCTGGATGGAGATTGGTCAGAAGAAGCCGGCGCAGATTCTGCGTCTTGTCGACGGAGAAGAGCTCGCGTATCTTGAAGGGTCCGCCCTTTTGCTCCTCCTCGACGACACTGCGGATGTCAAGCACCAGCCGGGTAACCTGTTCATCGTCTTCGTGTTTGCCTAGCAGCGCCGCGATGGTGGAGCGCGCTTCCTCGTATCGGTCATGTTGGACGAGCCAACGAGGCGTCTCGGGAAGCCCGATGACCTGCAACACGAGGAAGATGGCAAACATGGCCTGGAACGCCAGCGGGAAGCGCCATTGGATGCTCGAATCGGTGAAGCTCAGGCCATAGTCTAGCCAGTATGCGATCACCACACCCAAGATGGTGACTGTGCCTTGTAGCGTATTGAGCAGGCCTCGATGCGAAGCGGGCGAGCATTCGGACAGAAAAACCGGGGCGGTCGAGCTGTTCATGCCGTTTCCCACGCCGGTCACTATACGGCCTACGATGAGTTGTGCGATGGTGATCGAGGAGGCGAGGATCGCGGTGCCAACAATCATGATGGAACCTCCCATTATCAACAGGGTGCGTCGTCCCAATCGCTCCCCGATAAAGTAGGTAATCAGAGAGCCCACGACGCAGCCGACTAAATCGAGGACGAAAAGAGAAACTCTGATCAGCCTGCTTGCCAGTCTATTGTACCCGTGCTAGGACTGACGAGTGACAAAGAATCGAAAAGGGATCTTACTGTCATAGAGCGCTGTGATGTTTTCCTACATATCAGCGTCGGGATGGTTGAAGTCGACACCGAACTTGTTGTTCGCACCCGACGCCTGGTTTGGAGATAACTGTTAGAGTCTGGGCCGTTTTTGAGGGATTCCTGTCTACAAAAAGAAGCATCCCACATAGACAGACACACATACCTTGGTCATATCCCAGGAGCAGGAATGCCTGACATGAAGCAGCCGTCACAGCGAAGACCAAAGTCTTGCCTGTAAAGCCATGCTTCCATAAACGCATGATGAAGATAGTCGACAAGCCGAGCAACTGTTTCAGGCTCTGCTCTTGTGGACTTGCTGATGGGTCAGAAGATGGCAGACCGGTCTTGCTCCTCCTAGAGAAAGTCGGGGGCTTCCAGAATCATGTATGAAAATCCAAATTAGCCTTCTTTTTATTCCAAACACCCAAAACCCCCAAACTCCGAGACGCATATCCCACTGTAGTCAGTCTTCCTGGAATCTCCAAAACGGGGGGGTTTTGCGGTCCTGGGGACGAGATCGGGGTAATTCATACATACTCCGTACGGAGTAGAGTACAGGTGACCCGTCTGTCTGGCTATCTGTCCGTCTGTCTGGAACATAACAAATTCGAAGTGCGCAACGTCGATCACCCGGCGGGCGTTATTGTGAAAAGTCCTGGAGCAATCTCGCTGGAAAGTTCGAGCGAGATACATCGAGGAGAGGACCCACGCGGATACCTATCTCGTCGTGTGGCATGGTTTCGGTGGAATGGGCCCATGTTGAAGGATTGGGTGATCGACAGAGAGGAATCCTAGGAGAGAAAATCGGGACGGGATGAAAAAATACCTGTATGTGCATCCTTTGCCTCTGCCGACGTCTTCTGAATGTGGGAATAGAAAGAAAAATATCCCGCTCGGTCCACCTCGTGCCGATAGCCGTTGTACATACTCGCTTCCTATGTATATATCTTGATGACTCGCAAATGAACGAAAAACTTAACTTCCATATTAGTTTAAGAGTGAATAGTTCATCAAAGTGATCAATGAAAACATGCTAAACGGCGCACTTTCCGAGGGACGAAAGGTCGTTAGTAACTTGATCGATTGGATACAGGAGAGAAATCTATCTATGTAGTGACAGAAGACCTTTTGATGGAGCGACTTCTGCAGTGCCAAGAGATGCGTGCAAACAGCGCAAACAACGCAAACAGTAAACGTGGTCGGGTAACCTACCCTCTAGGGTGAGGCTTTGTCTAACACACTCTCCAGAGCCGGGGTCTCAATCGCTCACAGGCTGGGGCCGAACCTGAGAAGCGTTTCGCAATGGACGATGAGATGGATGCTTGAAAAATGGGACGATGAAATGGGTTACCCAGTACTATGATTATGATGATGACGACGATGGTCGGGGTGGTACAAGATATTGCCAATGGTTGCTGAGGTAAGTCGGCATCAGGTGCAAGCACTGAGCGAAATCAATTTGATATGGACAATGCAAGACGCGACAAACGTCTGATTTGTGCTTCGAGGATGCCTACAACAACTACGTGAGATACCACGGGTCCCATCTGCTATTTGTGATTGAATATGAGTTGGCCAGATTGCAGAAGCGCAATGCTTCTCGACGATACCTAGCAGTTCTAAATCTCCGTTGGCACTCACCACAACTGTTGGGATATTGTTCTCGCGCCGGAACGCTGAAGTAGCATCTCCAAGAGCAGAGAACAAGCGCCCTTGGGTTTCGACTGCATCATATCTCTGGGAATACTTCTGTCTGCAACCCGGTATAGCACTGTTGACTGTGAGAGCGCCCTTCGACACCTCTTTGGTGGCATACCCGGCCTCCCCGTTGGTGCCCCCCTCCCTATAGAACGTGCACGTTTCGTAACTTCTTGCAGAGACAATCTAGCTTGCTGATCCGTCTCTTGTCTTTTCGAAAGCCTGATTACTTTAATCGGCATTACCTTGTGGAGGCTTCCAACAACATACTGACAATCTCGGGATGCCTAGATTTTCTTGCTACATCTGGCGGCGAATCGTTTGAAGTCGGTGGCTTCCCTGATGGACGCGCACCATTTTCCAGCAGAAATCGTACCGCTGCGGTATTTCCCATTGTCCATGAACATCACAAAGGCATTCCATTGAAGTGGTAATATCGCTCAGATTGTGGACAGTTTCGAACAAGGCATAGTCGATAGGGGCATCTCTGTCGTGTAGCCTATAGGGTCAATAACGATAGAGTATCTGGATCTTTTGTGTCTCCGAATAACCCTTTAAGCTTAGCACCGTTGAAATCGTCTCGACGGTACATACGAATCCAACGGTGTAAAGTGCAAATAATTCCCAGTAGGTAAAAAGTTAGGGAAACCATTTGGCGCGCTAGATCTGGGCGGCCAAGACCTTTAATTACTAGGGGCAGCCTGGGGGTTGGTGAGGCCTACCGGGTAATTTAGGCCCCCTACCCCCGGTGTGCTAATCAGGGAGCTCTCAGGATGTCCACGTAAAAGCTTAGTTAAAGCCCCAGGTTAGAGTGGCCTTCGCTCACCCTCTAGGATCAAAGCGTATGTGCTATGGCAATCGGTTTTTCCGTCCTGGTGTCATCGGCGTTGTCAGTGCTACCGCACCAACAACCCATCCGTCCTCCTGCAGTTGTTCCTGTGGTCTCAGCTTGCAGCCCGTGGCTCTCGTGGCTCTCGCGATTCTGAGGGTTTTTTTGGTCTGCCACTGCAGATATCGGCGGCTTTGCGTCACTGTTCGACGACATGTCATTCAGCGATGCGTAAGCAATTCGAGCATGCGTGATCTTTCTGGCCATTGCTCTTGCGGACAAGACCTACAAGCAGAGAAGCCATTACATTCGCTTCCAGCATACACGTACGACTCATTGCAGTTTGAGAGGTCGACAAGGTTGTTCCGCCTGCATTCTGTGCAGGATCCTCGCTCGCCAATAGCTGGCTCTCTCAGAGAAGTCGCCCTCCCAACTTCAAGCAGTCATGACAGTCTCGAGCCCCAGCCCCTTCCAGAAAGGGGCCTGCAGTATATTGCCCTTTCTTACACCTGGGCGAGTGAGGCGCGTCCACATATTGTACAATGCGACGGACGCAGGCTTTACATCACCTGCAGTCTGAACTCAGCACTGCGTCGTTTGCGAAATCTTTTGGGCGAAGACTATCCTCTGTTCGCTGATTGTATCTGCATCAACCAATCGACCGACACCAGAGGTCGCCAAGAGCGTGAGAGGCAGGTCAAACTCATGCATCAGATCTTCGCAGGGGCGACTAGAGTCATAGCTGACTTGGGCAAGGAAGCTGATGACTCTGCACGTATCCTGGGCTTATTTGAACAGCTACTTGATGTTCGCAACGCCACCGACACTACAGCTGAGGAGCTGGCGCTAGCCCAGAAACGTGGTCTGCCTCTGTTCAAGAATAAGACTCTCAAGGCCTTGGTGAAGTTTTGCAAAAGAAGGTGGTTCACGCGACTTTGGGTTGTGCAGGAGGTTGCTTTAGCTTCGGACTTCCGATTCCTGGTTGGTGAAACTCTGGTCTCGTTTGAGGTCGTTTATCTGGGCATCCTGACGGCGCAGCGACTGTTGAGCGCTGTGGAAACCTCCAGTCCGTCTCCCTCTGTCGGCCGGATTGCACAGTATCGCGCCTGGCGGACGCTACCCCACCTCCATGGTCCTGCGCAGCGGATTTTCGAAATCCACTCACTCAAACCTCTTCGCAGCTTCGATACTAACTCGCCAGCTCAGCTTCTGGAGATGACGAGACGGTTCCAAGTTACCTGTCAGCAGGATAAGATCTACGCCATACTGGGTATGATGAGACAAAGCTCGGCAGACAAGTTCGCGGTCGACTACTCTGAAGACATACGTGCGCTCTCGCGACGACTCAGTGCATTCGTGATCGAGGAAGGCGGTCTCGATATTGCGCTGAGCCTTCTCGCGTCCTACCAAAGCTCCATGCCAGGTTCATGGATGTATGATTTTGGGAAGCCAGTCCTTTCCGACACTCGCATACGCTGGGCGCCGTCTGACGACCGGGGACGAATTCGGTGCGCCTTCAATGCTTGTGGCGACACGGAACCCACATTCAGGTGGGATCCCAGCGATGACAACGTGCTCTTCACGAGGGGCTGGGCCATGGGAACCATCACTTGCCTCTCCAAACCTCTGCCCGGACCCGAGTCCCTCTTGTGGACCACGGCCTACAGAATGGTGAAGTGGGAAAGCGCATTTCAGAAACTGGCCTGTGCTCACTTCAACGAACGGGCCATTGGCGACGTACAGCGTCAGTACTTGGAAGCCATCGTCGCCGGCGGACGTTTGGGTCGACGTCTTGCTGCAATCAGTGCCGAGCACGATGACATTCGCGGCAGGCTAGATGAGTGCATTCAAGCAGCGCTGTCTATGAAGCCCGCAAACTTGATGAAAAGGCTCATAACATCACCCCGTAATCTTCTTCGTGACATTGCAGCGCTGAAAAGAGACGCGGAATTGTACCTGCGAAATGTGGTCTTCTGGTCCTCGGAACGAAGAGCCTGCATCACCGACCATGGCCATGTTGGTCTGGCCCCGATGGATGCCGTGGTTGGCGATCGGTTTGCGATCTTTGCAGGATGCTCGGAGCCCTTTGTGATCAGGCGGACAGGTGAGCACCACCACAGATTGGTTGGGTCGGCATACCTACATGGTTGGATGGACGGTGAAGCGCCCGGGTCGAAACAATGGCAGGAAGAAGAGTTCGGGCTGCGGTGAATACCGTTGCGCGACACATAACATTGCGTCCGGCTCTTTCTTCACACTGGGCGCTTGATCGATTTCAAACCCTCATGGTGCTGAGGGTGAGCAGTGGGCACAGAGCGGACATCGCCTCTTCCTAACCGGAAGGTGAGCTCGGAGAAGCTTATCCCCATCTTGGCTGGAGTCCACAACGTTCCCGCACATTTCAGAGAGTGAACAGAGATGACCATGACACCATCCTCGTTGCTCCCGCTGTTGGGCATCGATTGGACATCCATCAAACAAGCGGGATTGGCAGAACAGGACCTGAAACAGACGCAACGAGTAGAATAGCAAGGCTGTACTTACTCATGCGACGAGGAGGCTGAACTTGTAAGGAGATCGACGACGACGGCTCGAGCTCGCCAATGTTGAAATCGGCATTCGATAGCGTCAATATCCACATGTTGTTGTTACACGTGGTGATGAGACACACTAGGTCCGAGACAAAGACCGCCGGTGCCTCGACCGCGATTTTCAAGATTTGCACTCCTGCGAATTGCCTGTACAGTACGTTGGATGTAAATGGAGTCCGACGCACGGGATTAGTCGTGTTCATTGACTTTGGCTGGACGTCGAAGGTCGTCAACGACTCAGACTCATTCATGCCAAGGCTTCATAGTCCATGCGAGACGGACAAAAAGAAACAATTGCAAGGACCAGTAAATCTCGCTGCATTCCGTGCTATGCGTAAGGGATGCTCTCTCATTAAGTTGCAAAAATTCTCATAAAAGGGGGTATGATGATGATGATGATGCTGAGGAAGATGGCCCACAATCTGCAGATGCCAACCTTGATTCTCCTTTTTTTTTTGTGTGTGCGTTCTTTCGTGTGCTCCAAGCAACCATCGAATATCATCGAGGGTCACTCATTGCCTCCCAACCAGATCTATTGCTAAAACTCGCTCAAGCTCCCATTCTTCTTCTCCACTCTCACAACTCGGTGTCTCTCACTCATTCTGCATCGCTTTCGCTTCTTCATTGTCGTCCACTGCCCGCTTCGCTCCATATGCATTCTTATCCGTCCAGCTAGTCGGTTGGGGTTACGTCAGAAAGCGGGGTGTAACTTCCTCTCAATCAGATCCTTTTGCAAACCGAGGCGTCTTCCGATCGTAGAGAAAAGCCAAGGAAAGTCGTTTCGTTGTGTAGCGTATTGGAAAGCAAGATTCGATGATCTTCATCAGAAAACGCCGGAGATGAAACCGTCAAATGGGGTTGATCCGTGTGAAATCCTGGAGTCATGTTCGTTCAATTTTTTGCCGCAAGTTTCAAACTGGTCCATGTTCCGATTTACTTTCTCTCGTGGTCGATGATCCCATTTCTCCTGCCTTGCCGATTTTGTCGTGAAAAGTCTTGCGGTGGTTGTTCGTCGTGTGAAGGGTCGTGAACGCCAAAAAGGGGCGTCGATGATTCGATGCATATTGCCGAAAAAAAAGGAATCAAGGCATAGCAGCCTCCGGAGGTATCGTTAACGTGATGGAAAGTTTGATTTGCTGAAAAGGGCTGGGGGAAAACAGAAACAACTGATTGCTGAGGGGACATGGGCATCGGAAAGGACTGTCTGTGTCGATATTGCTCCGATGGGGTTGATGAGGAGTTCCAAAACCAACATGCAAAAGATGAGGAACAAAACAAAGAAACTTGAGCTGCTGTGCAGTGGTGCAGGATGGAATAAGGTTTCGGTGCTCTACGCAACTGCGGCAGCGGGGGCAGCAGTGGTAGAGACCTCGGTGGCATCCGCCGCAGGAGCAGCTGCAGGAGCATCAGCAGGAGTTCCATTCGTCACAGCGACCGCCGAACCATTGGTTTCAGTGGTGGAAGTGCAGTCCTTGCTAATATGACCTGGCTGTCCGCATTTGTAGCAGGTCTTGCCTGCAGCATTCAATGGCCCACCATTTGGAGCCGTGCAGTCGCGAGAGATGTGGCCCTAAATATATATTGTCAATAACACGTCTTAAAACAATCAAAACTAGCCTGGGACCCACCAGTTTGCCACAGGCATAGCATTTCATAGCTTGAGCTTGACAGTCTCGAGCATAGTGGTTAGGTCCACCGCACTTGTAGCACATCGCAGCCCGGTTGTTGGTGACACCGTAGCCCGGGCGGAAGCCACTATAACCTCCGCGGCCACGAGTGGGCGGTCCCATGTTTGGAGTAGGGCAGTTACGAGCCAAGTGACCGATCTGGCCACATGAGTAGCAACGACCCCCGGCAGGACCACCATTGATGCGGAGGGTCGGGCAATCCGCTTGAACATGTCCTAGCCCTTGGCAGTGATAGCATTGTTTTGCTGCGAAGATCGCTCCATCAGTCCAGGGGATCTTGTATACTTGAAGAACCAACACTCACTCTCCGTTGTGCGTGGCATAGGACACTGGTTTGATTCGTGGCCTGGTTGCTTGCAGTTGTAGCACAACCTCTCGGAGGAAGTGCAGACTTCCGCATAATGGCCAACATTGCCACATTTGTAGCAGGCGCGTCGGGAAAGGGACGACATCTCGACTTCTTCTGTTGAAACTTTTCCTCAGTCCCTACAGCGATTGCGTTAGATTCCTTCTCTTATGATTGTTGTGCGCGCGACATTGATTGTCCTGGGGCGCAGGGATATGGTTGGTCGGATTATTTCCATCACCGATAAGAAACAGGCGCGGCGCATCATAAGAAGGGAAGATGAGAGCATACCTGCTCAATTGAAACCGCGTTCGAGTATCCCAAGTCCCGCAACCTGCGGTTTGATGTCAGTCGCTGGAGGATCCAAGATCGCGGATAGGTGCAGAAGGGGGAACCTCCTGGAATTGGGATTCTGGTGCAAGGAGGGGCACCAGTGAGAAGGACAGATTGGAAGGAGATATAACTTGGAAGAGGCGATCACTTACAGATGGCGCAACTTCCCACACGACCTTTCCAACGACTTCCAGCCTCCGTAGAACCGTACGACGACCGATCGACACCAACTGGTGGAAGAGAAAAAAATTGAAGGCGACGAGGGAACTGTCCAGAGTCGCAATCCCAGAATCCACCAGTGCCAAGCCCGCCTGCACAAATGAGGTTTAGCGCCGTTTGAAGCTTGTGGAGACGCCTCGCTAATTACGAGGCAAGACGCGTGGAATGGCTGGACCGCGAAGTTGACGATGCTGGTGAAACTCGGTACCCAGGAAGCACCGACGGTGAATGTGGAAGGATGCCATGAAATGTGCCTACTCAGGTAGGTACCTTGGAGCATGAGCTTCAGTACTATCTCTAACTATATCGTCTTTCCTTTGTCGTCCCAGTTCGCTTGATAACTCCTTTCGCAGTACCCGATTGCTTAACCCTCTTGACATTCTATTCCATCAAGTTCATGACCATGCAGCATTCATCTTCATTGTGTTTGTGTTAGCCTACTCTGATGGGCTCTTTTCAATCACAGCCGGAGCCTTGATCTCTCTTCCCTTCAGGTAGCCGAGGCCCTCGCCGCCCTGTGACGAATATTAGCAACATCCCAAACTTATCAAAACAGAAAGACGGCGACATACATAGCTGATGAGAGGGGACACTTCGACGCCCTTATTATTACCCTCGGACACGACCGTAGCGCCGGCGGCCTCCAGCCACCGAACTCCCTGTTCCATGATGTCTGCCTTGCTGGTATCTGGATTGTCCTCTGCCGAGCCGCGAGCATTCTTCAAGGGTGAAAACTCCTCCTTGCGGTCAACCTCTAAGCAAGCGAACTTGTCCATTGGGACGAATGGGAAGACATCAAAGACAAACTGCTCCAGCTTGATGCCGTTTGGTTTCTCAGGTTTGACGGTCTCACCCGTCTCAGTGTCCATGTAGGGGATCTTCTTCTTAGCAACGTGGTGAGGTAGCTTGTGGCCCCATTCCTCGATAGCTTCAAAGAATCTGAACGAGTAGTAGTGGTTGACAATATTGGCAGCTCGGAGTTTGAGGCGGTCTGAGCTATCCTTGGCTTCAGCCATCTCCTTGTCAATCTCCGAGTACTCGACCACGTCCGGCTTCCCGTTCTTCTCCACGATCAGACCAACTGGCTCGTTAGCAGCTCGCTTCCGCACGACTTTGGTGGCAATGTCAACCTCCTTGGACGCTGCGAAGCCAACGAAGACCGGGTCTGCAACTTTGACCAAACAATTATCCACGCAGTACGCATGGACGTGTTCAATGCCACGTTTCCGCTGGTCCGCACGAGCTCCGGACGACACCAGAGCTTGGTAGATGCCGCCATTACCATCCGGCGCAACGGCAACCTTGGATTTGCTCTCCATGAGAATCTTGCCTTCGTTGGAGATGCACGGAAGCACTCCCTGCTCAAAGATGACGACGTTCTCTTTCTCTAGACCAAAGTAGTTGTGCTCCTGGAAGAATTTCTCGGTAGGTGCTCGAGTAGGGCCGCTGGTCATGACGTACCAAGGGACAACAGGGTCAACTGAAGACCCAGCGTGCTGTTTGGCCAGTTGCTGCACCTTCCAGATTCGCTCTGCCTGCATCTGAAACAATGACTTCTTGCTTGGAAGGCCAATGTCAAAGCACCCCTTGGGATCAGAGCTGCCCAATCTCGTCCCTTGTCCACCAGCCATCAGCACTACGGCCACCTTGTTCTGTGCAATAAGAGAAAGCCCAGCTTTGTACCATTCTTCTTTCTGCGCGTCTGACGCATCGAGGAGGGAGGCGGTGGCGGACTCGGGGAGAGGATTGATGGAAGGTTGCTGCTGGCCCGACTGTTGGGGAGGGTGCAGGGCCTTGTCTGCGAGTACATTGATGCGGTCGGGATCAAAGATGGAGAGCTGTTCAAATAAAGCAGCTTTCCCTTCAGTGTCAAGGTCATCGTAGAAAGCAAAGACATGTTCTTGGTTTGCCTTCTCATATTTCTGGCGCAGGGCCTTCAACTGCTCTTCATCGGGCTCCTGGGCAGGTGCACCATGATCCTTGGAGGTCAGGTGGAGCTTCTCGAGGAGAGTATTTACCATGTGCGCAGCCATTGTGAGTCGGCGTTCACAAGGAATTAGGTATGTGGTGCAGGGGAATTGGCAGAAGGGGGGGGGGTAGACAAGAAATATGCCGCCTTTGGAGGACAAAGACGGGTTGCTCACCCTTTCAGAAGAAGCAGTTTCCAAATGGGGCCAACAAGATCAGCTTTGGTTCAGCTGGCTCAGCTGGCGGATTGTGGGAAGGGAGGGATGTCAAGGATGTCTAGCGCGGTAAGACAACAAATGTCGGGCAGAGTTTCCAAAACATCTCCGCATCCCTCGCCGCTCCAAATCATTGCAGCCTCGTGGTGACGTATGACAAGAGAGTCCATAATCCCTGAGCCCGTATTGCCCGTACTATTATGCAGCGAGCAGGTCACCAGAGCCCAAATTATCGGCCAGGTACATCGGCCAGATATAATTTTACGCTACATAGCTGATGTTACCTTCGATGACAATCTGGAAGAAACTAAGTTGTAGTTGTTGTACAGCACCTCAGCGGTCTCTCTCCCTCCATGGGCCTGATCGATATGACTGCCCTTTCCGTCCTCTCTCTCGGTCTCCGCCTCTCTCTCTATCTCGATCTCGGTCTCGATATTGATCTCTTTCCCTGCGATCTCTGCGACCGTGTCTGTCCTGATCTCGAGGTCGGTGCTCATCCCGTCTTGATTCCTTCCTGTCATACTGTGGGCTTCTGCTTCGAGACCTTCGAGGTCCCTCCTCTCGCCGGGACTCTTTGTTCCGGCGGATGTCGTCTTTATCAAAGATCATTCTGTATTTCCCGCCATTCTGCCCACGGTCGTCGTCTTCTCGGTAATGCCGTTTCTTCTCGAGGCTGGCGATCCCACCGAAACCTCCGGATTGCCTTGCCCTCTTCGAGTTCGTTGCGTCTCTCCAGGTATCGGATAGTTTAGAGACACTCTGTGAAAAGTCGACGTGGATACGATGGTCGTCAATGAGCACACCTTGCATCTTGAAGTACGCTTGCTCACAGTCTTTTTGATTCTCGAATTCAATGAAGGCATACTGCAGGCTGTCACCGGTGCGTTTATCTCGGATGACCTCACATGAAAGGATTTTGCCAAAACGGCTGAAGATCAACTCGAGATCTTCATCGTTCGTGACGGGGTTCAGTTTGCATACAAAAAGAACATTTTCTGGAGGCTTCACCTCGGCAAAAGGGAGGTCACCAACCATCTCGAGAGTCAGAGCCTGTGCTCGTGCCTCTCGTTCTCTTCGTAGCTTCTCCATAGCCGCTTCGTCGACTTCTTCGTCCAACTCTTCGTCATCCGCGATCATAACAGTGGCCAGTTGCGCCTTTGTCGGTGGAGGACTTGAATCAGGCACAAGCAGGCCCGGCGGATCATCGTACGGATCATCCAATATGATGGTATGCCGAATCCGGATGTCCTTCAGGGGTCTACCGTTGCCGTCAGTGAAGGCACTGTTAATCTTTTCCAGAGTATCGAAGCCTTCGACTACCATGCCAAAGGGGGCGGCTTTTCCGTCCAAGTAGTCAATATTGTCACCGAGAGTAATAAGGAATTGGCTGCCAGCGAGTCGCTGATCAGGGTCGTTGGGCGAGGGCACCGTCGCCATACTGACTGTCCCACGCTGGGAATGTTTCAGCTTTGGGTCGATATCGGCTATGAAACTCTTCTTCGAAGGGCCTGATAGCAAGCCCCAGACAGAGCTGCCTCCATCGCTTTCGGGTGAGTCTGGGCCGAGTGGATCTCCGGTCTGACAGCTAAAGCCTTTCTGGACGCTGTGAAACGGGGCAAAGTTGTAATACTTGATTTTGCAAAGTTTCAAAAAGCTGAAATAACCAGTCAGTGCATCGACAGAATTAGAATCGCATGATCGAGACTTACTTCTCGCAGCATTTTGGAGCGTTTTCAACCAAGAGATCGATGACAATCTCGCCTAGAGACGTCTCTAGTATCACACTCATGGCGAGGGCTGCAGAGATAATCTGTCTGGGTGGACTTGCAGAATTTCACTGTAATTGGGCATGCATACGATCCCTGGGGCGTCAGTTATGAGTGAAACAAGAGGATTATTGCGTGGTTTTGATGTGTGATGATGCCGTAGCAATATTGATTCACAAGGAAGGTGGCTGCTCAGCAGCTGGGAATGATGCACTCGGTTGCTGCTCTGTATCGAATATCAGAAAAGAAAACTTGAAATGACCGTCATTTTCATGTCATTTGAAAGCCACTGCCAAGACGGCTCCTTGCGCCTGCAGCTCATTTGGGGCTGTCGAGGCTGTTTACCACTTCGTAACCATCCTCGCGATCTCCTTCTCCTTCTCCATCCCCATTTCGTCCAGCTGGCAGCTTCTTCTTCCTGCTGGGCCCGGACTCCCTCTCCGCGTGTCCTACTCATCAAACACGCACTGCTGGGACCTGCAAGAATCGGTCGTGTTAGACGAACTGAACTGAGGCCATCAGTACCCACGCTTCCGCTTTTTTACGCAATGTTCCCACCATGATTCTGGGGTTCAGCGAGCTAGACTCCTAGGACTGGTGTACATTGTCCCTCTCGAAGACTTACGGGGCACCTGTCCGACTATGTCTTATCATTCGTCAGCAGGATTGGGCAGACCATGTTCGTTCGACCGCTCTGTCTCCTGACAGGTCAATGCAAGATTTTTATCAACGAGGAAGTACTCTGTACTCAAGCTTTGGTTATGCAACTACCCATCCCCTCTGTTATTCTTTGCACAGTTATACAAAAATCCCCCGATTCTGTCACGAACCGTCTTCTTTCTCGGCTTCCACCCGCTTCGATGACAGGTCCAGCCGTCCTGCCCTGGTCTGGCTATAACCCTCCTTTCTCCTGTAACCAGCATTGCTCTGCACCACATGAGCCTGCAAGGAGGGAGGCTGAGATCCCATCCTGGCTCTTTTCCAAATGTCAGGCGAGGAGGATTACTCTCATGCATCTACGAATAATCCGTCAAACCGGGTGACGCTGGTTTTTCACGGCTTGTCTGCCCGAGATAGGCGATGCTCTTTGCAGTGACTACACAGTGATGTCCAATAATAACAGCTGCTGCTGCTTACTGACACCCTTTGGGCAAATTGAGGCTGGTAGTATTCGGGGGTTGCCTTCAGCACCGCTTCCTGTCGTGCGCACACCCAATTGAGGGATCTTCCTGGTAGCCTCTCACAAAGGTGTGGCGTCTGTTCTGGCCTTGTTGAGGCTTCATCCTGGTATCGATGCGCCTTTGTGTCACCGAGAGACACCTGAAACTCACTCTCTGATTTGTCAAATCCTCTACACGTTGGGCTTCTGAAGAGAGAGGTCAACCTTGCGACATCTTGTGCTACCAAAACACCCTGTGATGTTCCGCAGGCTTTTTGCAGCTCTCGTCCAGGGGCTGGAATTGGACACAGGATTCAATCCGACTCAGGAGACCTCATCCTAGTGACATACACCACTGCTACCCTCTATCATGTGCATCAACCTTGTTGCAAGCTTAGTGCATGAAAATATCCCGCACAGTTCCGGATCCTTTATGTCAAACTAGGATACACCCATTGGGTGGCTCTACGACAAGCTTTATTTGTTCCTATATGAACCGTCCACGATCAAGCACACCGTTGACCTCTGGGTGACAAGGCTGTGCAGTCAAAAGCCAATTTTCGTCGATACAACAGAATTTGGAAGTTTTGCGCAAAAGAATCGGCCCCCGCTAATCACAGCCCAATTCTCAAACGACGTTATCAGCTGTGAGTTTGCTCAAATGTGGATGATGCATATGCCACGTTCTCTGCAAGGGCTTGCAGCCAATCAGGTCGGAAGCCTTCTGGTAGCAAACAGAATCTACTCTTTGCCTCTGGTTGGGCCTAATACTAACAGCAACAATGATTTACATGCCACCCTTTGCAGAGCATGTCCGTTGGAAGGTGCGTAACCCATATCCCTTCAGGTGTGGCTCAAAGAGACTGCAGGCTTGTCTTGTTTCCCCACATGGAACCTGTCGACGCTAGATCTAGCACCAATGCTACTTGCACTCATTGCTCAAGTCCAGTTTGCAGGTTGGCCTCTGAAGCACCGTCGTATTTTGATTGGTCTTGTGCGTCCGATTTGTTTCACAGCTGATATGGCAGGCGCTCCCTCGGCTGGCTGATGACTGGTCAGGCCATCTCATGCCCGTTGAATCAGGTTGTTGCTGTGGACCAAGCACCATCGTCACACGGTCGGACGCCTGCAGCAAGGCCGTTACAAGAAAATCTTAGATCAGGTTTCAAAGGCCAACTCCGAAAGCGTGACTTGATCTAGGCGTGAATTGAACGAACGCAAAGCTTTTCAGTTCGACGTCGATCATGATATGACATGCCTCCTCGATCTGGTTCCCGCAGCTATTGAGGCTTACCCATCTTTTTTCCTATTGGAGTATGTCCTTGAAAATGTCACTATCAACCTGATCCTGGCACTCTTTCTGTTCCTCTGCAGGATCTCATATCTCAGATCTAACTCTGAGCTCCTCAAAGGTCTAGAACCGTTATTAGATAGCTTGCTTCAGAACCGGCCCTGGATCTACTCGCTATTTTCAATACCGCGAACTTTCATGTTCGAGGAGGCCTTGTTTGCTTGTATCGCTGCAGTTTTAGAAGGACATCATGGTAGGGAAAATCCCCGGATATTGCGAATCTTGCCACTGACAGATGACGAGATCTCAACACGATCAATTTACCCGGACTTTGAGTTCTTTAGGCGCAATGAAAGAGGACCTCATATGCCGCTGAGCCAAAGCGCTCACATCCATGATCAATACGAGACTAGAAGTCATCTAAGCAGCCGCACAACGCCCACATCCGAGCCAGAAAGCAGAGCGACCAGCGGCTCAAGAAAGCGTGTACCTGTTGCTGTATGTATTTAAAGATCCGCGCAATTATACTCGGAATATCTCTTGCTCACATTGTGTAGTGTGAACGATGCCGGAAACGCAAAATCAAATGCAGTGGCAACGAAGGTGACAGTCAGGCGTGCGCAAACTGCAAAAACTCGGGTCTGGAGGACTCATGTCGCTTTCTGCGGGTGAGCTTCTTTCAATTCAGACATGCATGACCGTCTAACAGGATTCAGGTCTCTTCAGTAGATCCTAGCCAATACGGTCTTCGAGGATGGCATGGGCCTCCGCGATATTCCCCATACTCGCTTCCCACGCACCACCACCGTCTCAATTATCTGGCTGTGCCGTCAAGGTGCAGCCCACAGAACACTCTGCAATATCACCCTGTCCCTAACGGCATCGACTATGGTGGATACACTAATCAGAGCCCAAGTGTTGATTGGGGAAGAGCACAATATGTCGCAGCGTACTCGCCATACCCAGACGACGAAGAAACAAGTCCTTACACCTCCCAGCCGCCCCCATACATTCTACCAAACACAGATCCGATGTCTACAAACAACGCTTACTATGCGCATAGTCATGGGGTTCGACCAAATCCTACTTCACTTTGGCCAGATGCCCAGCAATTTGTACCTCAGCTGAATTCTCAGGTGACCAGCTCGTCCTATACGCTGCCCATTGAAGCTCCCCATTCATTCCAGACAATCGGAACCGCTGGCAACCTCCCATCGGACCGTATATTACCACATCCCATCAATGCACGCTATGTTTCAACACCGGCCAGTTCAGTTGACCTACCGATCTCTGCGGTAAGCCAACGCAGCCAAGGCTATTGGCATGAGGATAGTGGCACACCTGTTCAGCAAAACCCGTCTCAAGTGGAATCAAATGGAGGCCAAGAGCAACACAGCACGCGAGACAATGTCTCTTACAGAGTCCAGGACATGACATACGGCCAGATGAGTGTAGGTGAGGTACTCTCTGCGACCTCGGTGACATCTGGCAACCCGCTTGCCGTCAACGAGTCGCAACCTCCAGCAACAACGGCTCCAACGGAAGGTACTCTTTCGCAACACTCAACATTGGGTGCGGTCTCTCACCAGAGTCTCAAATCCACTGTCGAGGACCATGCTGTGACATACGGGTACAAAAGCTCAGTAAATGGGCACCGCTCACAGCCGGTAAGAACTTCAAGCCAGGCATTCACTGGGCCATTCTACGAGCGAGTCATGGTTCCACAGCGAGAGCCTGGCTCGGATGATTGCAGTCCAGACTGTTCCAGCTGTCAGACAACTGAATCGACTCGGACATCGGTCGCCTCGATCAGCAACACCTCGTCAACATATTGAAAGCACCTTGATCCTGTGATACCATATCTACACTTCCTGACAAGCGTCAACGTCTTCGTTTTAATGTGTCTGTACTATTTTCAAAACCACCTGCTCGGCCGACGTATCTGCGTTTGAAATCTGATTTTCTGTGTACGTTGATGTCGCACAAACCACATAACTCTAATCAACAGGACATTTTTCTTACGCGGCAAACGGAGCATCGGACTGCACCCACAAGAAGGGAAATTTTGGGACAACTTTTTCGGGACTTATCATGCCGGCGAAGAATAATATCATGTCCATGTTTTTCTTTGGCTTTTATCCAATTGCGTGAAGCGGAAAAGGAATGATGGTGGGACGAGGGACGAAAAATCCTTTGTGGGAAGGAGGTCAGGATTGTCAATGCACTTCGCAAATGTGCCGGCTGGCTGGCGGTCTCGCCACATACGAACGATGAATGAAGGGGTGGAGGGAATAAAAAAGTATGCATCTCACGAGAAGGGGTTTGAGTATCAGTGTGCTCTCCGGATGTGTACGCCATGCCCTGGGTGGTCTTTGTGTATGCCTTCTGCTTTGAGAGGAGGAATGTTCCGGCCCAAAACAGGGTTTGTTCGTTTGTTCGTCCAGACAGACAGACGAGACCACGACGAAGGATCAGAGCGCGAGCCGTGTACCACCACCACCACCAGCGACCCACCTTCCCTCACCTCGACGAAGGCGAAACGCCCGGGCCGTCGCGATGTGGTTCGATGTAGGATGAACCGAACCGACTTCCTTAGGTAGTTAGCACCCTGGGCGTTGCAATTTTTCTGTAGCATTAGCTGGAAATCAAAAGTACACGTTTTATCATCTCATTCCCATTCCCGTTCCCATTCGAATCAACAGCCTACCCGGGACTTTGTTTGGGTTGGGTTTCGCCCACGTGTGCGATAGGTCGACACAGCATTCAAGGAGCATTCAGGCAGAGTGCAATGCAAGGTGTTTGGGAAGGTGACTCGTTTATGCATTCACAGTGTTTTTAATATCATTTCAGTGCAATGATCGATCTCGTTGCGCCATTGTCCATTCCGCAAGTCTTCAATGCAGAAAATGGTTTTCCCTGACTTAAGATTGCACGCAATAGGCGGCTCTGTCTTCACCTGAAAGGGCGTAATTTGACCATGCTTGAACACCACACCACCGCAACTCTCTCCTTTCGGGGGCCAAGCGGTACGCCGGGCTTTTTCATGCATTTCTAGCACATGAGCAAGCACCAAGTAACCGCTGCCTCCCTCTCGATCTGGTTCAACAGTCCACAACCACCACCCAACACAACCGCCACCACAAGTTGGAGCACCCCACGTTTATTTCTCCTTCTTGCTCTTCTTGGCACCCTTTGTCTTGGCCGTGCCTCTGAGCTCCTTCGACCGATTCTTGCGCTGCTTGCGTTGCTGTCTGCTGGCCTTCTCGATCTTGGTGGCATGGCCCACTCTGACCAATCTGTAGTGCGGCTCGAATTTCTTCATGGCCTCGACCGAGTCGTAGATGAGAGCGAAGCCGGTGGACTTGCCGCCACCGTATTGCGTCCGCATACCGAACACGTTGATCTGGTCCTTGTTGGATTTGTAGACTTCGGCCAGCTTGGCGCGGAGGTCGTCTTTGGAGACATTGGGGCGGTTGGGGTGGAGGACATCACTGCAGGAGACAAAAAAACGACATGTTAGAATTCAGGCTTTCACAGAGCGGGTGCCGCTGCGGAATTGATCTGGAAGTGTGAGTGCGCCTTACAGGACCATCTGCTTTCGCGACAAAAGTCGGTTGGTGATGAACTTGCGAGTTCGGATGGTGACCGGTGAGTCGGCCATGATTGCGATTCTTTGCGGTTGCTTGTCGACGGATCGCAATCAAGACAGTGACTGATGGGAACTGTCGGTCTGGTCGAGATGAATTTGTTCGACACTCAAATTGACTGCAGCGGTGGAAAGGCACAGTGTCGAGCAAAGATTCGCTCCTTCCCGAAAATTGTGGGCTTGGCATTTCGAAATCTTGGCGCCTGCTGCGCTATTCCGGATTTGGCTGGTAACCTCCACCAACGCATTTCACCACGCAGAGTCCAACTTCAATTTCTTCCGTTCTACGGATTTGTAGAAGGGAGGCCCTTTGCACTTTCCAATGCGTGAGGAATCGCGCCTTTGCTGATGCTCATTCAGACCCCACATATCTGAGATTTCCCTTCCGCTGGTTCTGCGTCTGTACACAACCTTGGTGAGCCTCGGATTCTGGCCAAGATGGACGTCGCTCGGGCGGGAGTAGAGCCTATTGTGATCAAGTTCTATCGGCAGTACATGCAGCAGATCAATGATGTGACTTACCCTCCTGGCGGGCTCCTGGTGAACCCGGACGTGCAAGACTGTTTATATCGGTATTTCTTCGATCCTGGCCGCAACAAATACTTGCCTCCGCCACGGTATCAAAGCAGGATACTGCGACGTCTCATTGAGGAGATTGAAAACGCTTGCAAAAACCCTGAACAAGATGTAGGCTGAATCCGGCGAAACTGAAGCCATTGACAATGGCCGTCGTCTCACCACATCCCTCTCATGTTGGTCTCTTCCCAACGTTGAAACACTAACATCTAATCCTGCTGCAGCAAGTCTCAGATCATCTAATGGAGCACATGGGCTACCTCTCCAGTCTTCCGCAACAGGATCATTTACAAGAAGCACAGCAACCACATGTGCATTCGTACTATCCTCCGTTCCCACTTGACGAGCCCGGAGTAACACCCGTCCTCATCTACGAGACGAGAAATCTCCTTTCTCGAGGCAACAACGTTGGCCTTCGCACGTGGGAGGCTGCATTGCATCTAGCTTGGTACCTGTTTAGCCAGCAACCGGGCCCTGTGGACGGCAAGAATGTCCTCGAGCTGGGGGCTGGAACCGGATTTCTCTCCTTGCTGTGCGCAGCCCATCTCAATGCCTCATCCGTAGTGGCAACCGATGGTTTGGGACACGTTTGCCAGAGTTTGGAGAAGAATGTCTCCCTCAATCAGGAAAACAAGGTTCTCGAGGGGTGTCGAATGCCCGAAGTTCGCCAACTGGACTGGACGGATCGACCAGCAATTGATCAACTGCTGAATGAAGCTGAGGAATCAGGCATGCGCTACGACTTGATCTTGGGTGCCGACATTACCTACCATCCCGACATCCTGCGACCACTGGCCGAAGTCCTCAGCATCCTGAAGGACCACTTCCCGAATGTCGTCATCCTCATTTCCGCAGCCATTCGAAGCGACACATTCTCGCAGTTCACAGCTATTTGTCGGGATGATCTCAAGTTTAAAGTGAGCGAGGTATCCTGCAGGATTCCTCACGGGTTGCGGTACTGTGGATTTTTCCATTCGGTGGCTACGGAAATCAAAATCGTCTCTCTTGAACGATAACAATACCCATGTACGAATGGCGCGGTGCGACGTCATTGCCATTTTCATCGTCACCCGACAATCGACGACCGTCGTGGCTAGCAAATGGTGTTTACGGGCTCATGCGAAGAAAGTCGACACTCCAAGGGAGTCAACGATTCCTCAAACTGTTTCGGTTCATGAATGTCACGAGGGAGCTGGGGTTTAGAAATGAACAAGGGTTTGTGTTGACAATTGGCGATTTTTCAGATCTCTGGAGCATATGTCAGAACTGTGAACGAGCCTTGAGCCCCCCAATCATAATGGTTTATTCTGCATTTTTAGTGTAAATGAGAGGCAGGAACGGAGGAGGAAAGAACGAAGACGATATCTAGGCACCTAGATTACTCGAGAACGAAAAACCTAATTACCCTGTACGGCTTGATCCTAGAGGTGGACCGAAGGCTGCTTTAGCCTGAGCTTTACCTGAGCTATTAGCTGAACATCACTGAGCAGCTCCCTGAGCAACGCACTCAGGGCCAAATCAGTCCGCCCTAGCTATCAGCTATACCTGCCCCTCGGCTAGGCATCTATTTCAGACGGGCGTCAGGGAGCCAAGTAGCGAACACACACACACACAGAGAGAGAGAGAGAGAGAGAGAGAGAGAATAGTCTTGATTAAGTTTTATCGATCCACAGGAAGGGAGACACGGAATGTCAGGAGGAGCGGGCCCGGCACGTGACCCGGCAGGTTTGGGCCTCAGAAGCCACGGCTCACCGATCCGGGTGGCGCTGCTGTTCTACACAGCTAATGGAGACAATCGGAGTTCTTTGTGGTTGTTGATTGTCCGATTTCAATCACAGGTCAAGTGGGGGTTTAGGTGTCGAGGTGTTTCGCCATTTCCGTGGGAGTTCCGTGGTTGGCGTCTTAAGGAAAGGTGGTAAAATCCCCGAAATTTAAGACCCTCTCAAGCCCTTCAAAACTTTCTGGCAAACAATAAACGGGGTGTCTTGAATGTACCGGGTATGTCTTTGGTCCCCCCACCCCAACCTCCCCGCCATTATTCCCGGAGCGGCCAGGGAGTCAAGCAAAGGAGAGCACATTCAAGTCTAGGTGACGTTGCGCGTTGGATACCTCTTGTACTGGGTACCCTGTCGAGCCCTGTGTTATGGCAGCCAGTCGCGAAAGGAGCAGTGGGGAAGATTGCACTCGTGGGCATTGGCCACTCCGTCATTTCGTAGCTCGCCCCCTTCCCCGGCCTTGCCCCCCCCCCCCCCCCGGGAATTCGGTTGCTGGGCTGGGCCCCGATCCAGTTGATGGTTCCCTGCCCAAGCCTGCCCCGCGCCCCATCGGTCGGCCCAGCCTACATCTTACTGTATGAATCCTGATAACACGTAGAATCTTCGTCGAGTCATGGTTCCCGGGACACGCGAAGAGTAGCCACTTTGTACCACATTTTTTCTCGTACACCTGGCGCAGAATGCAAAGTCCAGATCCCTCATCGAGACATGCTCGGTGAGAAAATTTGGGCCTTCGATACCAGACCGGTCGCTGATAATTGCAGGTATCACTGTTCATTGTGCGGCAGACCCTTTGATCGCAAGTGAGTCGGTCACCGCTTCCGAAGGGGACTGGATCCTAACCAAGCTAGAGATGCTCTGTCGCGCCATATGCAAGTCCATGATGCCCATCGGTCAGCCGCGAAAGTGCGACGAAGATCATGTACGCAATGTTACAAGTCGGTTCACCCCCTTGGTCCCCTGCTCCTTTCCATTTCGCTGACCAGAAAGTCAGGTCGAAAATCAGATGTAGCGGAGCGCAACCTCGCTGCTCCTCATGTCAAAGACGCAATCTTGATTGTCATTATGCGAGAGACATCGGTCCTGGACAGACGAAAAGTACTGTTGGAGGTAGCATCATCCAACAATGCAACGATAACCTTGATCAACGAGTACCAGCCGGTGTCGAGAATTCCACATGTGGCCACGAGCCCTCATCCGAACCATCTTTTGAAGCTGCTGATTCAACAATGCCTCCAGACTTCGGGAACTTCACTTCCAACGCTGTGCCGAGGCAAGACCAAGGATTGAATGACTCTGGATCCTTTGGTGAACAGTTCTCCTCCACGTTTGACATTTCAGATATAGGTTCGAACCTTGGTTTATTTGCCGGAGGTATGTGGGAACACACCTTTCCTGTGCCAAACTTGCCTGATTTCTGGAATTTCGTTCCCTCTCCATACACCGAAACACAGCCAGGTGGATCCAGCCATCCCACCGTCGTCACCGCGGATCAATCGACCATCAAGGACAATGCCCGTGGACAAGACGACAAGGCGGCATCAGAATTTGAGCATCCATGGCCCATGGAGTGGAACCCAGGGCCAATGCAAAGCCTGTTTCTCCCGGTTCTTGGAGAGCCTAACCAAGGCCTTCCTCCCAGTGGAAGGATTTTCTCGACCAAGCCAGTCGCCAGTTCGACGATAATAACATGGCAAGATTGCATCAAGAAGTCCTGCGAATACAATCTCTGGCAATTTAGCAGCCTAGAGAATTTCCCTACCTGTGAGAAACTGGACCACTGCATTGATATGTATTTTGCACACTTTCACCCCGTGAGACTTCCTTCTCCCATGCTACCTTCAACATTCCAGCTAAGCTCCCGCAGATGCTTCCCATGATCCACCATCCTACTTTTGACCCTGAAAAAGAGCTTGTAGTGACATTGGCCGTTGCTGGCATTGGAGCCAAATATACTGGCCTTCCCGGGGCACAGCCATTTTCCAAGGCACTATTTGAGCTGAATCATCGACTGATTCTTTTCATGGTATGAGATCGAGCACTCTGGAGGCCGCTAAACAGGCTGACTTTGACGGATTTCCAGTCTGAACGAGAGCGACAATTCGTGAGAACCGAAGCCTACCTGACCGCCCAGCTCCTACAGGCGGCGCATGGATATTTGAGTGACAACGAGCGCACATTCGAGTTGGCCGAGGCGTGTCGCAGCAGCATAACATACCATGCCAAATGTATGGGCTTGTTCCGCACCGAGACACCGTCCGAACCCGATCAGGATGGCAGCTCTTTGGAAGAATCCTGGCATGCATGGATCCGACAGGAGCGCCGACGCCGGATAGCGTGGTCAATCTACGTATGGTTGTACTCTTCCGTGACCTTCGTAGTGAACGCTGACAGTGTGCAGGAATTAGACACATCATCTGGGTATCTGCATAATAACAGACCACTTTTAAGTCCGGAAGAACTGAATCTCAACCTCCCAAGCTCTTCGCAGCACTGGGAAGCACCTTCCGCACATGCGTGGGCGGCACTGCATCCTTGGGCCAATGCCTGTCCTCCCACCAGTCGCCTGCGCCCATTGATCAGGAGTCTTTTTGACGGCACGGAGAAGCCAGCCGAGAAATTCCAGGATGAGAAGCAACGATTTCTTGTCATTTTAGCACTGGTGAGGACCCTTTTGAGTGTAAAAGACCTCCAGTTCACGTCAACTCTTGAACGAGACCAAGATGGCTTTGAGTCGAAATTTTGCAACCAGAAGCAGCATGAGCTGCTTCAAGCCATTGATTGCTTCTACGAGTCACCGGCTCCGCGGGCAAAGTTCTACACGAGAACACAGTTGCTACAAGCCGCGTACCGAACGCAACTAACTCACGTCGCACATCTCTATGGCGCTGGAGATCTCATGACCTTTCTTTATCCATACCTAAGGAATGGTCAAGAAGCGGAGAATGCGAAAATCCGGATGTTACAGTGGGCACAGAAAGACCAACGCAGGGTTCGAAATGTGGCCTATCATAGCGCCCAAATCCTTGCACTTTTGAGAAAATACCCCAGTAATCTGCCTGTGGAGCCATTCGTTGTCTTTCATGCTGGTGTGGTATTGTCGTGCATGGCGAAACTGCTGCCAGCGTGCCAAACCCACGGTGAAAGACGGTCGTTGCAAATCGACTACTTGGGCGAGGACGACAACTTGGTGAGGAAAGCTTTGGCATGGGTCCATGATGGCGGCGATATTGAAATCAGGTTGCACGGAGTACCCTCCCTGTGCTGCGAGAAGGGACGCAAGGAGGTCCTGGATCAAACCGCGGAGCTGCTCAGAGCAATGAGTGTTTGGAGCATATCACAGAACTTCGCCGCAATGATCCTCTCGCTGCGGCAAAACAGATCTTCCGAACACAATGCAGAAAGCGCAGCTGCCCTGACCAGCGTTGGTGAGACTATAGTCTCGAGGGTCGCTGGGACTATAGTCCTGACTAGTCATAGACTTGGCAGGCTTGGCACCGGGAATAAAATGGCGGTCAATAACAGAGATAACTGTTTTGTTAACAAATTATATGTGAAAATGTCGGACAGTTTACAACCTTTCATTGAAACGCCCTCGCCATCGATCGTTACTCTTCGAACGTCGAGTAGCGAGACGCCGTCGCGCCGTACTGAGAATAGACGGATCGGTAACGTAATGTGGTTGCAGGTTGGCCGCAAGGCTAATAAACGGCGAGGTATCTCGTCGTCTTATATCTGGCAACATGGTGACGAGTATTGCGATATCTCGAAGCCTGACGATTCCGCCTCTTAGATCTGTGATCGTTGCGACAGCGTGATCTCAATGAAAAAGGCTGGAAGTCTCTCGAACGTGAATCGACATCTCAAGAACGAACACGGAATCACTGGTAAACGCGTAAGGGTTGACAGCCACCTTTAGGACGACGAGGTTATTAGTGTTGCGAGTTAAGATCTAGTTACTTCATTGGTACCGTTAGTGTTTAGTTCACTTATAATACGCTGTGATATCGAGAGATTTAGGAACTTACTCGTTCGATGAATTGTACAGCAATAAGTCCCGCATTCCGCTGTGAAATATAGAGAGTTTCGGGATTTATTACTCTATCTTCAACCTTCTCTTAAAAGATATTTAGTGAGATCATATAAAACTATTACGGCGTGGATCGACGACGAGTTCGATAAAGGAAAGGCTTATATTACGTCTCTATTATAGAATAGTTAGTTACGAATTCATCTAAGTTTTAATATCTAGATCTCACCTTTAGCGCTATTAATACTCGGTATTTATGTATATTTCTTAAACTCTTCTCTTTAATTATAATAGGCTCTTCTAGGTCTTAGATTAATAGAGGGTTCTTATACTGAAGAGAGATTCGTAGAAATAATTACGGAGATCGTCGAGAACTTCGAAATTTAAGAAAAACTAGATGTATATATCGCCGATAACGTAAGTAATTGTAATACTGCCTGCAAAGCGTTAGTTAGGCGATTTTATCCAGATGAGAGTGAGAACTTACGTCGAAGTCGTTACCTAGGTTATATCATTAATCTCGCCGCCTAGGCCTTCATTTATGGTAAGGATAATGAAGCGTTTGTGAACGCCGCCGAATATACGGAAGAGTTATCGATTCGCGATCAGACAGCGATCGCTCGTGAACAGGCTCTTTAGAGAATAAAAGGGTTATTTAGTAAGTTTCACAATACTGTTAAGTTTATTCGAGCCTTATCTTAACGTCGGTAATAATTCTAGGTGGTGATAGCGATGGTTATAAACTAGATGAATATTCGAGGTTAATTTAGATCTAGATTAATATTATTCGCGTAAGTTACCTAATCTAGTAACCGTAGGCGAGGATATCTATAATTCTAAACTCGGCGATATATATTCTAACCTTTAATCTATTCTTAACAACGTAACTAGATGAAATTCCGCCTATCTAGCGATTAAGAGAGGTCTTAGACTTAAAGAGACTTTTAAGTATTACGTCTCTCACGCCGAGGACTTTCCCGACGACGATGTTCTCATAGATAAAGAGTGAGCGTAACTAGACTCAATTTACGAGGGTCTTAAACCGTTCTAGGAGATAACACTAAGACTTAAAGGAAGTGGTAAGAATGGCTCTCATGGAGTAATCTAGAAGGCGCTACCATCACTGGATATGCTCTGTTGTTATATTGAGAGTTATATAACTCTTCACGGCTATTCTATTCAACGGCGACGAGGTTAGAATTAACGCGGTCGAGGAACAGCGTAACGGTAGATATCTCAACGATATACAGCGAATATCGACTCCCTAATCGTTTACTACTAAAACGTCTAAGAAGTACTATAAGAATATAACGATCTAACAGATAAGAATTACGAGCTGTATGCCGCTGGCGCTCTTCTCAATCCTTGTCTTCGTCTACAGTATTTTAAGCGTTCTTAGACTAATAATATGTTAAAGATCCTACTTGGATCTGACTGGGTCAGGGTTCCTAGTAACAATCTGAATAGTATGAACTGGTTGTGGATCACGCAAGGTATGAGCAGTCACCTGTTACTGAGAACTGTATAGTCCAATAGGTAACATGAGTTGGCTACGAAGAGAGTGTAAACTATCTAGGGGGAGTGAGCGTAGCTATATACCCGTAAGGGCC